TAAATAGTGCAGACTATAGTCTACTAATCAGCATGCATTCTTAACAAAAACAAAAAATAAAAGAAGTTACAAAGGTTATTTTATTTATAACTTTCTAATTACTAAGCTTATTAATCTTAAATAAACTATTTTTAAAAGCTTAATATATATTCTATATTAAGATTTATTCATAAAGTTTCATCTTTAGTAATAATATAGTTATTCTTATTATAGTTATTAAAATATAAACTTCATAGTCAGATAGAGCCTTTTAGGAGCTATTAAATGATACTATTATAAACTTCGTAGTTAGATAGAGCCTTTTAGGAGCTATTAAATAATACTATTTATAGACTTATAACTCTCTTAATTAGCCTGATACAACTAATTAAAGTTTTATTCTTATAATTTACTTTTGATGTTCTTAACGCTAAGGCTGCAGCAAGGTCTCAAGGAATTTTGATGTTCTTAACGCTAAGGCTGCAGCAATCCGAGTGCGTAGCTGGTCCCGTGTATTTCCTGCGCCATAGCAGAGGAGATTAGGGGTTATTCAGGGTCACAAGGGATATATAAATATCAGTATTAATAGTAAATATAACATTAAGAGCTTACTTAACTATAATAAGTGTTATAGTTATTTATAATTAGTACTAACTGTAGCCTAGGATACAGATTCATCTTTATTAGTAATCTTAAATAAATGTGTTAAATCTCTTATAGTTGAAGCTGCTATAATATATCTCATAATTAAGATAGCTATTAATCCTTATAACTAGCAAGATGCTCTATCTCCTTAAGCGCCTATTTAGTACTATTACTTTGCACAATACGCTATGTAAAGACTAATCTCTTTTACAGTCTTTTGTACACTTATACGCAGCTGATTCATCGACGAATATAGCCTCCTTAGCACGAACTTTGTATATCTGAGCTCTATAGTAGTCTCGTAAGTCTTCATCTCGCTCAGCAGCTTAACGCTCAACCTATAAAGTAAGTCCGAATTTGTGCGAATTAGAATGATACAGTACTAACAGCTTTCTGTGTGATCTTCTCCTTTGCCAGCGTTCGACAGACAGTTGATTTCGATACTTCTATATCATACTCCTCATCTAGAAACGCTACCATTTCGTCTAGATACGAGAGCTTCTTCTCCGAGCCGTTATCCAGAAGCCAATCAAGGAGGCCCTCAAGCGCCTCTGGAGTGATTTTTTGCGGCCTACCCATCTTCGCTTGAGGCGCTGGCCGTGGCTCTCCGAACGTATCAATATTCTGCCGGATTCGGCCCACAGTTGAAGCGTGGCATCGAAATCTATAAGCTATTTCTCGTGGTTCTACGCCTGTAGCAAGCAAAAGGGCCATTTCGTCGACGGTCGACTTCGAAAAGCGCAGTTTGCTCATCGCGAACTCAACACCAAGGGCCAGCAGTTGAGATAGGGCAAGAGAAGGGCGTCAGCGAGGTCTATGAGCAATTTCAAGCAATTTCTACGCGTTCTACGGCCCTAGGGAGCTATTCCTACATCTCACCGCAATTCTGCCCCGCGGCGCCAGCAATTCGAGGGTAGCGCCAAGGAATTGCAACACTTTCGCAATGCACAGTATTTCATGGCCATCTTGGCTCACAAAATATCCTAACAGATGGCCACGAAATCTGTCAATGCGCCTTGGCCCTCAAGCTTGTTAATATGCTGGTGTTAGCACCGTCTTGTCAATCCCTAGAATCACCGCCAGGCGCATGCTACCGTAGAAGTACTTACTGTGGCAGGTGATGGGGATGCTGCTGTGAGAAGCACGCAAATGGCTCATGAACCAAGGGTGTTTGACAAGCCGAACACCAATATACCGAAGATCAGTACGGAACATCTCGGGACGTTGTGGAAGAACTCAAGTACGATCGAAGTGACAGCATTGGATCGTTATGCTAGGGACTCGGGAGAAATCCACAATATGTGTGTTTTATACCTTCCACCCTAAGAGATGAGATCGTCTCGTTATATGGGACGCCTATATTATTCAGCAGAAAATATGCCTTGTATGCGCCACCAGAATGCAAGGCCGCCAATTGCAAGAGAAAATCTCTCCATCGAAGACGAATTGATTCTGCCAGATGGGAGCAATAAATCGATGCTGTCTGTTTCTGAATACAACTTCTTCATGCGAGGTGCGGCGAGGACTTCTGTGTCTTAATGCTGTTCCCTCCAGTCGTGTATCACGTTCTATTCTCGAATCGAGTTCGGCACCTTTTTGGACCCCCCGTTGACCCTCTACCTCCTTATCAGCCTCGCAACATCGTAACATGCACTTGGGGTTTAAAAGCAGTTCTTATACGATATGGCGTCGCCTCAGGCATTGCAGCGCGAAGATTATCAGATCGGGGTGATCTGTGCGTTGGCCATCGAACAAGCGGCTGTTATCGCAACATTGGATGGTGATGAGCACCCGGGTCTCACACCGATGAGTGGCGACGATAATCAGTATACCTTCGGCCGCATCAAAGATCACAACATAGTTATCGCTTGCCTCCCAGCTGGCAGTACGGGCACCGCCAATGCTTGTAATGTTGCTACCAACATGCAGCGCAGCTTTCCAATCAGATTTGGTCTAATGGTCGGCATTGCAGGAGGATTGTAGAGCGAGGAAAACGATGTGCATCTGGGAGACGTCGTTGTCAGTCAGCCAAAAGGACAGTTTGGTGGAGTTGTGCAATACGATTTCGGTAAGACTGGGGAGGATGGTAAGTTTAAGCGCACTTCACACCTCAACGAGCCACCAAAAGTGTTGCTGCATTCGTTGCAAAAACTTCAAACAATGCATTTTAGAAAAGGGAGTAATCTTAGGGAGATACTCGACGCTATGTTCGAGAAAGAACCGCACATGGTCAAACGTTTTGGCCATCCAGGCACTGAACACGACCAGCTATTCAATGCGTCATACGACCACGAGAGCGGTCCTACAAAATGCGACAGATGCGATCCCCTAAAGGTGCCTGAGGACTGGGAGGCCCGGGAGACTTCAGATCCTCGAATCCATTATGGCACTATTGCCTCAGCGAATCAAGTTATGCGTCACGGTCCGACACGAGACAGAGTTGCCGCAGACTTGGGTGCGATCTGTTTCGAGATGGAGGCGGCCGGTTTGATGAACAATTTTCCCTGCCTGGTGATCCGAGGTATCTGCGATTATGCAGACACACACAAGAACAAGAAGTGGCAAGGCTACGCTGCAGCCAGTGCCGCTGCCTTTGCGAAGGAGCTATTAAGTTTTATACCGAAGCAGGAGGTGGTAAAGATGGCGCCGGCCTGTGAGTCGATATCAAATTCTTCTCTGAATTCTGTACGATTAGCGTGGCTGCAAGCGGAGGATAAGCTAGTTCACCAACTTGGTGATTTGAGGCTGATACAAAGCGCTATATAGACAAAAATGAACATTGGATCGTTCCTCGAGGCTCGAGTACTCACTTCACAGGCCGTGCAATCGTAATAGAAGAGGTACAAGAACGTTTATGCAATCCGGCCAGGGAGTTGGAGAGCAAGCAGAGACGTTTCGTCATTGTCGGTATGGGTGGGATTGGCAAAAGTGAGATATGTTTGAAGGTTGCCGAGAATATTCGCGAGAGGTTTGTTTCTACGTTTTGTGTCTTTAACCGTGTTTCATGCTAACGGTCTAGCTTCTGGGGAGTCTTCTGGATTGATGTGAGCAGCACTGCCAACGCAGAGCGCGGATATAATGACACTGGACGCACGTGTGGGCTACCAGAGCCAACTCAGCAAGAAGTGCGGACATGGTTGGCGGCTGCTAAACATAAATGGTTGTTGATCCTAGACAACGCTGACGACCCCGAGACCGACTACGCCCAGTACTTTCCGTCTGGAAACCGGGGATGCATTATTCTGACAACCCGAAATCACCAGTGCCAAGTTCACAGCAATGTTGGGTATCGGGAGCTGGATACACTTGACCGCAGTGAAGCCATAGGACTGCTTTTGAAAACCACACACGTTGAGCCAAGTCTGTGGGAATCCCACGAAACTATCGCTGGAAAGGTAGTAGACGTCCTAGGATCACATACCTTGGCCGTCGTTCACGCTGGCGCATTCATCCAACAAGGCTTATGCAGCCTCGAAGACTATCCCGCCCACTTCGTTCAGCAGCGTCAGCGGCTTTTGCAATTTCGTCCCACGCAAGCCAGATCCGAATACGGAGACGTGTATGCCACGTTTGAGGTCTCCGCGAAGCATCTGGAAGAGTCTGCTCACCATGGTACGAAGATTGCGCTTGCGCTCCTCCGATTCCTTGCCTTTGTTCACTTAGACAACGTTCCTGTATCCATCTTTGAGAGGGCTTGGAAGAAAGCTCAAGCCATTCTTTTCTACGAGTCACAAGAAAAGAGTGACCAACGAACTGATTTGACCAAATGGCATGTCTTATCACTTGCTGCTTTTATGCAGAGTCTGCCAGATGACAAGAGTCGAAGAGGTGGTCACCGCTCTTTCTCCAGATTTCTCAAAGGAATGAGGCCCAAGAAGTGGCGACGATACAGCAAATCCCCTTTCGATAATGAGTTCGATACCATCTCACTTGATCAGGCGTGTGCCGCCCTGGCTTCATTGTCCATTATTAGCATTGACAAAACCACTCACACTCTAACAATTCATCCTTTGGTTCATGCCTGGGCTATGGATCGTCTCGAGATCTCAGAAAGGGATAAGGCCAGAATTTCGACAGGCTGTATCTTGGCCATGTCTCTGCAAGGCCTTATGTACGAGCCGTTCTGGTCGCAATTAGAGGCTCATGTGGAGTCCTACTTGCACACCTGGCCTCTTGACTCTTCTGTCGTCTCATTCGAGGTTATCCAATGTTTGTATAATTTGGCGTTCTGCTTGGGTGTAACACATCTCAGCCCACCCCAAGCCGAGCTCATCCTGATGCTGCCGTTGGAACATGAAAGTCTCAAGGTCAGACCGAAGGCTGACATAGATGTGTGCTGTATGTTGGTTACCTGCTATATGATATTAGAGAAATTCAGTGAGGCTAAAACACTCCTCGAAAAGAAGATACAAGCCTACAATACGTTATTTGAGGCAGGGCACGATATAATGTTTTCTTTGCACATAACCTTGGGCAGATTATTGAGGATATCAGAGAAGACTGACGACGCAATACAATTATACGAGGAAATATTGCTGCATCCCAGACTGCCGCGTGGGCAGCGAGCCCGGGTCCTCGTTGGCTTGGGTCGAATGTACTCGCAATTTCGAGAAGCTAAGAAGGGAATACTACTACTAGAAGAAGTGGTGCAGATACACGAATCTAAGCTTGAACCCGAACACCTAGATCGGCTGTGGTCGCAGCACGATTTGGCCGAAGCTTACTACAAGTTAAGAGAGGGTCAGAAGGCGATAGCGATCCTCGAGGAGGTAGTCCAGATTGGGAAGAGAATATATAGGACGGAGAGCATGGATCTACTAGTTTCGCAGGAGCTACTAGGTAGAGCTTACATCCTTATAGGAGAAGTGGTCAAGGGAATAGAACTGGTACAGTGGGTGATGCACGTCCAGGCTACTACACTGCAACCAGACAGTCCATATCGATTAAGCACGCTCCACCACCTAGCTGAAGCCTACATCGACACAGGGGAAGTGGCTAAAGGAATAAAGATGCTAGAGGAGGTGGTTCAGATAAGGAAGAGGACGGTCAGAGCTGAGCATGTGAATCGGCTAGCTTCAGAGCATGCGCTAGGTGTGGCATACGTCAAAGTAGGAGAGATTACGAAGGGAATACAGCTGCTGGAAGGCGTAGTACATGTTGAGGAAAATACTATACCAAAGGATGATCCGAATCGGTACCTTTCACTTCAAGAGTTAGGTGATGCCTACCTCAAGGCAGAGCAAGTGGATGAGGCAATGGAGCTACTGACAGAGGTCGTTCAGATTGAGAGAGTGAGGTTAGAAGAGGATGATTTAAGTCGCCTGACCTCGCTTTACAAACTAGCTAAAGCCTATCTTCGAGCTGGACAAGCCAACAAAGCAATAGAGCTACTCACAGAGGTTGTTCAGATTGAGAGAGTGAGGTTAGAAGAGGACGATCCAATCCGACTTCTTACGCTTTACAAACTAGCTAAAGCCCATCTTCGAGCTGGACAAGCCAACAAAGCAATAGAGCTACTCACAGAGGTCGTTCAGATTGAGAGAATAAAGTTAGAAGAGGATGATCCAAGTCGATTACTTTCGCTTCACTATCTAGCCCGAGCTTATCTTGATGCAGGACAAGTCAACGAGGCGATAAGATCCGTGACAGAGGTTGTTCAGATTGAGAGTGCCACATTGGAATCAGATGATCCAAGTAGGCTGGAATCGGAGGAGTTGTTGGCAGAAGCGGTACGAGCAAAAGAAAACGGGCTCCAAGATGCGACTTTAGGGCAGCCCAGCGATCTTACAATCGACCCATGTTTGAGTGGTGAATCCGAGGAGACGCAGCATATTAGTAATGCTCTAGTTCTGCATGACAGCTCGATTCTTGCATGCTCAAATGGTCAATCTTGAGCTGGTTCTTACCAGATGTTGCCACGGCGACCTCGCTTTGCACGTCAGCACCGATTCGATTATGGAACATGATTCCTCCAAACAGGGAATTACCCTTCACGGTCTTGCTTCTCTCCTGTACAACCGCGGTACAGATTTGCCTAAAGTCTTTCGTTGCAAAGATAGCCTTCAAGGTGTTCAATTTACCAAAAGCAAACAGAACCAAAATCCTTCAGAGAAAGGAATTTCCGCTGGCTACAAAATGTTTTGACGATGTACCGGTTGACTTCAGTTAGACGCTGGAGTCAGCTTGTATCCCAAATGGGTGTCCGCTCTCCACACACGATCGCCTACCACGAATCTCTGCCTTGGAAGGAGGAAAATCGTTGTGGTATTGCTGAGGTCATCAATAGTGTTTGAATCTGCAAGGATCATTAATAGCGCGGAGAAATTTGCGCTTGTAGCAACGCATACATCTGCTTTGATGCAATCACAGAGTTCCTCGGTCAAGCTGAAAGGAGAGAGCGTCTAGCTCGTTCTCAGCATAGCAACTGTCGAAGAGGTGTAGGGCATGAAAACGGATACACTATGCTCCGGGCTTTTCCTAACACGTCAATCAAGGGACGAAGAATGATGCGAGTTACTCTCGCTGGATAAGTGTTGGAAAGCTCATTTAAGGGGGTGTATGCCTTGCGCAGAGATGACAGTTTACATTCTGAAGCTGCTTTGATGTTTTGGGAACTATGCTGCTAGAATAAGGCATCATGTATCGACTGCTTAGTGTTCTCGTTCAATAGCGGTGACGGGGATATTTCAATACTTTTCGAAGGACATATGGGCCGATGTGTAAGCAGGTGTGAACCCAGAAAACGAGGGAACATGTGCGACGGGCCAGCATCTCCTGCAAAGAGATTGTGGTCTTTCCTCCAAGAGGGCAATTTCCTTGCCAAGATGCTCCAGATGTCTGAGGATGTCTGCACCGGATACAGTAATGTGCCTCTTTAAAACTCTGGAGAATGTTAGACTCGGGCGCCTTCGGTATGTTAATAAATTCCTCTGTAGAAGGCATGCCGCCCTGATAGTGTATCTAGTTCGGGTTTACGCTAAGTCCGGAGCAGCTCCCGTGCTAGCTAAATGAGGAATAGTAAGTTTCGGTCAGCTCTTATCGATAAGAGAACAAATAAATATATTGATCCACTGATGCGCAAGCAATTTCGAAAAGCCGTGCGTCGACGATCTCAGGACAGCAGCACGTCAAGATGCTGCGTGAAGTGTAAGGCAATCCGAATCCCTTCTCCTTATCCCCATCCTGATCTTTTCTAACAAATCTCTTCTCTTTCTCTCCAGCAAACCACGCACCGCACGCACGGCCCGAATCCTCAAATCCCGGGACGCGAAACCAATCGAAGACCGCAAAAAGACCCTCCTCCTCCACGGGCCCAAATGCCCTCCCCCGCTCCACTCTGTCCTGAAAACCATCCACACCCTCACACGCCCGCACTCCGTCCTCCTCACAAAGAAAAACGAGAACATCCACCCCTTTGAGAATGTCGATTCGTTAGAATTCTTGGCCGGGAAGAATGAATGTGGACTCGTGGTGTGGGGGAGCAGTAGCAAGAAGAGACCGAATGGGGTGACGATACTCAGGATTTTTGATGGAAGGGTGTTGGATATGGTGGAACTCTTACTGCTTCCTGCAGATTCAGGAGGAGAAGGGAGGAAGTTGCCGGTGGGGGTGGAGATGAAGCCCATGATCCTATTTGCGGGGAGTGTCTGGGGGGATACTTCAACGTCAGAGATGGCGCAGACGTATTCGATGGTCAAGAGTTTGTTTCTGGACGTTTTCAGTGGGGAGGAGGTACGGAGTATTGATGTTGAAGGGCTGCAGTATCTGCTTATGATTGCGGCTGGGGAGCCCGAGAACGGCCAGAATCCGATGGTCCATCTACGCTGGTATAAGGTCAGGACGAGGAGGAGTGGGCAGAAATTGCCGAGGGTAGAGCTCGATGAGGTGGGGCCGACGTTTGATTTTAGGGTGGGCAGAACGAAGGAGGCGGATGCGGCGGTCATGAAGGAAGCGATGAAGAAGGGGAGGGGGCTAGATGAGGATTTCAGGTCCAAGCAGAAGAATGTGGGGATGGATACGGTGGGAGACAAGGTGGGTAGGGTCCATCTCAGCCGGCAGGATTTGGGACAGTTGCAGACGAGGAAGATGAAGGGTCTTAAGAGAGGGGCGGCATTGACTGGTGAGAAGGATATGGCAGATGGGATGGAAATAGATGAGGTTTCAGAAGATGAGCCTGCTAAGAAACCACGGCTTGCCTGACGCTGATATTTGTCATTATCGAAGGAAACATGTCTAATGGCAAGAGCAGTAAGCATGTACAGGCGGAATAAGGCTCCAGCGAGGCTCATGGCAACAACTCTGAGTGACTGACAACTTTCTCAAACACCGCAGAAGATTGGGATCCATGCCTGAAAGCAGTCCCAGCCCACACTCCAGACGCCCGAAGATACACGACTTGACTTAGACATGGGAAGGCATGCTTACTGACATGGAGCCTGCTGGGGACAAGGACTGTCCGATGTTTCGGTTCGAGTCCAAGGGATGAGGTGAGATGACCAGCCCTCCACTCGCTGTCACCTGGCGAAAGGGCGAGATGTACATTGGGGTGTAGCCATTAGACTGCAATGGCTGAGCATGGTTCTGCGACTGCCCTTGAGGCTGCTGAGGCTGCTGTGCCGGCTGGCTCTGCTCAAGTGCTGGATCTACCGGTCCAACTGCTTCGGCATCTTCTTGAGCTGCGTCGGTGTCTGTATCCTTCTTCTTGGGCTTCTTCACCTTCTTGGCTGGTTTCTCTCCATCCAATAACCATGCGTATCTCGCTCTCTTCGCGTTTGGGGGCAAATTCATCATATCATCGTCTGGTGATGGATCTCCCATAATCCGTAGCATATCTGCTGGCGAGATCTGAGGCACTTGTTGATCCTCGGAGCGGAAGCCGCGTCGAATGATTCCCCTCGTATAGCCCATTTCCCTGATTCTGCGAGACAATGAAGCGCGACTGCACTTGATGTTGTACTTCTCCTGTACATACTTCTGCATATCGACAAGCAGTGCAAGGGGCTGCGCTGCAACATATTGTCTAAGATCCTGCAACTTCTTTGAGGGCATGTACCCGAGACGGACAATGGTCAACATACCTCTTCCACTTCCTTATTCAGGCACGTTGGTCTTCCCATCTTTTTCGTAGAAGGAGCATGAAACGTGCCATGAGTCTTGAGATTGTGCGTGATTCTGCGAAGCTGCCTCTCAGAGACATGATGGTTCTCGATGATTGACTTGTTATCCTCTCTTCGGAACAGTGCGGCAATGATGCCCTCTTGCTGAGCTTGATTGAACGGGGTGTTGGGCATGATGCATGCGGAATCAGTCGATCAGTCGATCATAACCAGTGACTTTTGCAATCGTGTTGAACCAAGCGACAGACTTTCGAGACGAACTGTATGCTTGGATGGTGGTGGTGCTGTTTGTAACGACTTCCGTTGCGTTAAGCTCAGCAAGCTAGAATGCATGCCAAGCCTAGGCAGTGGTAAAGAGGCGATTGGTCATTTTATAGCAGCGGCCCACTCAATTTTTTTGGCGCACACGACCATTTTTTGTTCTCAAAGTGGCTGCGGAAGGCTCGGTCTATCTCATTTCCAGTGTCTGTTTCTTGTCGCAATATCTCCATTGACAACGTCGAGCTTAGTCGATGTCTTGCTCTCATGCCAGTATCAGAGCCTAGCAATGGCTACTCTTGCGCCTCGCGCAGCTCCTTTCAACCTTCCCGTTGCTCAAGTCAACGCCTTCCCATCAAGCGCACTCAAGCCACGGCCGGTGCTCAAAAGAACACGAGATGAGTCAGCTGACATGGAAGTGCCTTCATCACCATCGAAGAGGTCACGGGTGACCTTCGATTCGGATGTTGAATATGTCTCCGCAGACGACGATGACGAAGTAGATCCCCAGCTCATCCGCGAGCAAGTCCGTCGAGCGATCCAACGACACCTAAGCGGCGGTGACGACGAGGCATACGAAAACGTCAAGCAGATTTTCCTAGCCGACCCCAAGAAAGAGAACGCGCCGTCACCAAGAGCTGTGCATGCTCATTTGCAGGCTGTTCTGGCTCACATTAGCAGTCTGGACAAGAGCTGTAATGGATTGGTCAATGCTATTCTGTCGTGTGAATGGGTTGGCCGAGACGAGAACTTTGTCAAGTTATACATCAATGTGCTGGGAAACCTTGCAGCGGCAAAATCGGGTTATCTTTCCAAGATACTCCACACGCTTGTTGATCTGCTGGGTGAGCAGCGCACCAGAAGACTCCTGGGAACCAGGATTGTGAGACAAGCTCGAATACATTCTAGAGGTCGACGGGCAATTGCTTATTTGCTCAATCTGGTGCCGGCAGCCAGCAGCACGCTTGCACAGGTCATACAGCGAAAGCTCACAATGGACTATCGAAAACCACAGGAACGGTTGTTGTACATGAAGAACTTTCTCGCGCTACTAGAACATGCACAAGAATTGAAAGGTGCTGTGCTCGGTATGATTACGTCTGAGCTTGTCAAGCTGGATGTCTCTGTTCAAGTTGACATGGAAGATTATGCCGATGAGCTTGAAGAAGAAATCGTCCAAGAAGTCTCATCATCGCAAACATTAGTGGACTCAGCGTCCCAACTTTCTCTCAACAAAGCTATTGAAGAGGAAGGCGAAGACGAGGAAGATGGTGGAAGTACAACCAGTGACAGCTCGGCAGACGAAGAGGATGAGCTTGGGCCTGTTGAAGTGCAGCGTCGCAGAGTCACGGCACATCTCGAAACGGTAGACGCGGTCATGAACCTTCTGTTCGAGTATTACAATCCGCTGGTACTTGCTTCTAATCTGGCGGTCAGTGATGATGCGATGAATCTCCTAACAACACATTTCAGCAACATCATTCTACCGACCCATAGATCGAGGCATGCACAGTTTTTGATCTTCCACTTCTCGCAGACATCTTCTGTGTTTGTGGACAAATTCGCCACCACCTGCATAGCAACGCTACTTGATCACAACCAGCCACCCATTCTCCGTCAAACGGCGGGCTCTTACCTTGCCGGATTCGTTGGTAGAGGAGCTCATGTTCCCCTTCCAGTGATCCAGGATGGGTTTCAGCTTCTTTGCGATGAGCTCGAAAGCTTACGAAAAGAGTTGGAACCATCGTGCCGCGGTCCAGATCTGCGAAGATATACCAGCTTCTACTCATTGATGCAAGCCATCATGTACATCTTCTGCTTCAGGTGGCGTGACCTTGCGACCCATAGGGAAGAAGAAGACTCCGACGACGAGCAGGAAGTTGAGGAATATCAGTTTCCAGACGACATCAAGCGGAAACTGACTCAAGCGGTTAACTCCGCGCTCAATCCACTACGCATCTGTACACCAGATATCGTTCATCAGTTCGCAGAGACTTGTCGCCGTTTGCACTTTTTGTACCTCTTCCCCAAGGTGGAAAGCAACAAACACGTTCGACTGTCAAATACGAGGCGAGACTTCACGGATAGCGCCATTGGACAGGTTGAGAGGGATCTTGGATGGGTTGGCGAAAGTGGTATGCTAGAGGGCTATTTCCCATTCGACCCTTACAGGCTACCAAGGAGCAGGAAATGGATTGTAGATGATTATCTGGAGTGGAAGGGTTTGCCAGGAGACGAGGTAGAAAACGACGATGATGATGACGATGCTACGGACGACGAGATGATAAATGAAGAAAGTCACGACGACGGGGAGGAGACAGCCACTGAAGAAGATGCCTGATAGCTTTTGCTATAGCGGTATGGCAGGACCATTTTTTGAGTTCATCTACAAATTCCAAGCGTTCGAGCGAGTTGGCGTTACTGTTGACTGTACAGGTCGCGGGCTATTAGTACTAGACATTTGGGAAAGATAGAAAAGAATAACCGTAGAATGAGATTCATCACTTTACAGAAAGAAGTCCTCCCCAAAGCGGTAACGCCCATTTAATTGGCAAAAGTTACAGTAACTTACGCCAAGTCAGCCCTATGTACGTATGATTACGCCCAGACCACTTCACCAGAACTTTGGCTTTCGCCTTGGGCAGATGCAATATGTATCAATTCCCAGAGTTTGCTAGAGCTGAGCAGCTCGTGACGCTATGGTTCTCCAGTAGCCTATGTTTTGGCTGACAACTATCTCGCCTCAGCTTCGACTCCCATATTTGCACACCGCAGCCGAAGCACAACGCCGCAACCATGCGCGCCAAACGCTCGAAAAAGTACCGCAAGATCATGCAGCAGTATAACCTCACCTTCGGCTTTCGAGAACCATACCAAGTCCTTGGTATCCAATACTCCATCTCTCACCGGAGTTCAAAGTAATCACTAACATGCTATTCCTGCGCACTAGTCGATTCGCACCACCTCCGCCTCCTCCACGCCTTCAAGATGCCCCTCCACCGCTACCTGGAGAAGACGCTCCACGGCAAAGTGAAACCCTTCATCACGAAATGTACGCTCGCTTCCATACTTGGGACGACGGATCTGCATACGAGTCGGAGACCGGATTTCTTGCCGCCGCCGCTGGAGCTGCCGCTGAGGCATTGTTCGCATGGCGAGATTGAGGAGGGGAACGGGGGAGGGGTGTTGCCGGAGGAGGAATGTTTGCTGGATTTATTGAGCGGCGGCGTGACGGGGAATCAGCAGCCGAAAAATAAACAGCATTTTGTGCTTGCTACGGCGGATGCACCAGGGAGGAATGATGAGAGTAGAAAGAGGGAGGTTTTGGGGAAGGTGAGGAGGCCGGTCAGCTCATCAATGGACGAGGGAATTAGGATGCAGGCCAGGGAGATACCGGGCGTGCCTATCATCTACGTGAAGCGGTCTGTCATGATTTTGGAAGAGTTGTCAGGTGCGAGTCTCGGTGTGCGGAGGCGGGAGGAGAAGGACAAATTCAGGGATGGCTTGCTTGGGATGGAAAGCAGGAAGAGGAAGAGAGATGAGGACGAGGGAGGAGACAATGGCGATAACAAGGAGAATGGAGGAGAAGTTGAAGCGGCTGCGCCGAAAAAGAAGAAGGCGAAGGGAATCAAGGGACCCAACCCATTGAGTGTGCTGAAGAAGAAATCAAAGCCGATGATTCAACCTCGTGGAGCTCTTACCGATAAACCCACAAAATCGGTGCCGCCAAAAGTTCGTGATGCCTCGACAGAAGAAGGCCAGCCGAAAGCCAAAAGGAGACGAAAGCATGGCAAGAAGGGAAAGTCGGATGCTGCAGAAGGCGCAGATAAACATGACATTCTTGAGGTTGCAAATGGAGTAGAGGAAGGCTGAAAAACACCATATTCGACATTGGTCGAGCTCACAGTTCAATTAAGCATCAATATCAAATTTCATCGTCGCTCATGTCTTTGTGTTGTCCCAATTCGGCTGTCTAACAGCCTTGCGCCTACCACACTAATCCATCATTCCGTCAACTCCTATCTCGAGTCCAACCATCCCTTCCCATATATAAGTAGCCCTGTCGTAGCCAGCACACTCAACCCAATGGGAAGCGGCTTGCCAGTCTTTATTGCTCTCGGGATCGATGATCCAGCCAGCACCACCGATGCCAGGAGCGCCAGCTCGATGCCGTACAGCTGTCTCTTCTGAATGCGATAGCCGCCAAGACCATACTGCTGTCAATCAGTACCATGTTCGTTTCCCACACAATTTGAGGTGAGCGCGCCAGATCCTCATCAGGTTATGGGTGTGCGGAGAGGAGGGAAGCTGACCAGTGCTCCAACAGTCAGACCTGCTGCGATCGATGGCACAGAGCCAGTGCGGGCGTAGCCGATGATGCCGCCGACGGAGGTTAGGGCTGAGAGGATGAAGGCGGGTGTTTCGGTTGACTTTGCCAAGAAGTTCATAGGTTAGTATCACATAATTTAGAGTACATGAAGTTTGTAAACGGAGCAGGTTAGCTGATCCCCTCCATGCGTTTCCATCCGTGAGCGTTTGGGGGATCGAATGGTAGCGCGGACCATCCGGAAGTGCCTGGGACTTACCATGGTGTCTGGATACTCTCTATTAGTTTCAGAGTCGAAAGAACACGATACTTGGAATTGAGAGGAAGACGATCGTCAACTTGAAGAAGACAATTCAGATCACGATCTGGAATGTTGAAGCAAATGACATCCAAGTGGCCTGTGCGCTGCGGAGCTCGGAATCGGAGCTGTAAGTTACAAGCTTAACGTAGTAAGCTTCCAGGGGTCAACCTCTTGGCAACACCTGGCATGGAATTTCACGGTTTCCAAAGCGTAGCCATTCAATTGCTTCTACAGAGACGATACCTCTACAACGCGAATCCCTCACCACTCAAAAATTCCAGCGAAGCACGATGGCGAAAAAGCCAGCAGCTTCGTCGGCCTCGACATCCTCAAGACCCTCCTCTAAACAACCCTCCTCCTCCACAACGACAACCAACACCTCCTCCGCTCAAAGCACAACCAAATCCACCCCCCCCTCCTCGTCCCTCTCATCCGCATCCAACTCTCTATCCTCCAAATCCTCCTTCCAAGCCATCGCCCTGCACATCTGGAACGACTACCTACAGAACACGCCGCCGCGAACATTCCTCCTCGATGCCTTCATGGCCTTCCTCGTCGTGATCGGCGGTCTACAATTCCTCTACGCCATCCTATTCGGGAACTACGTATGCACTTCCCCCCTCACATCTCCCTCCCCCACAACCTCTTTAGCAACTACTTATCTTTTGTTTTCTGGTTTTTTAGCCATTCAACGCCTTCCTCTCCGGCTTCTGCGCCGCGGTGGGCCAGTTCGTCCTCACCGCCTCGCTGCGCATGCAGACGGTGGAAAAGCTGCCCCAGGGGGCGTCGGCCGACGCGAGGAAAGCTGCTGCTGCTGCTGCGAAGAGGAATGAGGGTTCCGGTGGGGAGGCTGGGGCGGAGGTGGACGGTGGTGCGCCGCGCGTGAGCAGTGAGAGGGCGTTCGCGGATTACGTGTTTGGCAGTCTGATCTTGCATGGGTTTTGTGTGAATTTCATCAATTGAGGGGGTCGGTCGGTGGTTTTGAAGCGTTGGTATGGCATGGAGATAGAAGAGGAGGGGAATGAAGGCGACGAGAATGTGGTCTGTGAAAAGGATGAACTGCTTTGCTGGAAGTATTGAAGAGAAAGAGAGTTTCTGATCTCGTTACAGAACAAAAGCCTGGTTCGAAAAGCACCGCTAGCCATGCAATCCTGTCCTGTCATAGGCACACATTTGAGCAGTCTCTGTGGGTGGCCAGAATGGGTCCCCCCTCAAAACATGCCGATGTCAAGTCGCAGGCAGACTAAGCTTTCTTTCTCTGTCTTCTCGATCCACACATCCACTTCTACAACACACATGTCGTGCTTCGGAACTATTGACTCGAGAGCTCCAAGGCAGTAGGGCATACCAACGCAGGAACTCCTGAATCCAAATGTGGGACTGAAAGTGCTCTACCATTGTCTATTGTCTATGCTTTATCACACTCCGTCTATGCGCACCTGTCTTCCAAAGCTCAATTTCAAGCTGCTGCAACCTTCTGTTTATAAAGCACCACTTTTCAAATCTTCCTTTCCTCGACTGCCCCAGGCCACACCTCGATGTCTTCCTTTCGTCCCGTCTAATTCCTCTTTCACAAGATCGCCCTGTTTGTGTAGTGTTCCGAACGTACCTGACCGCCTCCACAAAATGCTCAGCTCACTGTAGCAGTACCTTAGGAGCCTCCCGTATCCGAGAGCCATTCCAGGTTTTGGGCATGGAAAGAGCTTGTCCAAATGGGAGACATGAATGTCTTTTCTTTTTCTCTTCAAGCCAAACATACCCTCAGCAAGATCACAGAAGATATGTCGGCTACCAAGATGTCAGACAGGCTGACGAGGCTCCCGCAACTCTCATCACTGACACCAAACCACGCAGGACACATCCCAATCTGTCTACATCAGTCCAAGCCAGGATCCAGGACACTATTCTAACTCAGTAAGCCTACTAAGGATATCCTTCCCATCGTGAGCGGGGTGATGACGGATTTGGATCTTCTCGTAGTCGCTCTTTTCCTCTGAAGAACAAGCTGCATGCACCTGCTGGGCAGGCTGTTGATCAACTAATCTTGCTACAATAAAATTGTAGGATATTCTCTGGCTCGAGCATCAAGCCATATTTAACAGTGTTTACAGCTTCGAAGGGGAAATCTTGTGCGGTTTTTCAAGACTTATTTTTCAGGTTTTTTTCCAATAAGGATTCGTGAGGGCCTGTTTGTCTTGGCCGTGGTGCTGGATTGCCCTCAGAATCATCAATCACACTTTGATCTTGACTTTCAGCCCCACCATTATGAATCGCGTATAGATGAGCATAATGCCAGTAAGAAAGACCGTCAGGCCAGAGAAGAGCTGTAATCCGAGATAGCTTCCAGTTTGGTTGACAATCTCACCCACAACAGGAGAGCCAATCAGCAACCCTAAAGACGCCACAAAGAATGCTTGGCCCATGCGTGTGCCGAGGGTACGCAGGTCCGGGGTCAGGCTGATTAATGCCACAGGTGGCAGCGATACGAAGCCGCCAGAGAAAAATCCATAAAGAATGGCGAAGACGAGTATGCCTGGCAGATTTTTTATGCCAATCCAGCAGAGTGCAAGAATACCGGATGCAAGGGATGCTGGAATCAAGATGTTGAGCGGACCCGCTCTGTCCGTTAGGAAGTTGGGCAAAATGCGACCCGCGACAGAGGCGGCGTTCAGAATCGGCAGCAAGTAAAATCCTAGGTTTTCATTGGTGATGCCCATGTTGATTGCGTACGGCTGAAGGTAGTAGACGGGACCGTAAAAGCCAATAAAGCCGAAGAACATTGCGATGCAGAATATCGTGTAAGGAAGTTCCTTGAATGCGGACAACTCAAGCAAGGCCCTTTTCTGCTTCGGCATAACCCGTACCCTCATGACAGCGACTGAAATGAGGGTTGTGAAGAGCGAGATGAAGCCTAGAACCCGAGTAGCCCAGGGAAAGCCGATTCGAGGATAGAGTTGGCGGAAGACGATCGGATAGATGACGCCGCCGAGACTGCTACCAGATGCCGCAATTCCATTTGCAAGGGCTTTGCGGGTTGAGAAATATTGTGGTAGGATAGCTATAGACGGAACGAACAGACAGCCATTGCCTAGTCCGATGCAAACAGCCTGAGCAAGCATTATCTGCCAATATTCGGTGGAAAGACTGGTCATCATGAAGCCAAAGGGAATGAGGAAGGTTCCGAGGCAGATCAGCGTGCGAAAGTAGCCAGCATCATAAGCAGGGCCGGTGATGACACCGACGATGAGTAACAAAAAGGCCTGGATGGAGCCAATCCAAGAAACGTTCGAAGGTGACTCGTCTTGAAGAAGGTTGGTCTCGTAGTAAGTCTGGAACACTCCGAAAGCATTCACGGTTCCCCTACATCATAAAGCGTTAGCTGTATCATGACAACGCGAGCTACTGTTGACGTAGCGGTAGGAAATGGTTTTCTTTCTTCATCTCGAACAAGAATCCCTGGTACGAGCTTACCAGGAATTGAAAAACAAGAAGAATGATCCTAGGACTTGGAGCCAGGCATTAAAGCCACCATTTGGTGGAGGTTCTTGAGCAGGAGTTTGTTTTTCCACGGTCAATTCGGAGGGAGGGACTGTGGAAGGGAGGTCAAGGCCGTTATAACCAGAGTCATTCGAGGAGGAACCATCATCAAGATGTGTCGGCTCCGCGTCTGGAAGGGGATAATGCTTTTCCAAACTGGCCATCCTATCTATCTAGCCGTCAATGCGAAGCTGGTAACGTTCTTGGGGACCTTGAGGCGTATCTTAGAATCTTAGATGCATCTTGAAGGATGGCCTTGCGAGACCAGAATATATATTCCACTGGGAGCAGGGAAGGAAGGACTCTGGATGCCGGCATGCTGAGAGATATTCTATCTGCCGATCCAATAAAATGCTGTATGCAAAGCGCACGGCATGAGTTTGGAAGTAGCGCCCCACTTTACTAGATGCAACTGCCGCATAGCCGTTTAAGGGAACACAACTTGTATGGTGATGACTAACAAGTCCATGTCCTATCTTTTGATGATTCTGTGGCACGCTTCTTACTAGGTAGGTAGTAGTATGGTCCATGACTGGGTTGAAGGTTAGAGTGTCTGTTCCGTGCCGAGGTTGACGGTTGATTTCCAAGCAAAGCTTATCACGCTTCCTTTACCTCCTTTACCTCGGGGCATTTTGAGATTATCATAACATGCCAGTGTTGGGCTGAAAACACGTGCGGCTTACGCAACATAATCTCAATACGAGGTGCCACAGTGCCATCTGTCTCAGCAACTATGACCTCATTACTGTCAGTATCAATCATTTCTCCATCAACTATCCCCTGACCCAACCAGACTCTACAGAGCCTTGCTATTGAACACATCTGTTAACAATATCCCAGGCCACATCATATGCAAGGTTAGACAGCTGCCGACATGCTTCTGTATCCTGAATGCATGGTAGGCTTCCGGCTTCAGAGGCGTTCGCCGAATGCCGAGTTGGTTAACCTAGGTGCATGTATCTCTTTCCGACCTTCATACGGAAATGACGTAGGGGGAATGGCTTGTTGATTCACGGCGCAAATTTTCTGTGGGAGGCACTGCACCTGAACCAGAAATTTGCGAAATTTCGTGAGCACCCGAAGACACATTGTTGCAAGGAATCATAACAATTCTTCACAAGTCCAATCCTCATACCTGCATAATGTTTGTCAGCGACCGGTGTCCAATACATGAATTACGATCTGCATCTTACCATCCGTCTGGTAAATACCGTCGTACTATCAAGGGCATCTTCTTCTGATTGAGTTCCTTGATCGCAATCTGTAGAGGATCTGTCTCTCCTTCAAGATCGACCAGCGTAGGCGCATTACGGCTGGTCTCAATATCAGCTTCTGCTGCGACTGACATGAAAGTGGCCTGACCTTATTTGTAACGCTCTTGTTCCGAGCACCCTGGCCCTCTCATATTTGGTCATGTATGGTGTAGTCGATCGTTTGTCATCGGGGATCTTTTTATCATTTTCGCTCGTGGGCTTCTTCTGACCGGCACTCGCGTCACCAGTCACTACGGTTTTGTTTTGCGTATCGCCATGCTGTGCTTCTCGTGCTGCCACCTCTTCCTCCAGCGCAGTTTCATCAACATCTGGTCCGAAGTCCTCGGGCGGTTCTTCTGGGTCATAGGTATCAAAGTCGTCGCCAGCATCCAGTCTTTAACGAGTTAGGCTCTGATCATAGCAAGATAGAAGCAGTGAAGACTAATGGCGTCAACTGCAGAAGCACTCACCCTGCATCATCATCGCCTCCGTAATCCGACATATTGCCACTACTCTTGCGCCAGTAATTGTGCTGAGATCAGCCGTAATAGGCGTATATTGCTGTAGCAAAAACTCTTCGATGCGACAGTGCTGATGGGTTGATAGTTGTACTGTAGTCGTTGTTCTCTTTTATGTAAGTCTTAGTCGTGGCTCGATGTGGATCGGGAAAAAGATTTTTGGATTCCGGAACTATCGCGCTAAAGTACATAGTGACACTGACCCTTGCACCCCACACAAAATTTTGAAGCTTGAAACAGAGCCTCAAGATACCCCTGACGAAATCCTTGAAGGTCTTTCCAAATACGTCCTCGGTAATGGACTAGAACTCTACCCTATAACAGCCATTGCACTTGTTGATCATGAAGAGAAAGCGCTCATTCGCCAAAGAAGACGTCGGAATGTCTGAAGAATCAGACTTCGATTCTGACAATGACCCAGAAACCCCAATCACCGAACCCCAGACCCCTATTGCGGGTGGCCGGAAGATTCTACCATGCCCTTATCAGGGCTGTGCAAAATCATTCAACCGACAGGCTCGTCTTACTGAGCATATTCGGTCACATACGAATGAACGCCCGTTTACTTGTCCTGAGAAAAACTGCGACAAAGCCTTCCTTCGGGATTCTCATCTAAAGCATCACATTAAGAGCGCCCACACCAACGAACGAGACTATTCCTGCACATGGGCCAATTGTGGTAAGAAGTTCGCTACCGGCACGAGACTACGCAGGCATGAATCCAGCCACCAGACAAAAGAAAAGTACACCTGTAAAGGTTTCGATGGCTGCAACGAGACTTTCAGAAAGCATGCTACGCTCTCTCGGCATATTCTAGCGGTTCATGAGAACAAAAAACCCTTTCCGTGTACAGAGGTGGACGCTGAAAGTGGAGAGCAATGTCACTTAGGCTTCGACACGGCGGAGAAGTTGCGCTCTCACAAGCGAGCTATTCATGATTACACTCGCTTCGTTTGCATGGACTGTCCACCCCTCGATGATGATTTAGCTACTCAGGTCTCCTTCGCGACATATGCGCTCCTCCAAGCCCATATCGCCGAGATACATCCTCCAACATGTCCACAATGCTGTCTACTATGCGCCTCTGAGAAGGATCTGCGCCGCCATCTCGAACTCATTCACAACGTGGTTGATTCAGACGTGGATAAGCCTATCGATCCCTCCTTTCCATGCACATATCCCAATTGCACTCGTTCATTCACCAAGAGGGGTAATCTCAACGTCCACGTGAAGACGGTACATGAGCATCGCAAAGAATTCGTATGCGGCCAAACAGAACTAAAGCTTCCTCACGAAACACTTCCGAATCAAGATTCGGAGCTCGCTACAGCTTCAGAGATTGCTGGCTGCGGTCGGCATTTCACCAGCAAAGCGACCCTAGAAGAGCACGTCCGAACCGTGCATTTGGGCCTAAGCTCGAAGCGGCAAGAGAGAAATAGGAAACGAAAAGCAGAAAAAACCGCTTATGATGATTACGAAGGTGCTGGGAGCTCAACCAGGACCAAAAGGAGAAGAAAGGCCCCACAGCCTACATCAGCCATTGCAGCGCTTACCGGATCTGCTAATCTCGCCCTGGCTGCAGCATACGAAGCAGATCCCAGAATCGGAAATCCGTTCGATGCACTCGCCTATGGTACGGCGTACAACTATGGCGTCCAGCAAGGTTTCGATAATTTTCCCATGGGCAATGTGCCGGAAGAAGAGAAACAGAGCGAGTCGAGCTGGAGTCCGGATCTTGACAATCTCGCTGCGTCAGCGTTGGTGGATCCTCTATTGCTATGAGGCTACGTAGGAGGCTGAGGCGGACGAGGTGGAGACCGAGGTGGAGGTGAAGGATGTGGGTAGCAATGTGGATGAAACAAGAACGAGACTGCTTCTCCGGACGATTGATACATGACATACACGACGACGACGAAATGTTGCGAATGCATATGATACCTGTGTTAACACAAACGATACCGCGGTCGGAATAGAAGAATAGAAGTCGAGGCAGAAGTCTGGGGCCGGGGCAAAAAGACAAATAGACGCATGAGACACCAAATAGGCTTCTGAAGCATTTCATTCTTTTACCTGCTGACCTTTCTATCTTCTCATATGCTAGCCGTACAGTCGCAGCATGCCCTGCAGCCTGCTCCATGCGTATCGACGAGGATGACACAGATGTGAACCTCCATCGAGAGCCATGAAACGCTGTCCTATGCAACAGAGCCCCCTTCCAGTAATGGTCATGGTTTCACATCTGCCATTCAGGCAATCCCTAGAGAGCAGACGCGTCGCCGCTCATGCCCTCCAGCCCCGTATAACACATAAATGCGTACCTCCATCTAAATGTTGTGAATCAAAAAGTTCCGGAACGAGTCCCAGTGGTCCGAATTTACGTATCTGCGAGGAGATGATGCGTAAGCGCATGTTTCATGGACGTCTCCGCACCAGCAGCTGCCTGATAACAAACTTATACAGAAATAGAGCACTTACATGTACTTCATACTGCTCCTCAAGCTCGGTTGGATGGTATCAGGATACCATCGGAAGATATACATGACTAGTGCCCAGCTCAGACTGGCGAAGACGGGCCAGGCGCCTGTTTGGATCTTTTCTCGTGCGCTACGGGAGAGGAAGGGGTGTGTTAATGAGAAGGTGGGTGAGGAAGAGGAGCGGGTGCGGCGGGGTTGAATTGAGAGTTTGGCGAGGGCGAGCATGACGCGCGCGAAGATGTAGATGACGATCTATTTTCAAAAGAAGTATCAGAACCCCCTGCATGTTTTGAAGGTTGGAGAAGGGAGGAGGTTAAGTACCTGCTGATTAACACTGCCTTGTTTCCCTCTGCCAAAGACTGTATATCCACCTAGTAATCCGGCTAGGAAGGTGTCATATGGCCCTTCTTTTCCTGGTCGTAGAGGGTTGAGCGCTCGTAATAATAGCATTGAGGATTTATATATGACGGCAAAGGAGGCGAGATTGCGGGCGTGTTGGCGTGTGGCTTTTAGAATCAGGTAAATCTTTTCTCGGAAGCTGGAAAGGGAGGTGGTTAGATGGGTGAGGCAACCGGGGGTGCAGTACAGGAGCAGGGAGAGACGTACGTCCCAGATCGGAATAGGAAGACCATGCTATGAGATAGGAGTAGTCAGCTTTGGGTCTATGAGTAAGAATGAAGGGGGTCGAGAGTACTCCTTACACCAGAGCATGTGGAAAGCGGACTTTGGCGCCATAGACAGCACCATTGCGGGCAGATTTGATGATGGTAAGAAGAGGGGCTAGGTCAGGATTAAGTACTATGCTGTTGATGATATCCTAGCGAGAATTTAGAGGGATTAATCTAATCAATGCGCGGCGCATGTACCTTGATTGATTCCATTTTGAGTGTTCAATATGGGAAGAGAGAACGAGTGCGGGGAGTACCAATAACACCATCGGAAATTGTCTGCTCACTTGACAACCAAGAGTGTAGGTATACGGCCTGCTAGAGCATAAGTATAGTCGTTGGGTTTCAGTGTGGTATCGACTCCATCCGAGTGTGGTGAATGCCAAAGCAAGGAGCAGCGCAACAGTAAACAGTATGGAAAGCATCTGCGGGCAAGTTTGTCTAGCATCTCACAATTGTCAATTGATGGCCCGAGGCTCACATGTGACGGGGTGGCCATAGCAGGGAGCTCCGCTGCTACTATACTAACTACTACTAGTAATACTATTACGTAGTAAGGTCTCCAGTGCTCACAACCAATCGTTGCTCACCAGTAGGAAAGCCCCATTCAGCTTTGCTCGCAATACTCAAAGACATGCTCAGTGCAGAAAGAGAAGTCCCCCGCACAAGAACGATGAGCTTTGCATGCTGATGTCTACCTAGATCTCATCGACCAAATGCGTGAGTGGAGCCCGGCTCGTGCTCTGCCTTTAGTAGAGCTTCCCCATGAATAGCGTAGAAGAAGATCTCGGAGGTTTCGACGCATTTAGCGGCAAGACAATAACTTCCTTGTATCTATTGAGCACTTTTGATGAAAATCACCAGCAGCGTCCTACCACAGCACACGACCAGAAGTCTTCGACAACACAGGCTGACAACGCCCTAGCTCCCAATAGGCAATGTCATCCAAGAGAGCCAGAAGACACCTCGAGGTGAACTAGTGCCGCAACATGTTCCTGGGGTGGATGGATGGTTGAGGATCGAAACCAACAAACAAGAAGTGCATGGTCTGGCCAGAGAAGGTGTGCACGCAATGGGCAATTCAGCGCTACAGCACTGCATAGCGTGCCTGCACTCTGGATCTGGTTTGGACTGATCCGAGTTGGGCTGGAGCGCGAATGTTCAAACGGGAATACCGTTGCCAGGTGGTATATCAGGGTTATAGAGTACCAATTTTATCATCAATGTCTTCCCCACTTCGGTGGCGCGGTAGATTGAATTCATACCGAGAACTCTCCAGCACTTGGGACAGGAAACGGCACGGCTTTATCTTCGAATGCTTCGTCGCCTTGATCAAAGATCTTTACGTAGAAGAATCAGGCTGGGAAGTTTTCTCGCTGGTCACGTCTGTCCTAGTTAACTGTCGAAAAGGGGGCGATAGTCGGTAAAGGGTAGTAGAGTCAGCAAAATAGCTGGTCTTCAAAGGTATTTAACGGTGATAGGTTCTCTGTGATCTTGCTCTCTAAAATAGATGTCGCCGCGGCTCTATATCCACTCTGGGACTGTGCGATGTTTGAGAATGATTAACGAGCTCGGCATCGGCGTGACGCGAAGACCCGGGTCTTGCTAACTTAGCCACTAGTTAACTAATTTCAATTGTGCCTAGGTAGGGGTCACTTCTCGTATCGCTGTTTGCTGTTTGCTGTTTGGCTTCTCAACCGCAGCCAATGGTGGCTAAGACCACGCAGGTAGTAGGTTTGATGACGCGGAAGCGCAAGGCACAACCACTCTTCAACGCAAAAACTCTTCTGCCTTGGGATTCGGCGGGTCATTCTTGCAACTCTTGTCTGACACCGCCACCAGGCAACAGTACTCGGCCTTACGTAGTAAACCGCAGCATAGTTCTCAATCTATTAACCAAGTTGGCCCGTTCCCCGATACACTGGTGTCGTGCGTCGTGGACCGTTGCGTCAGCTTTTGTTAGGCCTGTTAGAAGCAAGATGGGTTGTATGTATATATGGAGCGCCTGGGGGGCAGAGAAGAGGTGTTTACTATTGAATAATTCACATCCGCTGCCTCACCACCCATCCCTGTACACTGCATTTGCATCTTCCCTTCCACACTGTTTCATGTGATCCTCCTTGGGTGCCTTCTACCTATCAACTACTTGCCTCGAACTCCGATTCAGAACGGATACCGCTGCGTAACCCGCTTTCTCCACAATGACGATACATACCCACAAGAACACCGACTCGACCTCGATTGCGAGCGAAAGCCCTACGGTTCAGCTTCCTGCTTACAGCGAAAGCGATGCACATAGCAATGCTGGATATGAGATGGTCGATCCTCCTCACTCTGCCGATCAATCCACATATATGACAGCAGAAGAAGAGAAGGCCTACCTTGGCAGCCGGAGTGACCAAGAAGCGCCTACCCTTCAGCGTCATGCGCAAATCGAAGGACCGCACGAAGGAAATGCGCAAAGTCGAATCACTTCACCAACACCTCTGGACATCCATGAACAGTCTCAATCTAGCGGTCCATCTGCAGCACTAGGTTCTCGTGGCCTCCAGGTCCCTTCGTCTCGTGCCAAGGTGTCATCTGGCTTCCCATATCCAGATATGCTCAACAGCTATGGCGTCAGCCCTAAGGAATGGAGCACGTTTACCTCTGAAATCACTCGCGCGGCTCAACTAAGTAGCAAAGATTGGACCATCACTGTCGGTGCTAGTGTAGCGACCTTTCTCGCTTCTGGCATCTTCATTAACTGGCTGGGATTGATTCCTGCCGTCGTCGTTGGGCATCATCTCCGCAAGTCGACGGAGCACAAGAACCTTCGAGCAGCCAGGGATTCGGGAGATCTCGAGGCCAAGCTCTTGAAATGGAATCAGACCAGCTTTGCGCCAAGAGGGTTCTTGGTCCGCCTTGACTTACCGGGCGACGAATTGAGCGATCTGACCGGACAGGATGTTTTCACACCGAAGAAATGGGCCGGGTGCTGTGGTGGTGGTCGCCACACTCGTGCAAGATCATGTGGTGGGGGGAATAAATGGGCAGGCAAGACCGAGAAGAGAGCACAATACTTGCAAAGGAAGGCCGCCAAAAGGGGAAGGATTGTCATCGTTCCACTTGACGGAGTCAATCGTTCCATGCCGGGCTCGTCAGCAAACGTTGAGAAGACCATGGACCAGAACCCTCTGTCAGAGTCAGAGAAAGGTCTGGTTGCGATCCGTGAAGTTTGATGCCGTTACGGGTTCTGGCGAGGAGATACAACAACATTTAACATCACGATAACGTCTGGTTTATCGAGGTGGCTCTGTAATGTGCATTGTTTCTGGGTTAGAAGATCCCCTTCAGGGCTACTGGACTTTCGGCGTGCATTATATCACTAGACTTGTACAACCAAAAAACATACCAGTCGTCCAGACTGGACTCCTTCTCCGATTCTAGATTTTGCCATCAATCTTTGCTTCTCGGGACCCCATCAAACTGGCGGCATAGAGGTCATGAAGCATCAAGAACTCGCAGGTGGAAATTTTGGAAGGGTCTGTGGTCAGAGACGGATGAGGTCTGATTAGCTCTGTGTATACAAGGGGGCTGTGAGTAATGCCAATTACGTGGCGGAAATGCTCATGTCGTCAGGATGATTGAAACAACAACTCCTCTGATCCACGGCCGAGTTTTTGAGATCCGATAACCCGCTGAACCAGGTGGGAACCCTAAAACAATGTGCTTCGGATCTACCCCGTACTGTACTAGATGGAACACGTTGAGCTCAGCGTACAGCACTAACTAACTAGCATTTAGAGCATGTCTACCCGATTTGGCCCCGTCTATCTCACCACTTAGAACATATTTCGATACGACAGTGAAACATGGTTTCTGTGACCAATGATTGATGCTATCCTCCAATTACTTTGCTTGCACGCAGATAAAAGCGAGATTGATCTCATTAGAACACTTTAGGCTATAGTAATCTCAGTATTCCTTTAGGCTGAGGTCCCTTACTGGGCATCCTACCACTTGACACTGAAGACAGCTAGCTACTCTTTCGGCACCATGAAATCTAAGGCGACAGCTGCACAGAGAACAACAAGCCTGTCTTCACACGACGTTCGGGCTGTCCACTTGCCTGAAACTAAAAGGCCAGCGTCCCCGCATGTCAAGTCTGACCATCCACCACTTCGACCAGGGGTACTCGGTACACCTATATTGTCTCATGTCTCTGCGGCATATCACTGACCTGACTCTCTACCACTGATGCTCCACTGGTTGATATTTAGCATCTCCTTTCCAAGAGCCGTACTACTGTATTCCTGTGCTAATAGTGATACTCTTTTTGCACCAGGACAACAAGCGCAGCACACAACTTGGTTGATGCGACTTACACAACATCTGCCGAGTATCACAATCGTATATCATACTATATTGATCTGAAACTCTCATGTCGTTTATTCCCCAAAACTCTCTCGTTGCCCAGTCTCTTCATTCAAACCCAAATTGTCCTTGTTCGTGCAAATCTTCACTGGTGCTGAACTGGCCGCCTGAGCTCTGCCTTTCCCTGTTACTCATTGACCATTATCTCACGGGCTCGGACAGCGCCAAGATACAATCAACAGCGTCTCCACTGTCATCATGGCCTCCCCTAACAGATCACGTGTCCCGTTCTGGCTTCGAGATGACCAGGAGTACGACATGGGAGAGGTAGTAGGCGAGGGAAGGTTTGCCCGAGTACTGAAGGCGAAGGAGAAGGTCACCGGAAAAGTTTTGGCCGTCAAGGTATTCAAGAAGGGAGGGCCGATAGATGTGGAAGTGAGTGCCAGATGGATTGCAAAGCACGAAGCGAACATGCTTGACTGCGCCCGAGGTGGAGTAAGTACACGATAGCCCTGTTCCGAAAAGGACCCTCTCTTCTACCACCATGACACTCTCTTCTGCAAGGGTTCTGGAGACACGCCTCGCTAACACCGTCATCAGCCTTACATTCTAGCCGCGGGAAGCGCACGTAACTTGAAAAATGGCCAAAAAATGGTGGAGATACCAATGGATTTTTATAAAGACAGCCTTGTGGCGTTGATGAACCGGACACGAGACACCCGTGGCCTTAACAGTAAGTTGTCCGTTGATTTACGATTTACGATTTACGATTCACGATGGCTGACGCTTCATAGACGAAGATGGCTGTATAAAGGTCCCTTCTTATTACAATACCGTACTAGAGCAGATGCTTCAAGCTCTGGAATATCTCCACAGTAGCGATGTCTCGATTGTACATCGCGATATTAGGCCGGAAAACATTCTTTGTAACGACGACCGATTTTTCGTCCTAGCCGACTTTGGTCATGCCAGACATGGGGATAACAACGTTACCGAGTGCAATGGGGCTTACGAGTACATGCCACCGGAAATGTACGTTTCCGAGCGGCAGACATACGCAGCAGATATTTGGAGTCTAGGTGTGCTAGGCTTGGATATGTTGAGCATGGTGCCTTATGTGCATGATCGGGATCGTACTTTCGAGAAGATGATAAACAGGAAATGGTTGAACTCAATTGTTGCGATTGCGAAGCATTCCGACAAGCCCGAATTGGAGAAAATGGTGCAAATAAGACCCAGGGAGAGATCCACCGCTAGTGGAGTGCTACGGTTCCTAAGGAACAGCCCCAGCACTCAGATACACGACTACCCAGCCAACGTGTTTCTCCTCTATTTAATGTTCAGGGAACTCGACCAATTTAAGAATACCGACCCGAGAGTGGTTCGCACAATTGCGTATGGTTTCGAAGAATCAACAGCGCAGGCTCGAATGGTGAGGTCAATGGGCGCGACTCTTGCAGAAGCTAGCCCATCATCCTCATCGGAAGGAACATCGTCGACAGAGCCCGCGGGGGTCTACTCAAGTTCATCACCATTACCAGAAGAGATACATCAAGTGCTGGCAGCATCAGGCCTGGCCGCATCGCCAGGCCTGTCAGTAATACACAAAATGGCACGCGAATCAAACATACCTTCCGATCCGCCAGCGCTGGCGCATAAAATAGACTCGCTTTGGCAGGCATCTACAGTAAATTGGGTCATGGACACACCAAAACAACCACGTCCACCTACTAAACTGACACCGGGAATACTACAAGCCCTGGTAAAACGAGATACCACCGGCCCTCGACCACCGCCAACACCTAGATCGGCCAGACGGTCAAGGGGAGGAAGCCTGAACCCTGGCTCGCGGCCAGTAGCTGGGTCAGCTACATCGACAGGGCTATCACACTCTACTCCTGGACCTCTATCTACAGCGCGGACACCCCGATCAGCAGACCAATCGCATCCAGATCCTAAACCATCAACATCAGAGTCGCCTAGATCCGCTGGACCCTCAAGCTCGACCGCGAGACCTCTACCAGCAGAATCTCAGAGAAACACGGAGGAACTGACCTCAAAAGCAACCTCCACGCTGGAGGGTAAGCAAAAGAAAAAGGAATGTTCAAGCTCTGCGAAGTCAACCCGAAAAGGACAGAAAGAATCTGGGGGACGCTCAAGCTCGATTGCAACGAGGCCAGGTGCTGACGACTCGGGTGCAGGACCTTCAGGGCATTCGCAAAAGGAGATAGCCGAGGAACGCATCAAAGGACCCACAAAACCGCCGCAGAAGAAGTCACGAAGAGCGGCGGGGCTGCGAGTAGTGTGGACGAGCGGCAGGCGCCAGTCCGGACAGGGATGGCCGAAGCTTTAGAAGCTGTCAGGGCTTCAGAAGCTGCTCAAGAAGAACAGCGAAAGAAAACTCAGGCACGGACTCCACAAGCTACTGGTCAAGCCAGGCCTTCCAAGGCGGCTGAGAAAGAGCAGCAAAAGTCAAGTCCCAAAAAAGAGCCACCTGCACCCAAACCGAAGAAACAGGAGCAAAGTTCAAGTTCAAGTTCAAGTTCAAAGAAGGGACCCGACGCTCCACCAGTCGCTGCGGAAAAAGAGCGAGAGCGAGAGCCACACGCGAGCAAGGAGGCCAAGGCTGCACAAGCTGCCAGATCTACCCAGTCCGCCAGCTCAGGTAATCTTCCTCCACTCACACCTCCCAAGTCTGTCAACCGCAGCGGAGCTACTGAAAGCCGGCTCTCATCTCCCTTCCGTCAACCATCAACGTCCACAGCCCTACGGCCCACCTCCTCAACTTTACGGTTCGCTTCCTCAGACTCCGTGGAGAGCAAGACACCCGAAACCAACCAGTCATCCGGCAGTATCCAGTCAGTCTCTAGCCCAGGATTGAACCCTAATGCAACTTTCTGGTTCCCACAAAGTGAAACATGGCCTCCAAAACAAGTGGACAGCGCTCTGGCTACTAAATCCCAAGCTTCGACAAACCTTCCGCCACCCGCTGCTCGGTCCATAGAGTCTCAGCAAAGTGGATTGTCGGAAGTTTCAAGCCTGGCGTCCACTCCTCGCCTCCTCGAGGTAGGAGGCGAGCATGAAGCCAAACACGATAATGATGATGGAGGATGGCAGCAACCGCGTCGAAGAGGAAGGCGTGGCCAGAGGCGGTCTACTTCCGATGCTCAGACTCAAGACCGAAGCCAAGGTAGACATTCCCGATCCCCTTCTCGGACTGTCCCTACCACTGCTACTGCCAAAGCTGACAATCGGCAGGACGAGGCCCCAAGTAGCCGTCTCCCAGCCCGCGAAGGTTCCGAATCAGCCGTATTCCGACCCCGATAGATTGCCTCGTTGTGATTCCGTGGAAATTCTGACGGGGAACGTTGAAGCACATCCAAATTATTCTTCCTCCTTTACTCATGCTCCCCTGCCCACGTTGGGAGCAGCCCTCAGCGCTTAAGCCCAGGGTGAATTATCCCCTCCTCAACCCTCCCACGCCCCGTCCCAGTACCGAGAGCGAGCAGGAGAAGTAGAATTAGAATCAGAACAACAAGGGGGGGCAGCAGGAGAAGCTAACGACAATCAAGACGGAGGGCATCAGTTGAACGCCTCCCATGGCAGAGGTAGGACCCGTCGCGGCAAACGAGCGGGTCGTACGTATTAGGCGCGATGGCATCTTATGGGAGCTGCTAGAGCTGCAAACAGAGGCGATTACTTACATATATCAGAGGCCATGGATAAAAAGGTGGCATCACCATGATGTATTGTCTTCTAGGTCAGAGTATGGTTGTTAGATAAAAATATATATATCGTCTCTAGGATCTGTCAGACCACCCTTCTCCCCCCCTCTTCTTACCCTCATCCCGCGGTTCGCTTTCCCGCTCCGCCTTCCCGCTCCGCCTTCTCATAGCCCCATTCACTCCTCACGAGAAACCCAACCATACGCCGCCCGCTCGTGGTCGCAACCTTCACCCTCAGGGGAAAACAAAGAGCATCGCGAGACTTTCAGATCAACCCGAAGCACTATCAGAATGATCCTCACTTCGTTTTCGTTCGACGTATCTCAGCCCCAGCCCCCCCCCCTAATCGATCAGTCAATCTGTTTTTCGTCTGGAGACCGCACACACACATACAGAGATAGACATATATCAAGAGTGGACTGACGAAGGACGACTGAGGATGGAGGGAGATGAGAAGACCAAGGGGAAAGAGGGGGTTTTAAAGGGGCGGGCAGGCAGGAAGAAAGCGGAAAGCAGAAAGCGTGGCAAGGACGAAAAAGTCTGTTTGTGTTTGTGAGAGAAAGAGAGAGAGAGAGAGAGAGAGAGAGCAGAAGATTAGGAAGAGGGGAAGGGAAAAGAGAAGAAGAGAGATAAAATATGAAGCGAGTTTGTTTGTTTTTTTTCTCTATGGGATGAAAAAACGACAACAGGCGAAGACCTTTTTTTGGAGGGGCCCCAGCGAAGGATAGATAGATAATCACGGCCATGAGCAGTGATGAACTGACTCGCAACTTATTTTCCGTTTCATGTCTGCTGCTCAGTCGTCCTCGTCCGGTTGCTCATTCAGTAATATGACTGAAATTTCGGTCATAACGCGGAGCTTTCCTGTCCCTATCCCTACCCCTACCCCTATCTGTGGCGGTATCAAGTTGAGTTCCTTCGCGAAATGCACATCGAAGCAGGACGGATCAGCATCATTGCCACCGCGAGGAGAGGGAAGTGCCCTCCACTCAATTGGTCGGTCAATCAGTTCGAATGTACGTCTTGCTCGGAACCGAACCCAGAAATCAGACCAAGTCCAAGTTCGTCATGGAAGCCCGAGTCGCATCAAGCTCGTTGGCTGGGTCGTGCCGAAGAGGTGTTCTTAGGCTTCATTGAAGCCCTTGAATGAGAGCGGATGGGCACAAGCACAGATGGACCAGAGAGAATGTGTTGGGCATCGGTTGTGAGACATGTTTACCTGAATCGTAGAGACCACCGGGAGGATGGCAAGTCCTCGCTGCCGTTGTGACTGCTCTCGAGATGATACCCGGAAATGAATGGTGATGAACCCAGTCGGTCGGCCTGCTGAGGATTGAGTTATACCACCGATTGATGTAAGGTCAGACGAAGGACGACTGTTGTTTGTCTCTGAGCAAGCGAGCCGCCATCTCTCCTACTAACGATCAGTGAGAAGACTCGCTTCTTCCAATAAATTGTGATCGGCCATATGCATTGTATGCTTCCAGCTAGATGGTTCCGGACAAGACCAACAAGCTGTGCAGAAGAGAGACCGCGCTAGCTACAGTAACTTCTAACGAGTAATAGTCAGAGCATTTAGATGTGAGTGATCAAGATTGAAAACATGTACTTGGTTCAAAGAATCGAAGACTGATATATATCTTGTGCTTCAGCACATCCAAACTTGAAAGATTTGCCCGTTAAGACGGCAAAGGAGATTCATCAAACTCATCATCATATGCTAGCAAGCAAAAATGCAAGCAAGCGAGTGTCCCATAAATCCCCCCCGGCGGCGGTGTCTTCCTTCTAATGCATCATAAATTGCTTTCCTCTGTCGTTATATTGATTCCTCCGCAGATGAAACCACAAATGCAAGCCAGCATAGATAAGGACAGTTACTTCAAGTGGGGGGTATCTCAAGGAAGAGTAATCGTAGCTTAGTTGTTGGATGTTGATAAGAAAAATAAAATAGGCGTGAGCCTGTGCGCACCAGGCAGCAGATATAAAATGATGTAGAAGCAAGGGAGACAATCTGGTCATGTATAAAAAAAGGTAAGCGGGATAACAAGGAAGAGCAACCGGTAAGCCCCAGCTGACATACCAGATTGTTGCACAAGTCTCAAATCAACGCTTGCTAAGATGGCAGATGAACGACAAAAGAACAGAACAGCGAGAACGACGTGAAGCGAATCGCAACGACAACGAATTAGGGACGAAGCAGGTTAGAGGCTGCCAGCTTCAGCTCTCGTCTTCATCATCATCACCCTCGCCGTCGTCACTATCATCTGCACTCTCACTGGCGATCTTGCTCTTCTTCATTGGCATATTCTCGTCGTCAGCACTACTCGGCGCTTTCCTCTTTTGTCCCGAGGTTGGAGCAGCGGACGCCTTCGCAGCCGGAGTCTGGTTGTTCTCGTCACCTCCAGGTGCAGCTCCGCCTTTCTCCATTGCGGCAACCTCATCAGCGGTCAAGAACCGACCTCCCGGGCCGCGAGGCCGTCTCATAGCATGGTTGTGCCGAGACTCGTGAAGGTATGGCTTCCGACCCTTCGACGTTAGACGCAGTTGTTCTTCCAGTTTTTGTCGTGCAACTCGTCGTTTCAGAATGCGATGAAACTGCTTTGCGTTAACATATAAAGGTGATTCCTCAGCGCCACCAGCTACAAGTTCTGGTGAGGGTTGGGTTTGCTGGACAGGCTGTTGAGGCGGCGGCATCTGCGATGGTGGAACGGACGGCCGTGGGACGTGATTCATGACTGGTTGAGAGACTTGGTTGTGAGGGCTGTTGTTCATATGCTGACTCATTCTTCTTTGTTGCTGGTTCATGGGTGGTCCTTGTGGCATTGCCACAGTTGAGGGTAGTGAAGGCATTTGTTGTGTTGGTGACCGAGGACCCCGTTCACTCTTGACTTGGCCTTGAGGACCTCCCTGCATTCGACTCATGTCGTGTGGCATTTGGTACTGCGACTGTCCTGATGCCGCTGCCATCGCCATCGCAGCTGCTTGACCGGGCGAAATGCCATATCCTTGTGACATGCCTCCAGGCACTCCGTATTGAGGATAACCCATCGTCTGGTGCATCTGATTGGACTGCGGTTGGGATTGATAATGTGTTTGCGCTTGTGATGGCAGAATTGGCGATGCCTGTGTCTGATGTGATTGTTGCATATGAGAGGGAGGCCCTGTCGGAGAGGTGATAGAGCCTACTTGAGCTCCAGCATTTTGGGATGATGTTTGATAACCACCTTGCATATGAGGAGCGTGTGAAGGTTGAGGATGCGGAGTTTGTTGATACTGCGGAGGGTACTCCATCGTGAGTACTGCTTGTGTGTGCTCAAGCTAATGCAGAGCACGTCTTGAAAGTAGGTCTCGAGGGGAAACGGTATGCTGCAGGAGCAGGCTGGGTAACAGCTGGGCCGGTAGCTGCACGATAGTGGGCAGTATCCTACACCAGTCAAATTGCTCACAACCACGTGGAATTTGGCAGCCTCCCACGGTGGCGCTGCTGGGTTTGTTATGAGGCGTGCCCCCCAAAACTGCGGACGGGGTCTGTTTCTCAGTAATATAGAAAAGGGCGTCTCATAAACTTGATTCGGCAGACTAGTGGAGAAAGCTGGGACCTGGTACCTCGCGTCAGTACCTAGTGCATCATGCCGTGGCCACTGGACCACGAACTGGGACCAATACTGACTTGAGAGTTATTTTGATCATCCAACTTATTTGACGTTCCCAAGGTGATGAGGTTTATTTGCGAGATTGTTTATTGAAAGCGAAATTGCAAATGAGCGACGTCGAGCCCACGGGTGACGCACCCAGAGCGTGCACGCAACGTAGATTGGGCCCCGATGCAGCTCGAGCTGTCTGACCGCTGTACCGGGATTGATGCGTTGTCAGTTGCAAGGACTGTGGCGCAGGAGTTGACAAGCGCGCACTCGGCGAAATAGAGCCAGCTCGTCGTAGCGCTCGCCACTGTCGGCGCGTTTGATGATCAATTGAATCGGATACTAGGGCTGGTGGTCGGGATGCGATTGGGAGCGGTAGAGCTTGACAGGCGGCTGACTACCAGAGGCTGACTTGGGTGGAGGTTTTTGGTCAATGCGAGTATAGCCTCAACCTTAAGAAAGTTCGGACTGGACTATGAATGAAAAGCATTAGTATTCGTCGCCCGTGACATGAAATACAATCATTGGAGGACAGAGATGTGGGACGCCCAAAGTGCCGACGATTGGAGTGATGCGTTGGCAAATGCGGGACTGTAGCATGCGCGACCAAGCCTACCTGGTCGATCAGTACAGTCTGGCAGCGAGCCTAACTTCGCAGAGAGCCTTGATGCTCTCGAATCCTAGAAGGCTTGAACGCTTTAAGCAGAGAAAAGCAATGCGCTTTCTAATTTCTGTGCGCTGTTGGAGCGGAGTAATGCCGTACGAGGTGGAGAGATTTCGTGAATTTGCACGGGTCCAAGTGGGGTCTCGCTTCAATGCGCAACTGCTGGAGATGAACAGCGTAACAACCCCCTAGGTTTTGAAGGCAAGATTGGAATATAGTGACAATGTTGATAGTGAAGCTCTTGAAGATACGACGTCAGAATGTGTTGCTCAATGAAAGTGCGGACCGCGCCTGGTAGCCGCGGCTGTGATTCGGATTGTCAAATAGCAAAGAGCTGTTGATCTTTGCGTGAACCACCAATTCGCAACAGGAATCTAGGAGTGGCAGTAGTAGGTAACGGTGGACCAATAAAGAAGGATTCGTGCCTATTCCAAGACCGAAGAGCTGGGATTCGTGGGTGTGCTATGGGAGAAGGAATGGAGGAGAATGATTCGTAGAAGACGTATTTTAAGCTGATCAGCCTCGGGAGTCGGGACAGGGTGTGTGGAGAGTGAATTTTTCGCGTGGACAAGGCTCACGAGGAACTGAGGGCTTTCAGTGTCTGCGGTGCAATCAAGCAGACCGGAATTCAAAGTCATACGAATGGTATGACCACTTATCGGGAGGTTGCACAGTATATGCTTGTAATTGATTGGGTGAGAATGGTAGAGATGATCGAGTAGGATTGGTTGGTTTGACAATGGAGGAAGGGGGCAAGGAATAATGATGGATGGTGGTTGGGTGTCTAACTCTGAATCTGCAGCAAGTGCCTAGTACCTGCTAGTTAGTATGGCACCGGGGTTTGGGGTGGGGGCTCTACGCTGGTGTCTTGCCTATACAGTGATAAGTTTAGCCGAACAATGTGACAAGCCACCGCAGATTCAGGCGCCACTGCAGGCGCCACTGCCTGGGATCTTGGGGCTGTTTTAGGCGTAGGTGGCGCCAGCTTTGTAATCCACTTTTTATCGAGGGGTGACAGTGACGAAGCTTTTCCTTCGGTTAATTACTATGTATGTTACAAGTCAAGAGCAACCATAGTTCGTCACCATATGCGGATGTCAGGTACACGGGGCAAGGAGCAAGGTGCAAACGATTGTTGTTCTAGCAATCTAAAAACGCTCTAGTTTTGGCTCTGACTTACTCATAACAGTAGGAGAGATTTCGTGAGCTTAAAGAGAGGACAAGTCGGTGTAGGGCGTAAGCGCAGGAGCGAATGAAAATGTCGGTGAAGGAAAACAACGACGGACGCCTTTCTTCTCCCATCCCCCGCTCTAGATCCTCGCTTCTCGAATCGTTGCTGCCCAAGTAGAGTCGGTCGAAGCTCGAGTTGGGCAGCATGACGCATATTATGCAGCATTACTCTGTATCATCAAACCAGTCGATCAATTTCGGGTATGGTGCTACACAACGGCAATTCACCCCTCCGAGGAGTTAGTGAAGTCATTAATCAGGAAGCATAGGGAAAACCTTCTTCACCCGCGCATCCCCGGTCTGAAGCATTATATGAAGAGATTTAAGACAGTAGTTACGTAGCAAGGCATTTAAGATTTTGGTATTCGTCCTAAGTCGGTCAGGGGCGTCGTCTTCGTTTCTACAGCTTCCTAATTCGGACAATTCTCCTACCCTAGTCGCGGTCGAGGAGATTTGTTTCTCCTCTTATGCGCGCCACTTTCACCCAATCACACTCCAGTCACCACTTTCATCTCTTTTGTCATTTCTCTGATTCGTGCTGCTTTGGCTTTTAAGCCTTAGCCATCACAAACGATTCCAAAGCCTGAGGTTGATTCCCTGTGTATACATAGTAAATGCCCATGATTAAATTCAGGTCACACAGCGCTTGCCACGAACTCCTTCAAGCCCTCCTTGTCATGAACGGACTGGTTTCATATTTGCCTGCATGGAGACGTTTCTCATCCCCCAGACCATCCTGGTCACTGTCTCATCGATCATTGGTACGATGATATGGTACTGGCAAGGCTGGTGGTTTCGCTTTAGTATTCTGGGTCGTTGTGTTCAGACTGATCCCGGATACTGGCTGATAGGTGGCAAGAAGAACATTGAGGAAAATTCCAGAACCATTTTTCTGCGTCTGCCGCTAACCATCGAGAGAGTGATACAGAGCTTTGATCTAAGGGATGTAAGGCACGGGACGTCAATTGGTCGTAGCCGCTGACTCCGTACTAGTGACGTTTCTTGCCGTACAAAAACGATTATTGTGGCCGGACCGTGGTTAGGCGTTCCACCCAAATTGGAAGTAGTTTATGCTGTCTTTCTTCTGTAAGTCTCTGGTCACATCTAAGACAGCGGGGCCAGCCAACCACTCTGCAGGATGTTAAGCACATGGCATGGGCAAGTGCAGCCGGTGTTGAGGAGGGTGAGCTTTGCGCCTCGCTTTGCTAGAATTGTCGTTTTTGCTGATATATGCCTGCGTATTGGCTACATATGTCTCGTTGTCGTTGGGAGCAGGTACGGGTGGTACTCATCAACCATGGGAATGAATGTGTATGATACCGAATATGCAGCCAGAAGGCATCGCTGAACCAAGTTTTGGACGCCGATCAAGTACGATCAGCATGGGCGCGCAGATTTACTCTGCAAGCACCATCCTCAACATTGCTAGGAATGATGGGTGGAGCTTTAGGACTTCCGATACTGGCGGTTTTACAGGTTCGCCTGCTGTCCGTCTTAGCCGATCCTGTGCTTTCATCCGTCGTTTCCGCTCGGCTGCGATTGGGTCGAGCCCGTCCAGTTCTTCTTCCTCGTCAGTTGACTCATCCTCATCTTCATCGTCATACTTGAGTTCCTCAAGGTCCATCTGTCATAGTCAGTAAACTTGTTCATTGTGAAATCAATCTCACCTACTGCATTGAGTCCAAAGTCACTGCTCTTGAACGTCGCACTGCCTGGCATCGACTCGCGTCCACCTGTGCCCTCAGCCGCCATCTTTTGTCGCGTTTTGTTGTTGTGCCATTTCTTTCTCTCTTCTTGCCATTTTACCAGAGCATCAATCTCGGCTACCGCTCTGTTTTTGTTGATCTGCCCCATGTCCACAGCTCCCTGAAACAATGCATTCATGTCGAGCTTCCCTCCCTTAGGACCGTGCCTCAGAAATTCCAGAATGTTTTCTAACCATCCCATCAACGCCGCAAATAAACCATTATCGTGAATATGCACCTCGTGCACGAATTTGTAAAAATTGTGCTCATGCCTAGCGCATAAATCTATGAAGGACTGAACTGTCTGGTTTGGATCTGCCGAAACGTCTTGCATCTGCGCCCTCTCGACCACGGAAATTGCATCTCCTGCAAAGTCGGCGAAATCGGTAATACTGTTGTATACATTGGCGGATTTGTAAACTCGAATTAGTGGCTCGTAGAAAATGGTAAAGAGGTCTCGGAAGAGCTGAAGTGTTGTCGGCTCTTCGATCATGTTCAGCATCATCGTCTTGTCGCGCTGCCGCGTTAGCAACTTCAACAGTTGCTTTAGGTGGGCAAACAGCTCAGCACCTTGCTTCATCTCCTCGTCGACATTATCTATCGCACTGTTCCAAGCAACGTATGCATTAAACACCTTTCCGATCTGCTCCGCCGCCAACTCTGGTGGGAACTGATCAGATCGCAGGATCACCACAACCAGATCGACATCCTCGACACTAGCTTCGTTTCGCAAGAAATTCTTGGTATTCTCGTCCGCATCGACAAAACGCTTCAGCTTGGCTGTAAGCACCGGATCATCAATCTTTGACTGCAAGCTATCGATTGATTTCTGAAAAGACCTGATGCCATCATTGAGTGTCATGGTTAAGATTCTTTGCAATAATGATCGAGAACCAAAAGGTTGGGCAAGAAACAAATCTAGGACTCCGGACATGACTGCAGCTGGGTTCGCAATCCGGATCACGTTCTTCATCAGCCCATATGGTAACAACGAGTGTATCCTTTTCGCTTGCGCAAAAAGCTCAGGAGAATTGTCTTCTGCCAAGAATAAGTGGTAAATGGTAGCTGCAACCTCAATACGAAGCCATTCAGCGAACTTCTGATACTCAACATCGAGATCTTCGATCTTCTCCTTGGTGCGGATCTCTTGGAAAAGCTTGGTCAGTCCGTTGTTTTCCACAATATCTCGTCGAAATTGCTCCATGTAAACATCCAATTCTTGAGCTCGTTGCCGAGCAATCTCGTAGAAGCGCTTCTGCTCTTCAATCCGCTTGGCATCCATATCTTTCCTCCTTTCAATATCCAGGAGTTCTTCCTCGTTCGTCTTGATAGGCCTGAGAGTCAGGAAGTCGGAAATCGCTTTTGTTTCCGCTACCTGTGGATTTTGGAGTATCGTCCTCAGAAATGCGCGCAGCGATACACGCTGATCTTCGCGGTATAAGTGGACGACTTCTGGATCATTATCTGTTGAAGGCCGAGGAGAGTTTCCCCTTGAGGACTTGCCAACTAAGGAGGTTCTCGAGGTGACCCGTTTCTGGTTAACCCCGACCAGATTGCGAAGTGAGCCAGTCTCATCAGTGTGTCTTGTGTCTTGGGTGGAAACTGACGAAATGGACGAATCGTCATCGTCTGCCGCCCCGCCAACAGAAAGAAAAGCTGAATGTGTCGAGCTCTTATTCTTCCGAGGCAACGGCGGCAGAACCTTGCCAGGGAGCTCTGTTCGTAGTCTCTTATGAAGCTTTGCGAATTCACCATATCTTCTTCCTACGTAGAAGTCATCCTTGCCAGGGGTCCTGACTCGGATCAAGAATTCAGCATGTTGGTGATATCGTATGGTTCTCTTCACCGAAGTTGTTCGGACCCCTGCAACATTGATATCCCACCCGTTAATCATATGTCCGTCAGGCGTGTTGATAAGCAAGCCCTGCTCGTTGGCGCCTCGGTCGACGACTTCCATCTCCGAGAACCTGATGCGTTCTTCGTAGCCTGATGCTGTCGGTATGCCGGAAACCATCATCAATTCTACCAGCTTTTCACATTTTACTGCCAACTTCCTCCGCTTCGTCTCTTCCAGTCTATCCTCGGACGAAGAAATGTTCTTTGTAGCAAATGATTCCAGGAACTAGGCGGAATCAGCCTAACTGGAGATTACTCACTTCGAGGCATTATCCTGCGCACCTACCACTTGCAGTTTGTTTTGCCAGAATTCCTTCTCCTTTGCCTGATCCAGGAAGGGAAACTTTCGGACATGATTGACAAAAATGTAACGAAGAATGGGCAACTCGGAATCGACGGGAGACACTTCTCCAAAGTCTGATCTAAAAGGCGCCCCGAATCGCTGAAGTGCTGTAGGTGTATTGAGCTCTTGTATCTCTGCATGAACCTGTCTACTGATGAGTTCCCTTTTCAAATCTGTGTTTGTATTAGCTTAACCACCAGATAAGTGATGCCGTCGTACAGTGCTCTTGTTTCCCGGTCAAGATGGAACCCTCTGGAGGAAGTGAGGCCGTCAGTGAGGCGGCTCTAGTAGGTATTTGGCGAGCGATTGGGGAGGTTGAGGCATCTCCATTTGGTGCAGGCGTAGGTGGAGCAGGTAGCGTCGAGGTCATTCTGACGAGCTCGCAGATTCACAACCCTTTAACGCCGGTATCCGAAGGATAGCAAACCCCAGATGACTCAAATCTACTGTATTTTGTGTGGATGTGGAGGTACAGATTGGATTGAGCAAAATGAACAAAGGCGTTCGTCATACATGCCAAGTGTTGAGGGTCACTGTCCGCGTGGCAGGGACACACGTGCATGACAATGTAGGCTAAGGCTGTTTGCTGCTTCTCATGCTCCCCAACTACAATTGTACGTTGCAGAAGTTAGCTTCCCTGGCAAGTTCGTTTGGTTCTGCTGCAGAGCACGGATGTTGTAACATAGCGCGTCACTCGAGAGACTCGTCACAAACAATGCCCACTGTTTACACACTACCACCTGTCACTACCGCAGTTCCTTCTTGTCAAAAGGTAGGTTGATGAACTAGTACTTAACCAAAGTCCCGAGCGGACACTCCCTCTGGACAATAATTGTCAAGGTACATACCACACTCTGGCAGTCTCTACCGATTGTGATACCATGGACATACCATCCCATCCCACCTTGGCTACTAATGTTTCAAGAGTCGGGTCGAAGCAATTACCATCCACAGGACATATGGAAGCTGTGAAAGCTGTTCCCAAAGCGGTCACTGGGCTTGAGAGAGGATATCTGGAGGCGCTACGGGGAAATGTCATAGCACGACAGGACTACAACACGCTTCTGGAAAAGTCTGCTCAGCAGCCGAGTTCGCCGCGCGTAGATGCTCAAGGGACACGTCTCTCTGAGCATGTTGAGCTGCTGAGGCTGAAGAGAAGAAATGAAGAATTGCACATACTGAAAAACTACATGATCAAGCTAAAAGATACAGCTCCTGCGAAACCTGATTTTCTGGACTTCACGACATATCCAAGACATGAATTGGACTTTCATTTGTCCGCACATCCTCATGCTGGCACTAGCGGCGATCAGGCGGATGATTCTGTTGCTACCGTTATGAGACAGCTAGAAGTGGCGGTCATCAGTGCGCAATATCAGGTAACCCGTGAGCACAGGCTTCTTGCTGAAGTCGAACAAGATGTCGTTGCCGTACCTGCTTCAGTCAGAGAAAAGAACCGATCTCGTGCTCTTGCTGCTACAAGGAATGAACTTGTCGCCTGGATCGAGGAGAAGCTCTCCAGCTCACAATCGAGCGACAAGGGTACGGTAGACCATTCACTGCATGGAGAGCAGACGGAGTCGCCTATATCGCAAATCGAGAGCGAGATTATGGAGAAATACGATGACTACCTCAAAATGCGCAGAAGAATGTTAGACCTAATATCTGATCTCACCAATTCTACTCAGCACCCGCCGCCTGAGGCGCAACGGTCTGACGTCCACCAAGATTCTCCGAATCAGCCAGCTCAGCCTCCTACCCCCAGTCACCTACCATTCATTCGGACCCAAATTCAACATCCTACCCAGCTAAACCAATTCCAACGCCAACAAAGCACTTACCTGGCCAATCTTGTCAAGCAAGAACACAACAAGACGACCTCCGAGCTCTCCCGTCTCGCAGACGAAAGCCACCTTCTACCTACCTACCCGATGCTGTCGCAGCAGAACCGGCTCAGTCATACGGCTGCTGGTATCACGTCAAACTCATTATCGGGTGATGATATGGCCAGCGATGAGGCAGACGAGGTAAATAGAAGAATGAAGGCATGGGCATTTGCGGCGGATGCGTCAAGGAAAGCCATGAAGGAGATTATGGATGTGCATTTGGAAAGGGGTGGTGAGGCCATCGAGGAAGGCAAGAGGTGGGTTGAGAGACTGAGGGAGCTTGCTGGTGATGACAATGAGCTCGGACCTCAGCTAAGTGGGAAGGGGAGTAGAGACGACGATAAGGACGATGAAGAAGATGAAGATGTATGGGCTCTAGAGGCTGCTGTAGGTACTTTGGCCAGCAGGAAGCGGACTCTCAAGGGAAGCAAGGATCCATGGGCTGGGTTTCAGGGCGATGTAGGGTTGAGGACGGATACATGAATTAGGAAAAATGGAAGAGCCATTTTTCATGCAGATTTCCAAACCTAGTTGATTTCTGGCTGGCGAGATGTGTCTGATGTGCTCTTGTTTGCATAGAGACTCAAGGTAGCGACCAAGAACGTAGCACTTGGATGGACAGAAAACTTCAAAGTAGAATGAGCTTCGAGGGTACAGAAACGTGGTCTCGATACCCGTCACACGCTGCTCTTCTCCAACAACAATACGCTATGATTGCTGATCACTCTAGCCTAGCCGGAATGAGTTTGACGGTGCTGCAGGGCAAGCTACATCATGCTCAATCCACAAAAAATTCTGTGTATTGGTGTGACCCGAGGATCTTTCTTGCACATGCATGCAGTCGACTGCATCGTGTTCGTAGGTTGAAGAATTTTCAGAAGAGAGCCCATTATATACAGGAATTAAGCAAGACGTTCTCGAATCTCGAAACTGTTTTCTGAGTTTTCTGTCAATGGTGATTTCGCATGTTTTCTCTGCATAGTGCATGAAGCTTGCTTATCAACCCGTCCTTATCTGTTGGTTTAGGGCCTAAAGCTTGGAATTTTTTTTTCTGAGATCCCTCAATTGCAAGCTCGAGCCGACAGTAGGTGATTCTTGGTCAATTGCCTCGTGGGCATACTAAATGTTCATATAGATTGCGTGAACTGTGGTCAGAAGCCAGCCAGGAGCCAGCGCTGGTCGCCATGGCTACTCCTGCTCGCTTTGGGCGGCACTCTTCTTTTCTTCTGACTCGGCGTTGTGTATCTGTGTCCCAGTCGGCCAGCCGCTCACTATCAACACAATCGATAACAACGACGCGGACACCACATCTGACCTTGCAGAAGAAGCCACAATGGCAGCAGACAAAAAAGTTCTCACGATCTATGAGGAGACACGCCGCAGTACAATCCGCGCCCAGCGCCGAGGCGTACCTTGCAAGTGGAGCTGTTGAGCCTGGCAAAAATCTGGTAGATGTGAAGAAGGTGCTGGTCATTGGCAGCGGAGGTCTCAGTATTGGGCAGGCCGGAGAGTTCGATTATTCAGGTAGAGCCCCATCTGCTCCTGCCCGCCTCTCGCCCGCTTCTAGAGCATGCTTCACGTGACGATAGCAACCCATGGTCTCTGACAGGTTGCTCTACAGGATCGCAAGCGCTCAAAGCACTGAAAGAAGCTGGGGTCGCATCTGTCCTTATCAACCCGAACATCGCAACAATACAAACCGATCACAAACTTGCGAACGAGGTCTACTACCTTCCAGTCACCCCGGAATATGTCACATATGTGATCGAGAGGGAGAAGCCAGATGGTATTCTTCTTACCTTTGGGGGTCAGACGGGGTTGAATCTGGGCGTAAAGATGAATCGGATGGGGATCTTCGAGAGATATGGCGTCAAAGTTCTGGGGACGAGTATCCGAACATTGGAGGTCAGCGAAGATCGAGATTTGTTCGCAAAAGCACTGAAAGAGATTGATATACCCATCGCCGAGTCGATCGCTGTCGGCACAGTCGATGAAGCACTAGAAGCTGCAGAGATAGTCGGCTATCCTATCATTGTCCGTTCGGCCTATGCGCTTGGAGGATTAGGTTCGGGCTTCGCAAACAATGCTGAAGAACTGAGCAATCTGTCATCGAGATCTCTGACACTCTCCCCCCAAATACTGGTGGAAAAGTCTTTAAAAGGATGGAAGGAAGTGGAGTATGAAGTGGTAAGAGACGCAGACAACAATTGTATAACGGTGTGTAACATGGAGAACTTCGATCCGCTAGGAATCCATACTGGCGACAGTATAGTGGTAGCACCCAGTCAAACGCTAAGTGACGAGGAATACCATATGCTCCGCACCGCAGCAATCAAGATTGTTCGTCACCTAGGAGTTGTGGGTGAGTGCAATGTTCAGTACGCCCTACAGCCTGATGGCCTCGATTATCGGGTGATAGAGGTCAATGCCCGTCTCTCTCGATCCTCTGCTCTTGCTTCCAAGGCGACTGGTTATCCTCTTGCATACACAGCAGCTAAGATTGGCCTTGGCCACACCCTTCCGGAACTGCCAAACGCAGTCACCAAGACTACCACGGCAAACTTTGAGCCCAGTCTTGACTATATCGTAACGAAGATTCCACGGTGGGACCTGGCAAAATTTCAGCACGTCAAGCGAGATATTGGAAGTGCAATGAAGTCTGTTGGTGAGGTTATGGCCATCGGCCGTACGTTTGAGGAGTCTTTCCAGAAAGCAATCCGACAAGTGGACCCAAAGTACATTGGTTTTCAGGGCGACAAATTCGACGATCTGGATGAGACGCTTAAGAACCCTACCGATCGAAGATGGCTCGCCGTGGGTCAGGCCATGCTACATGAAGACTACTCGGTTGATAGAGTGCATGAGTTGACCAAAATTGATAAGTGGTTCTTGTACAAGCTCCAAAATCTTGTGGACTGCCAGCGTGAGATGGAAGAAATTGGTTCGCTGTTTGGCATCAAACATGAGCTTATGTCCAAAGCCAAGAAGATGGGATTCTCTGACAAGCAGATCGCGCTTGCTGTTGGCAGCACTGAAGATGAAGTTCGCGCTCGACGAAAATCCTTCGGCATTCGACCGTGGGTCAAGAAGATTGACACCCTTGCGGCTGAGTTCCCGGCTGACACAAACTATTTGTATACCACATACAATGCCACTTCTCATGATGTAACATTCGACGACCATGGCACCATTATCCTTGGGTCGGGTGTCTACCGCATAGGTTCTTCTGTGGAATTCGATTGGTGTGCTGTTAACGCTACACTTTCACTACGAAAAATGGGCAAAAAGACAGTGATGATCAATTACAACCCGGAGACCTACTCTACCGATTTTGACACTGCAGACAAATTGTATTTTGAGGAGCTTTCATACGAAAGGGTCATGGATATTTACGAACTAGAGTCTGCGGTGGGGGTAGTAGTGAGCGTGGGAGGTCAACTTCCACAAAACATTGCCCTCCGGCTCCAAGAAACTGGCGGAGCAAAGATCCTCGGCACAGATCCCAAAGACATTGACAAAGCGGAAGACCGTCACAAATTCTCGCAAATCCTTGACTCCATTGGTGTCGATCAGCCAGCCTGGAAAGAGCTCTCGTCAGTCAACGAAGCGGAATCATTCGCGGCTGAAGTCGGCTACCCCGTACTCGTGCGACCATCTTATGTCCTCTCTGGCGCAGCCATGTCAGTCATTAATTCCCAAGATGAACTGAAAGATAAATTGATCTCTGCCTCCGCCGTCTCCCCCGATCATCCTGTTGTCATCACCAAATTCATCGAGGGTGCCCAAGAGATTGACGTTGACGCAGTTGCCTCGAATGGGAAGCTTATCCTCCACGCTGTCTCCGAGCCCGTCGAAGCCGCCGGCGTCCACTCCGGAGACGCGACCTTAGTCCTCCCCCCAGCCAATCTCAGCCCTGAGATCGTATCCCGCGTAAAAGAAATCGCCGGGAAGGTTGCCAAAGCATGGAACATCACCGGTCCATTCAACATGCAAATCATCAAAGCCGACGCCCCCAATCAAGAAGAACCGGCCGCACTCAAAGTAATAGAGTGCAACCTCCGCGCCTCGCGCTCCTTTCCCTTCGTCTCCAAAGTCCTCGGTACAAACTTCATTGATGTCGCCACCAAAGCCCTTGTCGGCCGCGACGTGCCCGAACCTGTTGATCTGATGGCGCAAAGTCGTGACTATCTAGCAACCAAAGTCCCGCAGTTCAGCTGGACCCGTCTCGCGGGCGCAGATCCATTCCTAGGCGTGGAAATGAGCTCCACAGGGGAAATTGCCAGTTTCGGCAAAGACCTTACAGAAGCATACTGGGCGTCGCTCCAATCAACCATGAATTTCCGAGTGCCGGAGCCCGGCGAGGGGATCCTTCTCGGCGGCTCTACCGAACTGCCCGAACTACCCCAGATTGTGACTTATCTGCAGCCGCTCGGGTATAAATTCTTCGCCGCGAGTGCGGACGTCAAACGACATCTCGAGCAAGGTGGAGATGGAAAGGTCGAAATCGAAGTGATCGAATTCCCCACCACGGATAAGAATGCGCTCAGAAAAGTATTCCAGAAGTACGATATTAGGGGCGTGTTTAATATTGCGAAATCTAGGGCCAAGACGTTGCTCGATGAGGATTATGTCATGAGGAGGAATGCGGTCGATTTCGGCGTGCCGCTTTTTATGGAGCCCAAGGTATGTTCTGTTCTTTTCCATCTGTGTCTTGGAGAACGGAGGAAGCGTGTGATTGGTTATGGACGTGTATGTGTGTGTGCTAACGTGTGGATCCTATTCGGGGGGGAATTTTAGACTGCTCTCCTCTTCGCACAATGCATGAACGCCAGATTGCCGAGAAAGGAAGGCATCCCGCCCGAGGTTAGGTCCTGGTCGGAGTTTTGCGGCCGGAAGATGATGTGAGGAGAACTTGGTGGGGAGGAGGGGGCGTGGGAGAAAGAATGTCAGAATTCTGTGAAACGTGGTTGGGTTCTCACTGGGCCTGGAAGTGGAAAAGGCGGTGGGGTTGTGGGGTGGGAGCGACTGGAGTGGGAGGGAGCCCCCTGGTAGAAGACTTCTTTTCAGGATTCCCAGGAGACGGGCTTCATGACCGGACTGGAGGGCCGTGCGCAGTGGGCTGGTGTTGGTCAATGGTGTTGTTGTTGGTATGTGGTAGAGTGGGTGCGCGAGAGTTTGAGTGTGTAGTAACCAGCGGCATGAATGGATGGGGGTTTAGAAAGGGAGAGAGTAGCTTGGGAGTGGGGACTGATGATCGAATGGCCTCCTGCAGGCTGAATCTATGTGTCTGTGAGAAGATGGCAAGAAAATAGGGCATTGATTTCTACAAGAAACCCCTCCAGGGATGGGGGGAGCAATAGTTGAATCAGACAGGACCACAAATACATATCTCTTTTCCAAGGTTTACCATCTCCATCTTTGACCATTTGCCACTGTTCCGAGGAAAAGTTACTTGCCTTTAGTCTAAATTTAGACATCGTCTTCTCCTTTTTTTTCAGCTATAGCTCTATGCGTCAATACCGACGTGTCAGCGCAAGGCCGACTCTCCAGCGGATGAATGAATGGCTTCCCCAGCTGGCAATGTGTACCGGGGGGGACAAGTATTAAACGAATTAGTAGAAGTAATTCGGTGTGAATCAGCACCTGAAGAAGCGTTTTGAAGAGAGTGGGGTGAACTAGTTAGTAGTCGATCGTAGTTAGCATTGTTATAACGTACTCCGTACCTATGCCTGATACCGTAGTATGTTGGGGCTATAGCGGCGAGTAGAGGTCGTCGAGGTCTGTTTTTATGGCTATGGCTATGGCTATGAAGAGCGAGGAAAGAGGGAACCCGGAGATGAGGAGAGTGTCTGGAACAGTCGAGTCGCAGAGGATCAACGTATCTTCACACCTAAGTTAGTCGAGAGTCGAGAGTTGAGGGAAGTGAACCAAATGCGGTAGTTGTGACAGTCACTGTGCCGGTAAACAGGAGAGCGTAATTCACAAAAGCAAACATCTTCTTGTAGGGTGGCGAAAAAGGCAACGATGCCACTCCTGCCTCTCCAGCAAAGGTGCGAATTATGATAAAAATAGCTCTGTATGTACATATATTGCCGCACTGAGATATCTAGGAGTAGATAGGTGCATCGATTGTGTCGCAGGGTGGTATATCAAGTGGTTCCCTTCCCTCCTTTCGGCGCTCTTCCCACCCACCATCCCGCCATTTCTCCTAGCTCTCAAACCATGAACACGGCAACTGAGGCTGTCTGCGCCTGGTAGACGTGCGAAGTTGACACGCTGAAAGTTCCTCTGTACAGAACGATTCTATCCATCCAAACGATAAGGCAACAGAAAAGACCACGGCGATGCATAGATGGACGGGAGGGAGGGCTGGTCCAGATCTGCTATTCGAGCATTCCCGGCATGAAAGGTGGTAAATTCAGAATCCAAAAGGATTTTGTGCAGCTGTCATTAACCGTTAGCGTTCACGCATAGCAGTCGACGTGCCGGGATGAGGTGGGAATGGACTTACTAGCATGAGCCAGATTCGCCCTTCTCCCTGTGGGCTGGGGCGTCAATTTCTTCGCCGCATCTGAGACACCAAACCTAACGGGCGGCGGTGGACCTGTCTTCTGCGGCTGTAGGGGCGCGGGAATGGGCGGTTGTTGAGGCATTGGAGGCATTGGAGGCATTGGTGGGGCCTGGAATGATGATGATGAAGGCCCGCCGAATCCATTCGGCTGCGACTGACCAAAGCTCGCCTGTTGGGGTTGCTGAAAGCCTGCTTGCTGTGGTTGTGGGAACGCTGGCCCTGTCGGTTGTTGCTGCTGCGGGTACCCAGTCTGCTGGGGTTGTAGAAAGCCTGTCTGTTGTGGTTGCGGCTGGAAGCCAGTAGGTTGAGGCTGCAACGGGGTTGGTAGCACAGAGTTGATTCCGCTGGGCGGTAAGCCCTGCTGCTGGTTGAAGCTTCCAAAGCCTGTGGGTTGAGGCTGGAATTGTGGTCTTGGATCAGCAAATGGACTTCCAGCTGCATTACCATTAATATATGGTAATTGCTGCTGACCACTGATTGGCTGTCCTTGAGGCTGAAAGCCAGTCTGTTGAGGCATGAGACCACTTGAGAAAGAAGCAAAGCCCGGGCCTTGTTGAGAGAATCCAGTAGGCTGCGACTGCAGGTGGTGCGGCTGCGAGAATTGTTGTCCTCCTTGCGGACTCAGGTCGTTCAGGCTCTGACCAGCGGGAGCCTGTAAGACCGAGGCATACGAGATTCCGGTCAGTTGTGGCTGAAGTGGTGGAGGTCCGAACTGGTTCTGCGGTTGAAAGTTTTGAGGCGCAGACAATGGTCTAGGGGGAGGAGGTAACAATGAACCTGGACTCAGAGGCTGCTGTGGAGCTTGAGGCCTCTGTCGAGGAGCGTTGAGCTGTGGCATAGGCAGGAAATTGCTGTTTTGAGGTTGCATAGACATTGGTTGGCTAGAAGAGGGCTGTGGACCAGGTAGCCCAGCTTGCGGAGGATTGAGCTGCCCGAAGAACGATGGGCTTGCGCCAGTAGGCTGAGGTGGTTGCTGAGGAGCAGTAGCAGGCACGGCTGGCTGGGTAGGCTGCTGTTGCGAGGCTTGCGCCTGAACAAGTTGTGGAGGAGGTTGAGGAGAGGCCACTGTGGGTTGCAATGGGGGCGAAAGTAACGAGAGTTCTGCCATTGCTCCAGTAAGCTGTGGCTGCGCAGGAGTAGACGACGGTGTCTTGGTCGTTGGTGTGGGTTGCACAGTTGACGCAGCTTCCTTCGATGGCTTCACTTCCCATGCATCGTCATCAAATCCGCTCTGTACTTTGTCCCTGCTGGGAGCAGCAGTCAATGGGGTTGCTTTCGACTCTAGAGGGGGTGACTTAAGCCGATCACCGGTCTGCTCGAAAGCTTTTGCATCGACGACGTCACTAACCACCCGATTGGATTCTGGCCTTCCTTTTCGTGTGTTGTTCCGCAGAGTGCCACCAGCTCCAGAGAACAAGCCCCCAGCAGAGCCATTGGTGCCTGTGCCTTCGCCATCTCCAGTCCTGACATTGGACTTGCCTGAAACTCGTCCAAAAAGAGTGTCCAAATGCTTCATGACACGCAACATATCACCTTCCTTCAGCCCCAAGGTCCGTAGAACATCCGGCGTAATGTCTGGAAGATTGCTTTCGTCCATCGAGTCCTTGTTCATGTTCTGAGCGTATCGTTCACATAGATGAGGGCCAACTCCAGCTTTGAGAAAGAAATCAAACCAATCATATTCAGGGCGCTTTGAAGGCTCGACCGAAGCTCCAGAGCTGGAGACCCTTGCTCTCTCAGCCTCATTTTCTGACCGTTTCTTCCTTTGCAAATCTCCAAGTGGCTTCTCCTCATCGAGTGACACGCCTGCCGCCTTTTCTACGTAGGCAAGGTCTTCGGGTGCCATCTTTGTTATCGGAACAGCAATCTTCACTCCATTGGCCTTATGAAGATGGATCTTGCCGCCGGAAAGTCCGATAAACTGTGCTTCGACTTTGAATGACCCTGAGCGGTCCGTCCATGTGCGAGTCTTGGCTGGATCTGGTTTCGGTTTCGACGATTTCCCATCACTCCGGCTGGGTCTTTTGTCACGACGACCAGGATCGTCCGATGTCAGGCTACTGCCTCTGTCTGGCAGCTTCATCCCTGGTGCCACTTCGACGCCTCTTATGTAGGGTGGTTCGTCGTTGAAATCTGCCTCAGATGTCCTCTGCTTCTGTCTTTTCGCTGCCTCTTTCGCCAGTCGTTCTTCATCCAACCGGTTTTGTTCTACCGTCGAACGTCCCGCATTGATTCCGGAGCGGCTCACTGGTTCTGCTGACGTCGTCCCCGTGACCTCAACATAGCTGCTGGGAACAACTCCTTCATTACCATTCTTGAGTCTTCGAACCATCCACCATTCCTCGGACTTGGTATCGTCTAAGATTATCACATCATCACCCGCGGCCACAGTCACCTCGTCGTCTCCTTGAGCCATGAACTCATACAGCATATGCCCCTTTTTCGTTCCTGCAGCTCCGGATGCAGCTGCCATCACTTCCCGGAGGCCCTCGCCACGTACAGCGCCCGCCATCTCGCCTAGAACAGAAACAATCTCCTCGGCGGTATCTTTCGCCCCTGCATGAAGGTCTAGGCTCTTGGTTGGTCGTATCAGTTCCAGAAAAATGTGCTTGCCTTCGATAGAGTAGTGCGTCATTTTGTCTGCTGTCCATTCCTGGGACGGCCCATCCCTGGATTTTTCTGGGGAGACCATGATTGTTCCTGTCGCTGCGTTTAATCCCAATGTTGTTGGCATCTTTTTTCTCTTTCCCATTGCAGATACCATTTCATTGATATTGTACAGATGATATCCACCAGGGGAGCGAACTTGGGAGCGCTCTCTCGCTTCTCTATGAGTAGTTCTGTTATAAGGGGGCGATTCGATGACTCCTGGAGGGTCGTCTTTCTGTGGAGATGTGTGCTGGTTGAGTGGTGGTGAAAGCTGCTGGGAAGGAGGCCGCCGAGGCAGAGCTGGGGCGGGCTGTTCCTCATCTGAAGGCTCCGGTGTACGCTGGCGATGGGAGGGAGCGTCAGCTCCTGAAACGGACCTCGAAGCAGCAGGCGCACCACCTCCCAGTACTTTGGCAAGCGACGCTGCAGGTCCGAGGGACGAGGTTGGGGTACTCGCACGAGGAGACTCTTCTGGCTCAGGTTCGGCTGTGACACGGGCGATCGGTGGTGCACTGCTTGGGGGAGAAACAGGGGATCGTGCAGGATCGCTTTCACTTATCTCGATGTAGTTTGACGGCGCGAAGCCATAATCTTCCTTCAAGCCCACCAGTATCCAGTCTGGGTCTGATGTATCAAAGACCGTCAACTGCGCATCCTCCGCGAAAGAAACTTCTTCATCAGTTTGTCTGGAGTAGTCGTAGAGTGCTTTCGCGAAACCAGCTGGTTTGGCCTAAGTAGAGTCAACGAGCAGTCAGAAGTGAGTTCGAAGTAGATTAGATATTGAGCAAGCGGCCTCATGGCCATACCGAAAGCAGGGCTTGAGTGAGGAGAGGATCGCATGACCTACTGCTTCCAAGTAATTAGCTGGCACCAGGCCTACTGGTTCTTCGTCTTCATCATCGGCCGCCTTCTTCTTTGCTTTCCACCAGTCATCTTCGCCCTTCTCGAGCAAGAACAGCACCTCCCCTTCCTGTATCTCAAGCTCACCTTCCCCTTGAGGCTGATAGTCGTACAATGCCGTATATATCCCCAAGAAGCCCATCTTGCAGTGATCGCTCGAATCGCCAACCTCCTCGGAGTCGATGCCGACAGTGAGACTCTGACTGTGCGCTTGATTGTGCTTGTGGCATGGGGTACTTCATGGGTAATCTGTAGTTGGGTTCGACGTCGGATAGGGGGAGATTGCCTATTAAGTGCTCAAGCTTGAATTCCAGTGGCTGGCTTATGCCTCGAGGAACGATGTTGTCAAAGCTACGCTTCGTCACTTGCTTGCTCAGATTATAATCCTGCGTGACGGAGCGTAGAGGCCTACAGGCACCTCCCAGCTCTGTAGATGCTGTGTATATTCGAGCGGCTCACAATTATCAATATGCGACAATGCAGACACCGCAATATTTTTGCACTCAACTCGACGCATAATGCCGCATCATCGCCAAGCCAGTGTTGACATCTCAAAATCTCCGAATTAGTACAAACGAAAACTGAGAATATATCCAAATATCTGCACCGCACTACATCAGGATACTACTGACTCTGTTGAAGTCAAATGCAATTAATGTCCATCCATTCGGTGTTCCGCCTTGACCTGCGGCAGCAATTGAGGTGTTGCAGATGATATGAATACTCTCATTAACTGCAGCTATCAACATTGTCAAATATCTTCCTTGTATCCTTCTTCGCTTCCCTTGTTGCTCGGCTCATCTTTGTCCCCTGTACTATCATCAACTCCTTGGGCATCATTGTCACTAGCAACAATACCACGTAGCTGAGTGACACCTCGATCGTCGTCTACCTTCTCAACTTTCCAGTCTTTGTTGCCAGCAAGATCCTGAATCTCTTTTCGGAAGGCTTCGACGGTCTCTGGGTTAAGATCGAGCTTTCTTAGGTCCTCTTTGGATAGCCTTTCCAATTTGCCATTCTTTTGCATGGCAATCATCTCGACTTTCTCCTCAGGAGGGCTGACAACCTTGCCCTTTTGTATCCGCCGACCCTCTCTACCGACTTCCTTCATGGCGCCAATTTCAACATTGCCGACCTTCAATGGTGCTTCTCTGCCTTGATTAACGAGGCTCCGCTCAGCTTCGACGGACTTACGCCGCACCCACCCAGCGACCTCGTCTGGTTTGAGGATCTCTCGGCATGCGACCGTATGTGCTTTGTTTTGTCGTGGTGGTAGAAAGGCGACATCATTGCACAATCGGGGTGTATAGATGATCATCAAATAGGTGCACGTCGCTACTTCTTTGATCCATCCGATTCGATCAGTCGGTTGTGGATGACAATGAAACTGTACCTCAATCCGACGGTCCTTGCCGGTCAGATCACAGGTTGTACCACCACCAAGTTTCTGGACAAGATACCGGGTCTCGCCTTTGATCTGAAGTTCTGTAGTTACCGAGTTCTTCGTACCGCTTTCGCGCCGATCTGCCTTCTTGTCGCCGAACCTGCCCAGGACATACGATGGTGTTGATGGATCCTCCTGAGGTGGGTATATCGGGGCCCCACTTCCAGGAGGTAGTTGATGGAATTGTCTGATTTGCGAGTTGTAACAGAAGGAATATGACCACCATCCAGAGCCAAAGAACATGCATTTGCCGTCAAGATCTTGGAGCAGTTCCCATCCCCTGTCTGCAGCTGCCACCAAATCTTTTTCTTGATCTGCCTCACTGGCAGTCTCAGGCTTCTCGTCTCTCGTCAGATCCTCGATCCGTGGTAATGAGCAAAGAAACGGTCTCCCTTTGAGCACTAATCGCTCGTAATCTTCCTGAGGCTCGCCACTGTGGCCGTAGTCCCCTTCCTCTTCTATCGAGTGATAGCCGGCAAGCTCGCCCTGTGATTGACCGACTTTGCGCAGCTTCTGGTCTGCCTCTGCATCGCTGATGTAGGTTTGGGAGAATACTATCTCATACTATGCATGGCGGATAAGCCACAGACCACAATGCGCCAGAGTACGAATATACCTGGGGGTACGCCAGAACATCATCGTTCACACTGAAAACTGTCTCGCTTGCATATGCGGATGAAACAACCAGAAGATAGCAGAGCAACTTCCTCATTCTCTTGTATCGAGCTTCGAGTGGCAACATCAATTATTGCCAGACCGGACGAGAATACATACCAGCTGTAGCTTCGCTGTATGCGGTGTTTACAAGGCAGCCTGGAGGGAGGTGGAGGAGGCTGAGGCTGACAAGAAGTAGTGGCCGTCTCTAATGATACATATGTGTTTGCCTGTGAATGCGGCCATTATTTCTGCGCTCTAGATGCGGCGATTCCGCCCTGATTATCTCCCGCGCTTTACACAAAACACGATATTGTAAACATGTTCCCACTGTGTTGCCTAAAATCTGCAATGATAGACCCTTTATTAATTTCATGGCGTTCTCACTCGGTGCTTCTGTTCGTATATTGTAATAGTTTTTCCAGGTGTTTCGCATAGAACGTTCTACCTGCTCTGTCTCAAACCCGTAAGATCTTACCCAGTCGCTCTTGGACAGACATCGACTTTGCAACAACCAGAGCATCGGGCGCATAGATATTTCTTATTCAAGAATGACGTCGAAAAGCTTCTCACTTGCTGCTAAGGGCTTGAAGATCAATACAGCCGACGACCTGCAATCACATGTCGCATCTCTCATCGAGTCCAAGGATGTCACCCATATCGACCTCTCTGGAAATACCTTTGGTGTCCCGGCATGCAAAGCGCTTGCTTCCATACTTTCCTCGAAGTCTTCTACGCTACAATCGATCGACCTCCACGACATCTTTACCTCACGCCTCTTAGAAGAAATTCCTCCAGCTCTCTCTTCCTTACTGAACGCACTCCTGGAATGCGAACGTCTACACACCATCGACTTGAGCGACAATGCTTTTGGCCTTAACACCAAAGACCCCCTTGTGGACTTCCTCTCGAAGCATACACCTCTCCAACACCTTATCTTGAACAATAACGGAATGGGACCAATTGCTGGGACATCGATAGCTAATGCCTTGACATCGTTGGCGGCACGAAAAGCTGAAGCGAGAAAAGAGGGCAGGGAAGCGCCGGATCTGGAAAGTATCGTGTGTGGGAGGAATCGCCTTGAGAATGGGTCAATGGGTGCGTGGGCCAAGGCATACGAAGCACACAAATCTGGGATCAAGAGCGTCAAAATGACTCAGAATGGCATACGGCAGGAGGGCATCTCACATCTTCTACGTTCAGGGCTGAGCCATTGCAAGGATTTAGAAGTTCTGGACATGCAAGATAACACTTTTACCCTCATGGGCGCCGGAGCTCTATCTGAGGTTGTCCCAAGCTGGACAAAACTGAGAGAGCTGGGGGTTGGTGACGATCTACTGGGAGCGTCAGGGTCCATCAAGCTTTTTGAGGCTTTGGCAAAAGGTGACACTAAGAGCGTTGAAGTTTTGCGACTTCAATACAATGATATCACCTCGCAAGGAGTCAAATCTCTGTTGCAAGCTGCTAAGCATAGCATGCCAAAGCTTAGAAGGGTGGAGCTCAACGGCAACAAGTTTGACGAGGACGACTTGAGCATCGGGGCGCTTGCAGAACTTCTTGGTGAAAGAAGAGATGCGGAAGGGAAGGACGATGATCCTGAAGACTTCTGGGGACTGGACGAACTGGACGAGCTGGAAGAGGAAAGTAGCGACGAAGAGGACGAAGCTGCTGAGGAAGAAGAGAAACTGGAAGAGAGAATACTCGAGACGGCTGATGAGGTAGACAACGAGCCCGTGGCACAAAGGAAGGACCCAGATGTAGATGAGCTTGCAGGTGCTTTGGAAAAGACAGAAATCTGACAAGGGATTGGAGCGGATTTTGAGGGAAAATAGATTTGTGGACAAACCCAGCCCGTGATCGAGACGAATCAAGGGAGGGTTTTCAGGCCACCAATAAGGCATGCCCTTTGAATGTAGTGCGAGTGTAGAGGAACAGGCTTCTATTTGCATTGGAGAAAGGAACGAGCGTCTTGGCATTGGTCGCGATCTGCCCAATCTGGCAATTCTCTCCAAAAGCTTGGAGTTACATTTCCCAGACATCAACCCAACACTTGTGTATAGGTGTATAGACATCCATGAGCAATCATGATCTGCTCTTCATGCCGTCGAACGCTTCTATCTCACCTGCCAGGCAGGGTAAATAGCACCCCTCCGATTCGATACACGTCTACCACACCCTCCACATCACCTGCACCCCGTCAACCACCACCCAACATCGCCCTCCCAACTGCGAAGACCACCTCCTCGGCTATCTCCTCGAACTCTCCGGGCATTTCACAACCTCTCAGCACACCCATGCTGCCCAGCACATCCAGCGCCTCAAGACCTAACCAAGCGAAGCCATCTAAGCAGCAAAAACTAGTAGGCTCAATACCCGGTGGCACGCCACTACAAGGACTGGGATATCTGAAAGCCAAGCCGACTATAGTCGCGAAAGAGGACGACGAGTATCCGGATTGGCTGTGGACGTTACTGGAGCCCGAGGCTGGAGCGGCGACGAAGGGTGAAAAAAGCGCAGCTGATATTGCTGGTAAGCGCTTCATATCACTTGTTGCAATCGTGTTGCATTGTCCCATGATCTGACTTGAACTGCTTCTAGCACTACCAAGAGCAGCTCGCGACAAATATACGAAGAAGCAGGCCAAACTTCTCAAAAATGTGCCCAAGCCGATTCCTCTTCACGAGCAGAGTAAGGATCTGACCCGGCCGGGGGAGAGCGCGGTGGTGTCGATGCAGAGACGGCAAGAAGTTGTGCGCAGCTCGAGAAATGCTAGACGGAAGGCTATCAAGGAAGAAAACTTCTTGAGAGGGTTGTAAGATGGTGTTTTGAGTGGAAGCTTTCAACATGGATTGGAAGGTGCACGGCAGACATGTATATACCAAGATCGGCTATATCGAGCTCACCGATAGAAAGCAAGCTTTCATCCGTATACCGTATACTGAGGATTTTCTTACCAGATGACTACTCACAGTCCATTATCAGGACCCGAAATCCTCATTCGCTTCACATCCGCCTCCTCTCAACCCAATCTCTCTTACTATAATATCCCAAATCGGTGCTCAGATTCGATCCTACCCTCCTCATCCTGATTACTACGGCTAGCATGTAAACTACACGGATAATGAAACACCACATCGCCAGCCTCTTACTCCTTGCACTCTTTCTCTGCTCCCTCCCCCTATCCTCATCCTCCTACCCTCTCATCAAACCCACATCCAAACTCCCTCTCAGATTCCTCGGAGTATTCGCCCAAACCCACCAACCATGACGAACTAACATCACAAACACTAACCTTCTCCTTCATTCTTATGCCCATTTCATCACACAACCTCCCTACGTTCCACTCAATCCCACCCCCATCCCACCAAACCTACCAAATCAACCTTTCTAGCCACCCCAAAGTCCACCATCAGCAGTCAGCACCCAAGCCGTCCCAAAAAAGAAAAACCGCCTCCCCATTTTCCCCAATAATATCTTATCATAAAAGCAACCCAGGCCCGTTCACCACCAGGGACTCTATGCCTTATGGTAGCGTCACGCGTTGTAGCAATACTTCCACCTTCGCAACCCACGACGTCATGTACCTATCTTGCGGAGAAGCGAAGTGGCGCCATGAATGGAATCTAGATATCTAGGCGTGAAATCGGGAGGTGCGCGGATTGGAAGACGGAGGGGTTCTCTTCGATGGTATGGCTCCTACGCTGATTCTGTGCCGGGTTGTTGAATCGGAAGAGGTGTTTTGGGCGGGGGCAGGTATTTTGCTGAATGAAGACAACAGGTGCTGTGCTGATTGAACTCACAGAGAGGGGAAGACAGATAGTCAGGACTCAGGAAAGAGGATGTGGCTGGGAAGGAATAGTGGCGTGAAATGGACAGCTGTACGGAGTACTTCACAGCAGATACACTGACGAGACATAAAAGAGATTGTCAGGTACTAAAAGTTGCTGTATCTGTCAAGTGAGGTAGTATGCCAGTCCTAACATTGCCTGCTTTGGGAACCGGAGAAGGGTGGAGAAACGTGATTGGATCATCCAGACATTATTAGAACAGGCCACTGCGAGAATCAAAGGTAGTTGAACGATTGATCGAGAGTTGTCGATAATAGATATATATGTATGCAAAAGTTGCTAAGTAACCGTGAAAATATCTGTAAATATAATAGAAACGATAATATGGCACACTGCAAACTGGTTGGGGGTATCTTTCTGCGCCAAGCCACAAAAAAAGATGCACGACAGATGACGTCATTCGTCTACCAAGCGCCAAGTTTGGTCAATCCCATCCTCTGGGCAGATCGACATCCTTCAGTCTTGGGCTGATTATACCCTCATTTTGTGACTTTCCAGTTCAGCTTGATTCTGTGGACATGATCGTCAGCATAATCTGCTCCCCCAAGTAAATCCAACCTAAACTCGGCATAGCGTACCTTGTGCCTGTGCGCCTGGATCTTGTCGTCGACATAATTTCCAGTAGCCGTAGCACGGGTCCTCCACGGGGCGCGACTGCTCTTCGCAACAGCTGGAGGTGTTGTCAGTATAGGTGATTTCTCGGGACAAGGGACAGATGGTTATCTGACATTTGTTCTTCTCTGCGTTGGTTCGGGACGCTGCCTCGTTGGACTTGTGCTTGAGTTTGCTGAAGAAACCCATGATGTTGCTGGTGGTGTTTGAGGAGTGGTGATGGATTTGATTTTATAAGTTTTGTAGGATGTTGTGCTGTGAATGTGCTCTGAGAATGGAGTGGTAATGAGTACTTCTACAGTTGCAGGGGCGTGAGCTGCTTCATATAGGTATGGATTTAGTCCAAGTCTTCGCTATGACAGCATCGGCTCCCATGGCTGGATGCCAGAAACAGGGTACAGGTCTTTTCTGGTACGACTTGTGAGAACGTGACTGTTTTTACTGGATAGGAAGAGCAGTTTTGGTGGTGATCGACCCTGTCAATGCTAGGGTCAATTCCATCTGTGCCTCCACACCTCCAGCCAGACCAAATACGTCATAACTATGTGGCTCGTAGCACTTACCAGCATGATATGGGCGCAGGGTCTTGCGGCTTAACTTAATCTTACCGGTTTTGGGGTTCCCTGCATGAACATGACATATTTACTGTGGCTTGCACGAGTAATTGCCGCTGCTTTTCCACAGGCCTCAAACCCCGGAACATACCGTGTGACCCTTGACCACTGACCAAGAGCCTAGAGAAGCATGTTCACACACCCGCCAATGCTCGGTATGCTGCCTGGCATGATCGAGATCGCACAGTAAACCTGTGCAGGCATTCACTGAGCGTCTCACTCGGTAATGTGACGTGAAGCGAATGTTTGCTCTGGCCATTCCCCAAGCGGCTGCCTTGCACTTTGTGGAACCATGTTGTTTGTTGGTTTTAAAGCCTCGTTCCTCTGCCATATGTCTTTTTCTCTACTTATTTTATGCATTTTGAGCCACAATTGAAACCCTACTGCCAAATTCATCTTATTTGACGTGTCAAAGATACTTTTTCCAGGAACCTAGATCTCTACTAAGCAGATCTCATCGTCTATCATAACACCAAGTCAGACATGGCTGACAGTAAGCCGCTATTATTCTCTAGCATTTCTTCAAACACACAATCTACAACAATAATCCCCACGTGCATGTCTTCCACCTCCGCTAATCTGTGGCCCTCGAACAGACCTCCGCTCCCACGACCCATCCCCGGAGAAAGTCCTAGGCGATAAGGCCGTAGGCGGTATGGATGCTGACAAAGATCATGTCTCCAACGTCGTGTCTGGTCTCAAGGCGTGAGCAACCAACACCCTCCCAATCTATCTTGCTTCCTCCCTCCTCCACGACTGCTAGAGCCAGCAAAATAAGAGCGAGGTCGCGCGTGCTGATTCGATGTATATTGATTCCAGCACTCTGAACAACGACAACGTGTCCGAGGCGGCAAAGCACGAGGCTGAAGTGAAACTCCATGGGCTAAGTAAGTTGAAGGAGGGTGATCAGGGACATGAGGGGCATGGCCATGCTTAGGGGTGGCTTGGGATCTGTGGGTGGTGCAGTGCAGCAGCGAGATGGCTTTCTGATAGCCAAGCCGTTAAAGCATCTCGCTGTCTGTTCCGGGCCTGTCTTCTTCCAGAAGCGTTTTGAGCTGCAGTTGGCTAGCCGACCTAAGCTAGGGTAAGCTAATATATATTGGCCGGTTTGATACCACTAAACCGCTATGCCCTTGTTGCAGCATATCTTTCTTAAGTTGGAGCCAATCATCACTATCCGGCCCCTTTTCTGTGCCGTCGTGCATCAGCTGTCGGGACGGGAATGAAGTACGGAAACCCGCTAATTCCACTTCAAAGAGATTAGTCAATATGGACGTAGCGTGTCGACGTATCTATTTACAGTTCCATCAAACCTTCACCTCCCTTTCCCTACCCCTATCCCTACCACTACCACAATCGATCCCTCTCAACTATTACTCGTGTTATCACTGTGTCTTCTTCTCGCTCTTCCGTCCCCTGGAGTCGGCACCCTTCTCCTCAATCTTCCTCCGATGCCCAAAGTACCCATCCAAGATATTCGTCCCTAAAACAAGCTTCCACGTACACCACAAATAGCAAATTCCAAAAGCAAACGCCCCCAGACAAACATTGACGACCACCCAAAGATCCGGCTTCCCCTCTGGCGGGGGTATAAAAGCCTCCAGCCCATGCCAAATCATCATGGCCATATAATACTCTCCATGTAGGATCTTAGTTCCTGTGTATAGATCCTCCGGTTGTCGCTCCTTGCCCGGCTCGTTCTGGTTAGCGTGGTCGTAATAGATAGCGCCGCTCGTAGGCGGGAGGCCAAGGAGGTAGGCCCAGAGAAGTGTGATAACGAAATAGGGAGTTCGGAGGCCGTCGCGTTTCAGTAAAGGGTATAAGGTCCAGGTCCCCACCATGTTGGCCCAACCCACCCAGGCACGCGTTTCTTTGGTGAGGCCGTCGCGGCTGCCGAGGAGGAGCGTCATGGGTAGTAGAGGCAATAAGACGGACTTCTCATGCACTTGAAATGAGAACAGGTAGAATGCCCACGCCGAGGAGGCGAGAGCGTAGGGTAGCAGATTAGGCCGAGGTACAGCACCAATAAGGAGCATCGGGCCGAGAATGCCCATGAAGGTGAGGTATAGGGAAAGGCGCGGAAGCGGGACGACGGGTTCGATGTGCTGCCGGATTTTCAACACAGTATTGAGGGCACACCAGAAGTTTGCGACCTTGTCTTCGAAGAGGCCGCGGGAGAATGGAAAGATGCGATGTAGAGACTGAGTTACTTGGAGTAATGGCATGTAATATGCTGATTTGGGGTGTATTTTGAAAGGGAGGATATCGAGAAGCGGTGGGGCTGCAATATTCGTGAGTAGTACGCCCCGATTTGCATTGGAGAGGGAGCCAATTATAAGGGGGATATAGAGAGCCACCAGGGATACTATGGTGATCGTAGTAATTCCGAGGAGACGGCCTATGCGCATTCGAGGCGTGACACAAGATCCCAAAAGATAAGCGAAGATTATGGGCGAGTAGTAGAGAGCCATCTGCTTATAGCCGAGGGCAGCCACAAAGAAGATACATGACCACATTAATCGTCCGGCATAAATACTCGACAGCGCTGCAATGGCAAACCCTAGCATGACTGTATTGTATTGGAAGTGGCCATGGTCGACGAGAATGGTGGCTGGCTGCATGAGGAAAGCGACTAACGCAACGGATTGAGAAGTTGCGCCAACCCCTTGAGCTCGTCCATAGCGGCGAAGGAAAATGATTGCCGCTGGGACATAGACAAGGTACTCCGACACAATGACAGTTGCACGCATGTAGACTTTGAGAAGCTGGGTCTCAAGGCCGCGCGAGCTGACCAATGCAAACCACGAAGGTTCAATGAAGGATCCTCTGAAAAAGATTAGCTAGGAACAGGCGCGTGCAGGAATGTTCTTACATCTTGCCCAGAAGCCAGCTATGATAGGCAGTAAGAGGTGGATAGTCCAAGCCCCAGTATTCGAGGTCATGGAAGTACCACAAGGACATTGGCAGATGGTTTGTGATTTCCATCCAGTGCCTCTGAGCTTCGAAGTCACCGTGCATTGGCGGCTTTCCCAAACCTACCAAAAGTTGTTAACAACAGGGCAGGGAACAAGTGATTTGATATGTGTTATACCAGAGTATCCCCACAGCCCGACCGTCCATCTGAACAAGCCCACGATTATTAATATTAATGGTACAAGCAACCATTGTGATGTTGTGCCTCGAGTGGGCCAAAGAAATGCTACGAGAGGAAATTCGGGCTTAGCAGCATGAGTTTGCTCGTCGATTGAGACGAGATCGGCATTTGTCTCGGTCCGTGATATCCCAGAAGTACTTTTCTTCTTCCTGCGAGGCTTATGGGAGGCCGCATTGTTCGACATCTTGTCTCCTTCAATGTTGGAGTACGTAGTAAAGTGAGCAACGGGATCAAAGTTCTCCCAGCTGCGACACGATTGGATGGGAGAAGACAGGGCTAGCTCATTCTAGACTTATAGGCTACTACGTATCCGGAAAGGTCAAGCCTCGAGCTTGGGAAATTTTCAAGAAAAAAATCAATGACGAGCCCCGCTCTGAACTTCCAGCCTCTGAATTTTCAATAACTAACTAGTACACAATCTTCTTGCAAGATTCAGTGGGGTCTCTGTCCGCATACCATTCCAGTTCATCTTATCCTGAGGGCTTCTTCTGAGGGTCAAACATTTGAGGGTTCGAGGGATCTTTGCGAGACTATCTGTGGGCTTGAACCATAGACAAGACGTGGGTTCTACTTGTCTATTCGTCATCTGTGGGCTTAAGACTGTCCGTTGTGGGATCTGTGGGATTTGCGCACCACAAAGCTGCTTCAAAGTTGCTTTTGCCTTTCTGCATTCACTGCAACTGGCACCAAGAACACTGAGGGTATTGAACATTCCAAATTGGGCTGAGGGTTTTTTGCCGCACACAGCAAACAAATTTGAACACCCCAAAATTTTCTGTCCGATCTGACCTCGAGAACTATCTGAGGGATTAGTGAGATCCTCTCCCCCAAATTCACCTTGTACAACGTCTGTGTGATCAATCATGCTTGGTCCTATGCAATGCTAACATATGTATCTTCTGCGCAGACTGTTCAACATGTCTAAATCCAAGACGAAAAGTTCCAAGGGTGCCACGGCGCCTGAGAATTCTGTCTTGAACAAGGTCAAAGACGCTGCTGTCACAAAACCAGCTCAGACACCAAAAGCAAAGAGCAAGGAAATCGCAAAGCAAGTGGCCGCGAAAGAAGAGAAGAAGTCGAAGCATAAGAAAGTCAAGGAGCCTACACCAGAACCGGAGTCTGACTCTGAAGAGTCTGCCAGCAGTGCTAGCGACGTGGCAAGCGAGAGTGAGAGCGAGTCTGAAGCAGAAGCGCCTGCTAAGAAGACCACCACAAATGGAGATGCCTCCGCGAGAGCTAAAGTAGCCCAAAAAGATGAAGCTTCTGATGCGGATTCTGACTCTTCTGAATCTTCCGACGATGAGCCAGCTACCAGCGGCGTCCTAGGAACCGCTTCTGCTGTTACAGAAGCAGATCAAGAGTCTGATGAGGACAGTGATGAGTCTGAAGTGGCTGCTGCGCCTGCAGCAGTTAACGGCAAAAGCAAGCCTGCGGCGGCGAGTTCAGATGAAAGTGAAAGCAGTGACAGTGATGAAGAAAGTGACGATGAGCAACCTAAGACCGCCAAGAAGGCTCTCAGCGCTGAGCAAGGCACAAAGAAGTCCACCCCAGTCACTCCCCAAAAGGCGTCTGACGAGAACTCCATTGATTCTGAAGATGAAGAGGACGAGGACAGTGAGGAGTCCAGCGACTCCAGCGATGATGAAGAGATCGAACCAAAAAGAGCTACTTCAAAGCGCAAGGCTGAGGAAGAAGCGACTCCGGCTGCCAAAAAGGCGAAGGCTGGAGCTGACGCAAGTGGCGGTCAAGGCAAAAATTTGTTTGTTGGTAGTCTATCCTGGAACGTTGATGAGCAATGGCTCACAAGCGAGTTCGAAGAATTTGGCGAACTCACTGGAGTGAGGATCATCACTGATCGCGATACTGGGCGTTCGAAGGGGTAATTCATGCTCTCATCACTGTTTTGGATTGAGTCATCTAACAATTGCTAGCTTCGGATACGTTGAATTTGTTAATGCTGCAGATGCGGCCGCAGCACACGCTGCCAAACAAGGCGCTGATCTTGACGGGCGCAAAATCAATGTCGACTTTGCAACATCTCGCACCTCGGGTGACCAGAAAGATAGGACTCAATCGCGTGCCAAAGCCTATGGCGATCAGACCAGTGAGCCGACAGACACCTTGTGGATCGGCAATATCAGCTTTCAGGTCGACCAAGACCAACTCTCAACTGCATTCCAAGACTATGGCACAATCCTGGGAGTGAGATTACCTACGGACCGCGAGACTGGAGCCCTGAAAGGGTTCGGATACGTAACATACTCTTCCGCCGATGAGGCAAAGGCTGCGATGGATGCCATGCAAGGGGCTGATCTTGCCGGTCGATCTCTACGCCTCGATTTTAGCCAACCCCGCCCGAACAATGGGGACTCTCCGGCCCGGGGCGGTCGAGGTAGAGGACGTGGAGGCTTTAGCGATCGTGGCAGAGGTGGTCGAGGAGGCGCACGCGGTGGACGTGGCGGCACCACCAATCGTGGTGGCTTTGGTGATTTCTCTGGCAAGAAGACAACCTTCTAGAGCTGCCCACCGTCCTCGAGATACCATACCTCGTTCTGGCCTTGTTGGCTGACTTTTCATGACGGTTATGGTCTATGACAATATTGCTGGGCGCCCGGTAGGATAGCTTCGCTCTATCGTCAGGTAAGGTATTTCCTTTGTCCAGCTCCTAAAGATTACCGCAGGCAGTTGTGGCAGACAACATCTCTGCCTACGTTTTGTACTTTATCCAAAATAGATTGTTCTCACAAAATCAAACTAGGTACTGCAAACGGATGCTTTATGCGTGCCGCCTTCTCTCCACAATAGTTAGCCCCATTTGGGAGCCAACATGATCCAGGAGGAGCTACATGTGTTCCAGCCTGGTGAGTCGTACCACTACGCCCATTCTATAGCTGGCCAATCTCGTCCCACGTGCTGATTGCTGACTGGAACTTGTTATCCGCTATCGACGCCCTAACTTGTCACTTGGTTGTAGCATGAGCTGTCCCCACTACCAAGCACCTTGTAGTAGATTCTCAACCAGCATAGCCCCAATTGCATACGGATCCTTTTCCAGATGTCATTTTCTGTGCTGTCACTTGTCTATTCTCTGCTTCTTTCTAGTCATAGTTGGTCACTGTGACCTGTGAGCCTTCTGCAGAGTGACATCTTTGAATCATGTGATGTGACGTGGCTAGATCGATCAGCAGTCGAGTTTCCCAGTGCAGTGAGCCAACCACCTGACCACGACCACCACACCACCACCTTCAAAGGGCGAGCGTGGTCAATTATTATCAACACTCGACTGCATTCCCCCAGTTTGAAGGAACGAAACCTAAGATCTGGTCAAAGTTCTCCTCTGGGTGCTTCGTGGATGTGACAAAGTCGTTGTGGCCTTGGTGGCGCATCGAATCTGACCCCCTTCCTGTCGGCGAACCTCAATATTGGCTCCATATACTATGCAACCGAGTCACTTGGATCTCTCTGCTGGTAGAGCCAACAATGTTCCCAACAGGCAGTCGTCGACTTCCAGGGAGCATCCCGTGATGTCACCAGCACCGTCTTTGGCCAGACGACTACGATCAGAGGGTACGCTTCTGAATATCCATTCACTAATTGCATGATGGTTGAAGCTCCCCTCATCTTCATGCATGCGAATCCCAACTACTCCTTTAAGTAATGTACTTACCAGCTTGCTATGCAGATTCTTGGGTAGAGATATCCTCGCAGCCTTCCTCTTCGTCCCTTTCTTCTGCTGGCGGAGACAACGAGATTGTCACTACGGGACTCCAGATCCGCCATGACTCGAATCTTCATCGACAGCATCGTCGAAGGCGGTTGCACCCTGGATTGGCTGGAGGTATACGGCTAGCTGGACGACCATCAAGCGCCGCAGGAAGCAGCCAAGACGAATACGATGAGAGCGAGAGCGAATCCGACCGGGTCCTGAGCAGTTCAAACGAGGACATAACAACCAGAAACATGCTTGGCCAAGGTCTGCCCGAAGCCGATGAGGTTGAGGACGATGATTCAACTGCACTTGGTACTAGAACCACGATTCCAGGAGAAAAGATATTTACACCACAGCCCAATGCATTTTCACATCCCCCATCATCACAGACAAGCCGACATGGTACTGGCTCGAGACCAGCGTCGGGCTCGTACTTTCCTCCAACTTCTTCTTCTACCGCTCCGGCAGGAACTCGACTACCATCGAATCAGGTCATCACTCCTCGGAACATTCACCAATCCCGTGCTCGTCTACAACCACCACAGACACCTGGCTCGACCGGTCCATGCCATGTCACCGGCCCCTCACACAGTTATCAACCGGACCACGATGCGGCCCTTCGTGCCAGTCTATCTACACTTCTATCTTGTGCTGCGGCAGTTCGTGGTTCACCGAAGCAGCAAGATTCATCATCACGAGCCGAGATCCGCCACTACAGCGAGCCTACAGCATTACGACTCGTTCACGAGTCAGAGCTATTTGGCCCCAACAATAACCAAGGGCAAGCAGCACTTCCGACTCGGAAACCTCGCGCAAACAGCTCACCCTCTTCTACCAGCTTTTCATCCAAGCCCCTGGCGAAACGGAAAGCAAGAGAATCTTCCAAGGATCGACATGCAAAGAAATCACGAGCTACCAAGACTGTCGCAGGCAGTATGGATGATGTTGTGATCTCTCCAGTATTGATGAGTTGGATGATTTCGGCTGGAGTGGTTCTTGTTTTTTCAGCTATCTCTTTCTCCGTCGGCTATGCATGGGGCAAAGAGGTCGGCAGGTTTGAAGGAAGTATGAGTGTTGGTGGAGAAGGTGCTAGCTGTGGAAAAGAAGCGATGCGGGGCACTACTGGGGGACTGAGAAGACTGAGATGGGGCACCGCCAGCTCAAGCGTTCGAGCTTAATGGAACAGTTCGAAGGACTCGAACGAGCATAACGAGATTATGCATTTATGGGAGGAATACGAATTTTTATGAGGGATGGATGAAAGTGATGTCTTGGAAGGGTTGAGAGGGGGCGCCAGGATTTCGGCGTTGAGGGGTTGATGTGTATCTATGCATCAAGAAATGAATGATACCAGTGTGAGTTGCGTCAGCAATCCAACACACAAAGCATTTATACAGCACAAACAAGGGGCAAAGATGTCGACTGGAGCTTGAAACGGCGATTCATGAGTGCTTGGGTTGAGGCATCGCGACAAAGGATACCCATCATCTCCCTCCTACGACTCACTGCATGGCAGGAGCAAAGTTGTACCCGTTGACATCACCACCACCATATAGAAAGCTCTTCTCCACAGGCTTTTCTGTGCCTAGTCAATCAAATATCTCCTCCCCTTATATACCTCCTCTCTTTTCCCAACAGCTTGGCTCCTCTCTCGTATTACACCATCTCTTCTCCTCCTCGTAACGCACCACGAGTTCTGTCCCTCCCTCCCTCCTGGCAGACAGTCATGGTTTTAAGTACCAGGCTCGTAGGCATTGCATAAAATTCGTGACGACATATCGGTACCGCAACGTCGAACGTGGGTGCTGATGAGGATGAGTCCTTCCTTGCTGCACCCTTCATGCGTCTGTCAACTTGCTGACTGTCGACACTGTGACTGTTATCGATTTCATGGCTCTGAGTCCCCAAACCTGACAAGGTGTACTGAATGACCAGGGGTGGTGGTGTACTGTACTTGTGAATTTAAGACGAATACGTTTCCCATGATTAATTTTATTTGGATAATATTCCAACGACAAGGAGTCTACTGTATCAAGTCGAGTAAGCATACAAGGTAGGTTGTTGATGAACCAAAAGGGCCGCGGCCACAATTGGCCGCTAACCAGCTATTACTTACTTATTTGTCTGATAGACTGGTCATGCTCCAGGCCCATGCCCAGCCTCTTCTGTCCTCGGTCCTTTCCCTCCCAACTCCGCAACGCCAAACTTTCTTCGCCAGACCGGGACTTCATAACTTTCATTACTGCATCTCAAATGCCGACCAATAGTAATGATCATACTCGACTGATCTTCACCCTCAGTCTCCTTCCACCCGTCTGCCCAGCCCCTTTGATGATATGACTCAGGTCCCCCACCGGCAGATTAAGCGGGAAATCGACGGCCAACAGAACCAGCACCAAGAAGTCGTACCACCCGATCAGACAGGACATGAACGCCATCGCACCACCCGCGTGTTGTAAGGTGAGCGCCGCCTCTGCATTTCCCTGTGCTGCCTGCCAATCACCGGCGGCGAGACAGCAGTACATGGGGCACAAGGTCAAGAAGATGAGGAAGAACAAGATGTTGGTGCGCAGGCTGGCGATCAAGTAGATGAACGATAGAACGCCCATCCAGAGGAGGAAGAAAGCGAATGTGCTGAGGAAGACTGGGTCGGTTAGACCGGCGGCGGGGTCATCGGGTGAATAGGCGCCATAAGCGTTGTAGTAAGGTGTCAAAGTGGCGCCGAAGGTGAACCAGTAGGCGCCGTACGAGCAGAAGACAACGAAGGGAAATGTGTTTCCAAGGACAAACTCCAGAAGGCCGCCGGTGAACATTAGCAGGCCGCCGAAGAAATAGTACGCGCCGTTCTCTGCTGCACCGAGACCGCCGGATCCTCTCCAGCCGAGCAGGGCACAGGATAGTGGTGTGAGGGAGAGGATAAAGCCAACGACGGCACTATGGAACTTGTTAGGTCTTTTGGTCTTGCAGGTAAGAAAGAAAAAGAATCATACAGTGGACTTGGGTTGCCAAAGGTTGTTCGAAGGTTATTTGACACCTCATTCTTGGGCGAAAGATACAACTTCTCAAAGAGCTCAGGCGAGATGGACAGGTTGCCAGCCGTTTCGACCCTTCGAAGAGCTGCTTCGCTGTCTGCATGCTCGTCCATCTGGTAGGTGCTCTTGCCATTGGTCCCGCTGGAAGGCTCTGTCACGATCTCGGCCATAGTAATGACTTGGGATGAGATGGATCGAGATGCTTCACACAGATGGAATATTGAAGTAGGAAGGTATGCAAGCAAATGAGTAAGTAAAGGACGGAGAAGCGGAGATGGTATCCGCAAACATGATCGAGCGACAGGGCTCTATATATGTGACAAATGGAAATGAATTCACATCCCAACATAGCTGCCATGGCTCCTGGCATCAGTATTCATGCCGGTGGAAGAACCACAAACAAGCTCCCTATTCGGATCTGCCAAAGAGGCGCTTGGCATGGAAGGCTGGACTCGTTTGCTGTGAAGCTCAATCCGGATCCGATTCAACTGCTTATCTGAGTTGCGGAGGAACGTTCAAGTACCCCTGCCTGGTAGGTTCTGGAAGAGGAAGATGAGTAGAGAAACTAGGTCAGATATCAACCTAAGCAAAGAGTCCCTGCATCGGCAATTGCGTAAATTATGCATAGTGCTTGATATCGATGGTGCGTCCTGTGCTCGGCAATTGACCAGACGTGTAATTTCTGGCTTCTCAAGCCTTAGGGAAAACAAGCATATGTACGTACTTGCTTCTTATTTAGGGGACGATGAATATCCGCAGCGTTGTGCTGATAAAAAGACTTGCTCGTTACCGGTCAGTTTTAACGAGGACAGACGAGAATGGTTGAATTACGACCTGTGACGACTGACTAGCGACTGACGGTCGGCAATCGACTCGGCGACCTTTTTAGCGACCAAGGGTTTCATCTAATACGTAGTAAGTAATTCATCGGGTGCGGGGAACAGCCTACAATAGTGCCCGCCGCCGCTGCAAGCACTTTCAAGCCGATCCATTAACCTAAACTTTGGTAGACTCCAGAGCGGTGATAGCACTCCTGCCGTGCATCAGCATATCAAGAGTAACAGATCTATAGTTCAATCTTCTGAGGGACCGTTGGGCTACCCGAGTTACTAAGCAGCCGTACTGAAATGGCTCAAGACGTCATTCAGGCAAACTCGATTGCTTTAAATTGTTTGCCCAGACAGTACACGTCCTGACCAGCATTGAGATCTCGATTCGGGACCGCAAAGTCACATCAGATAATTAAGGGATACTAGTGACTCTGCTTTGCGTAGTTCTAGGTAGAGAGATATCTTTGTGATTATGTACCCTTTGACGAGCATTGACGAGCATTAACGATCCAGGATGGACCAAAGGAAGTACGTTGAACATCGATCGCATGGCCTCGCCTGGACAAACTGCTGCCGAAGCAGGTTTCTAAATCCGGCTCAGAATCGAAACACAACAGCCGTTGAGATGCATGACAGACACCGGCAGACGTTTACCCTAGATTAGTAATATGGGCGATTTCCCTGGTTGAGAATCGACGCATACGTTGAGAGGGGGAGGAATCGATGGCAACACCAAGTTAGTCTGCATTGATTTCCGACTTCAACCGAGCTCAGGAAGAAGAGTCCCGGTATTCCATTCACCTGCCCTGATCGCCCGCCTGAAATGCCTTCACTGGTACCCTCAAACTGCTCCTTCGGCTGCTGCTGAGACTATCGTTTTCCGTGTCGTATTCCATAAAGCTCATCACATGCTTCCGCATGCTTCCTTGTCGTGCTCTTCTATTCCACGACCCATTCAGGTTGCTTCGCATCACTACCCCATCTGGAGCCCCGGAGTCCTTCAGCTGTGTAGGCGAAACAGGGGAGGCTGTATTAGCATATGAATTTGTATTAGAAGTGGAAGAAATAGAAGAGAAATCGGTCGAGTGCGCACGAAGAATTCTGGCTGAACTCGTGACCTGTCGGCCTCTTGATGTAGCTAGACGATCAGTATGAAGCACTGTTTGGGTGGACACCATGCCGTTGTGCGCTGGCGCTTGCTGATCCAGAGCGGCCTGGTTGGTGTCCACAGCTAGTTCGCTGAGTATGATCTCGTTTCCATCAAGGATCGGAATACTCTCAGTGTTCTCCTTCTCAGAAATTGATGAAAGAGGCATGCTGTTTTGCTGCATTGCCAGAGAAGTCGATGGATGCGCCGGCGTGGTGATAATGGTTGGTGGTGGTCCTTGTGATGGTGTAACCATCGAGACCGAATCTAGGGGTCGCGTAGGTTGCTGATGACGATAGTCTGCTGGTCTGCTAGTAGCGGTATTGTTGTTATCACGATTAAAACCTGAAAAGAAGTTCATGTCAATATTGGAGTGTCTTTCTTATCTTGTTTGCGAGAGAGGCCGTGCTTCGGTGTCAGATCCATCTTTGTGGAGGAATTGCCGTGCTGTTTCTGGGATATGAGAACGAACCTCCATATTCAGCAAATGGATCTCCACTCTGCGCTTCTGGCTCTGCCCTATGTTTTGCTGCATCGAGAAACTTCTCGCGCTCAAGGATGGCGGCCTCTGCTTCGAGAAGCTCCTTTTCTCTCGTTTCATCTATTTTCTTGTCAAGTCTGATCTTTATCCGTAGCTTGGACTGCCTCTGTAAACAAAACCAAAGAAGGGCAGCAAGTAGAGCGAGCGCTGCCAAACCACCAAGGACCCCACCAACAATTGCGCCAATTGGTGCTTGGGAGCCATTGCTTGGCTGAAGAGTGGAAGATGAGGGGGCTGAAGTCGACGTAGAGGTCGGCGGGATAGTGGAAGACGTCGATGGTGGCTCTAATGAACCAGTACGTGTTATTGTTGATGTAGGCGGGGTGGCCACCGAAGACTTCGAAGCGGTGGCAGTCAAAGAGGGTGTACTATCAGTTGTGCTGGGGCTGCTCGAGGTAGCAGTAGTACGATCGCCGTCACTGTCATCGCCGCAAATTCCGGTGTCACACGGATTAGTGGAACAACATCCAGCATAGGCACCTATGGAACAACGATAGAAAAGTTTGCCGGCATCGCAGCTGTTAGCACTGTCCTGACGCTTGAAGCGAAGCCTCATGCTGCTAAGATTCAGAGAAAGAGGCACTCAGAGTAGAGAACTGTCACAGACAAGCCTGGTAATTAAATCGAATTTTGCTTCAAGAATACCTACACAAACTTATTGCCACCAGGGGCAATCATAACCATTATCATGGAAAAAGTGGCAAGTTTGAGAGCAAACACAACTTGGGGCCTTTTACATTGTGCACCCCCCGAGACATCAAGTTGGGGGTTGAACAAAGAAAAAGCAGTAGCGGCATCACCGCTTGTGGCGCGTTTCCAATATACGACTCGGAGTTGATGGCTAAATACGTTAAGTTAGTGCTTGGCAAAGTATTTTAGTGTTGCCCTGTTTTGCAGTTAAGCCACCAACTTCCAACGGTAGCTGCATGCAGACGCCAGAGACCACGCTGGAATCTTTGCCGCATGATTTACTTAACAACTAGACTGTCAACGTCTTTCTCTGGAAGGTTTCCGTTGGGTGTCTAAGACTTGGGTCTTTCGCCAAGCTCAACCTCATCTTGCCGAATTTTGCTGTGGATCCTCCCAGCGCCAGTGCACATTCGACTGAACGAGACATCAAAATCAAAGAAACCAATTGAGTCACCAAGGACCCTCAATTATCCACTTTCGGACCCTTTGAGATATCTTTGGTGCCAAGTTCAATCTTGCAGAAAGGCCCATTAATTGTCGGTGATCAACACTACTTCTACTGCTTCATGTTCCCCCCAAGATTGCATCGGTGAAAGGTACATTTCTAGACAACGGCAGACTTACTTCGAAATGCCACAAACAAGACCGTGAAGCACCTGTCTCTAAGACAGCATATCCTATTGATGGTTGAGTCTCATACTAGTTTGGCGTTGTTTGGGGCAATTGTACATTTCTGGACCTGGATGTGAGCTTTTGCTATCTGCTGATCAGTGGGACATAACGAAGCAGACAATAGTCCCAACCTCGCTGCCTAAAGTGTCTCTCCTGCGATAACTTCACTCTTCCGAAGCCACATCGATAATGCTTGACAAATAACTCTGGTGCAAGACGCGACATGAGACAATCTGTGCGAAGAGACCAGTAATTGCTCTGCCAGCCCGTGAAGAACTCGCGTTGATTTAATTGCTGATCCGGTCTACTTGGAAAAGCCGTTCAACAGATGCGGAACTAATAAAGAACGGTCCTGCACCACAGTGACAGCCTCGCCATTACGTAAAAGCAAACCATCCATTCGGGAAAGGAGTCCCAAACATACGTTCACAGTAATCTGGGTTCATTCCGTCAAAATAGTTACCCAATGCCTTCCGAAGCCTTCCTCCTTTGTGGTCCTCGGCCTGCGTTCGTAAAGGAAACCCTGTCCGCATGGTATGTGCTGGTTTCGAGGCACGTCACCTACCAGAGCTTCAGCAAAATACTCCATCATCCTGACCTTAAGATCGAAGCATTCCTGCTGCCTTGATGTGAGTGGTCGAGCCATGTTTGGGCTTTGTCAAAATCGATCCAGAGGACTCTTTCGGGGTTCTCAGGCCCACCATCATGTTTCGTGGATATGGATCATGATGCAGGATATTTGCTTCATGGATTTCATTGAGAATATAGGCCAATTTTTGTGTACGGGCTTTTGAGTAGTTTGGCAAGTCTATCATCTCCATGTGCGGGATGTACTCGATCAGGATGGCATTAGGCAATAGCTTGTCCTTAAGGAACATGTCCAAATGAGGTTTCCATAACTTCGGCTGTATTTTCTCTAGTTCTATAGAATTGAGGCACGAAGCCATGGCCGCAAAGTCCACGTTCTTTGAGGCCCCGGTAGGCTGTGCTTTCGCAGATGAATATGTTATGCTCAGTAAAGCTACTGCAGGCATCCGATATTTCTGCTGTGGTACTGTATAAAATGTTCAGTGCTTCAAATCCAGAACGAGATGAGTAAATGTCTCACTCACCACTTTCATTACACATTCCTTCCCTCTAACGATCACGTGGAATATTGCAGACCGTGTGGATTGTTTGAGCTTCCAGGTGAACGTCACATCGATCGACCTGATGTTCTGCATCTGGTCAGGCATATTGAGAGTTTTCTCATCACAGTTGCTTCTGGAGGTAGGCGAAGCTTGAGTTGAAGTTGAGGTCTATTACCTTTCTGGCGAAAAATGACCCAATTCATTATTGGCTCACTGAATTCCACTAAGGTGGCCTTAAAAGGCTTAAGGCCACATTGTGGGCTTGTGGTTGATGGAGTTGATAAGCTTACATCTGCCTCGCGGCTGTCAGCCAATAATAAACTGGACCGTCTTACGCCAGAAAGGTGAATAGTTAGCTTGACATTTACGTACTAGTAGTAATGTGGTAGTCATGCCGCTACGTAGTAAGATTCAAGGAAGCTCATCACCAAGTCATTTTTAAATGCTTTTATTCTGATATAATACTCATTATGAGTCCTGTGAGGTAATTTCATCTACGATTCAGATCTCCGCCCTGGTTCACTTTTAGCCTTAGGTTGCTGGCTCTGAACGTATAGTACTAGTACTGCATTCTAACAGTGATCGGCAATGCTTTGGGAGATACAAGCCCGCTTAGAGTGTAATTTGCTCCTACCTCGAATGCCTGACTTGTATCCGACAGCATGAGTACCCTGAGAACCGCTTGTCGATAATGGATCAATTGTACATCGAGAATGCAAATGTGCTTTGTTCATTTACATGATTTCTTTGACACTTCTTGATCGATCCTATCCTTGCCTGCTAAAATGAAAATGCACAAAGGCGTATAGCTTTGCTTAAGGGAGTCAACAATGCTGCTTTGTACTGCTTCTACGGGACGCATCAGACACAATGACAAGAAGATCCTTACACCATATGACTATACATCTAGCACCATCAATTCGAAACTCCATCAAGCATATAAAAGCTCCTACGCTTCACCAAATGTATGGCTTTTTTCAAAGCCCTTGCCGCGTTTCATTGCTACACCAACACCTTATACTCAGCCAAGAGCCACCCTTGACACGCTGATCTTGTTCAGCGTTCGGCGTTTCAGCACCACGAGGACTTTGCATCCAACAGCAAAGATGTGTTGGACCACCTACCAAGTGCATGACTGCAACCACGTGATCTTGGTCCACTCCGAGAGATGCGCTCGTGCCATCGCCGAGCAGATGCATGTCTGTGGCAGAGAGGTGGTGGAGATCCTGTCATCGCTTGGGCCTTCCGGATTCAACTGCCGGAGTTGTTATCAGGCTGCTTATTGAGCTGAGCTTGGGCGTAACGGTAAGTCTGCATTCACCTCGACGATACCGTTGAACGGAGGTCATGACTGGTGAGAAGCGGATGTGCTCTGTCTCTGATAGGCGGTCAGGCGGTCGAAGCCTACTTCCGCATGTTGTGCATATCAACGATCTAACGAAGCTTACGGTCTCTTTTGCTGTTAGTGTACAATTCGGAAAGGTGGGCTTGCTGCGACAACCATCCAATCAAGAACTATCTAATATATCTCACTGATCTCTAAGTGTACCTGTTGAAATTCTATTATGTTCCTCTGATTGAATGTGGTCTGCCTTGCCTGATGGAGACTTAAATCATTCATTCTCCATCGGAAACAGTATGGATCCGTGGCGTGAAAGATCCGCGAATCTTGGTTTATCACAAGGTGAGGATTATCATCTGGTTTGCTTGAATCGCGATGTCCAATAACTATGCTTGCATGCGGCTTGTAGGTGGGTCAGGGGCAGCCCAAATAAGGTTCGAGGCTCACCGACCTGCAAGACATAGTCCGCTGCTTGAGGAAGATGCAGGCACGCGAAAGTCCATGTAATATGTCCTAGCAATGATTCATTGACATCCTTTGAATAATTGGCTCTTTGTTGGATGATCATGATGACCGCAAGAAATACGCCCCAGGCTCTGAGAGTCGCCAGCAGATGATGAGAAGTTGGTGCGGCTGAGAGTCGTCAGCACATGATGAAAGTTAGTTCCGGCTCTGTTGTGTAAGGCGTCATCTGCAAAGATGATGGAGCGGAAGTTAAAACTGCTTCCACATGAAGAGCTGCAAGCAAACACCGAGAGCCATGAAAGAGGCTACAGTATCCTTGACAAGGCACTTAGGTCCGATTGGTTGCCGCATCGATTAGGTCCTGAACTCTAATTCTCTTCTGGTGTCAGTGCAGTGTCAATTATCGTAGATAAGCATTGCAGACGCCTCAAAAAGAAGAGATGGAAAGCCCAGCCGCAACTAGTATGCTGCTGTATCCCCAAGAAAAGCAGTAGAATATTTACTGAATCACTGCTTGAGCACATACAGCAGCAATTCTGCCAGTCTCGTACTGTTTAAGGGCTCTGAGAGTTCCTTGGGACTGGACAAACTCAAAACGCCATTTGGGAAGTGATTGTTCTCCTAGTGACCGGATTGGGCTCCCGCGTTAACAGGGGCTGTGGATCTGCTCCAGGTCAATGACCCTAGGAGTCCAATCTTTTGCTGCATATGACATAGCCATGTCAATCGTTCCAAATGATCGCTCGATTGGATCAACACCGCTGGTTGCGAATACCTTTTTCGGCAGAAACCAATCCTTTAGAGTGCCTGTGATGAACGCCACTGCTTTTGTGCCCGAGGATTTATGCATGGCAGTTATGATGCATTCAACTGTCTCCTCAGACTTGCCCCTTCTTGCAGCTGCTCTTGTGTTTCCGTTCCATCTTTCACAGCAGCAGTGGTATATTTCCGAGACATCATCAAAAGAGTTGCACAGATACAGATACAAGAGGCTACGACCCATAATGATTGTTGTTGACAGCAAATGAACTGGACTTGTGCTAAGGGCGGCATACATCTTGAGTCTGAAGCTACCCGCAAGGCCTAACACAGGCAGTCACCACTATGTCGCGAGGTAGCACCAGAATGAGAGGGCGAATGGCGGGAATGAGGCGGTGGGATGGCCGATCAAGGATAACGACCGATTGGTTTGGCCTCCATAACGTAAATAATCAATCACCCGTGGTCCGCAGCAATGCTGAAGAGTTTCTAGGATACTGAGCTCAATTTCTCCGATGGAGACATCCTCGTCTTCCTGCACGAGCCTGGCAAGGCTAGAAGACGAGTATCCTTTCGCCTCCACGCCGAATACCTTGCAACCACAGGCTTTCAGTCCCTTGTCGACCAAGCTGTGGTCGCTCCCACACCAAAACATTGGGCAATGCCAGCCAGCCCAAGCGGTGAGCTCAGCGTCACGGTCAGGGAGCTATATCTGCCTCCACCAAACAATGCAGACAGAGACGCCATCGCGCAACACAATCTGGCAACACGGAACTTTTTCGCCTGGCTATATGATCGGCCACTGGCGGGGAAGACATTGGGAGCATCCATGGTAGACGCGATGACGAAAGCATACACATACAGACCGAATCATGCAGAACTAATAAACAGAGATATGTTAGCATATTTGGACAGAAGGGGTTATATGGATTTTCGAGAATGCGTGGACCATGCTTTAGCAGTACTACAGCTAGCGGAAAGCTGTCGGATGGAATCACTGTGGGTCAATGCGTTTTCTCACTGCGTTGGCATGCATCATGGTTTACGCGCGAGCATTGAATATAATGTGAGCTGCTCTCTTCCGCCCGCGTAAACAGACCCAATCTAACTCGCCACAGCGTGTCAGTCGTGTGACTAAGGCAATGATCATTCGTACTCGGCTTGAGATGGACATTCGTCTAGATGGAGTGGCAAAGTCCATGACAACCTTTTTCGATTACGACGTCTCAGGTTCATCTCTTGGATTTGGGCGAATTGCCAAAGATCACATGGACCGCTTCAGATCCTTTCTTCATGGGCACTATATCGAGAGTCATGGATTTTGGCCTCCTTCCGGATTTGCTGCCAGCTTCGCCCTCCGAAGGTCACTCTACTCGTCGATGTATATGGAATTCCGAGCCCTGTATCAGTATTTGGTGGACACTCAGGCAAATCCTGCCCTGCCAATCGCAAAGCCTTCGCAAAGCGGAATCTGGACCTTCCAGATCATCAGAGCTTTTGATGCACAATGCAAGCTCGAAACCTTACCGCATCCGTTGCCTTTGCTTCCCCAACCGGTAAGGCACAGTGCTCCTCTTGGATTTACAATCAAGAAACGAAGAATGGAGAGGGAAGCGCGACAAATAGCCCTAATAAAGTCCTTGGGTGATGCCTCCAACCGCAATCCAGACCTGATGAAGTCTCGGCTGGTGCGCAGTTACAGCCAATTCGAGAAACAGACTGTGCTTGATGGTTTTGATCCGGTCGATCCGATAGAAGGCAGGAAGGTGCGCTGGATATTGATATACGCCATTTTCCAGACCCTTGCATCGGTGATCTCGGCTCCGAAGGAGGTTACAGATACGGACGGATTATCATATCCATTGTGTTGTCAAAGACCAAAAGTAATGCCGTGGGTGGTGGAAGAAGATGAATCCGCTGCTATTATTCCAGTAGCTAGCAGAAGTACTAAGAGCAAGGATGATTTCCGCGATGGCTTTCAAGGCCCCAACCACGAACCTCGAGGAGATGGAACGATGATCACCTGTCAAGGAGATGTCTCGTTACCATCTTTCACGACTTTTTCATCCCAAGTAGAAGTCCATATTGCGTCTTCGGCCCCAAGTTCACCATCCAACTCTACCGCGTCGAAGTCCTCTCTGGCTCCCTCTCTTCTACGTCCCTCCCAGAACCTGGAAGAGTCTCCTGGCGATACTGCCACGATATCAAAACTGACCCTTCCAACCAGACGCAAATTTGTTTCCTTCCAACAGATTGTCCCTGATAAATGTGACAACAAACTGAGCCAGACCATCGGTAATAGAGTTCCTCCTTCTGCCATTGGTCAGTCCGACGTTAATCGAAGCTCGGCCGAAAAAGTTATCAACAACAGCTTGTTCATTAGGACAGCCGCTTCACCACCGCCTTATGAGAATCCGCCTTCTCCCTCGAATCGCCCCCCTTCCTATGTCGCTCCACGAAACTTTACACCTTCCTTGGTGCCATTCACTACTCCTTCCCCACCCAGCAGAGCAGAAAGTCCCACCCTTCCGACCTTACCTTCGACACCCTCTAGCTCACGAGATTCGTCGCACAACTCCGCGTTCAGCTGCATCGCCTCCAAGTCATCAACTCCATCTGATGGACAACACCTAGATCACAATAGCACGCAAAACTCCAACACAGCCACAGCCGCCTCAGCGCCAATACCAATTCCAACAGCGGAATCAGTAGACTTTCCCAAGGTAAATGAGAAGAAGGTTGTAAAACCTCGAGAGCGCCCCAATATAAGCGCAAAGAGATCTCCGTCATCCTTTCCCTCTGCGCCGTGTACGACAGCTCCAAACAAGGCCCTCCCTCAGCTCCCATCAAAATTAGTTCGATCCACAGTATCCGGCCCAGAGAAATACCTCAGTCTCCCCTCCGTCACGGGATCAGGCCAGATCGGAATGCCAAAGGCCCTTTTAGGATCTACAAGTAACACCAGCAGCAATACCAGCGTGAATATCACTAAAGAGGAGACGGAGACGATCTGATTGACCTTTCGAAACGGTGCCTGGTTCTAGACCTCGGGTTTCCCTTCTAGAAACGAAACCTGGCTTGTTCTGGATGTATCCGCATGAGTATTACCTACTCCGCATCTCACGCGAGCGCTCAGGTGAACCCCAGGTTTTGGAGCGCCTCAGCATGCAAGGAGACGGCATACGTCGTCTGACTGAGGCAGGGAAAGCCCACGTCCGATGTGAATAGGTGCAATCCGGCGCAGGGATTCCATACCACAGACTTCCGGCACAGGAGGACGCCAATCGTCTCGGCTGGCTAGCAAAGCACTCTCGTCCGGGTCGTCCTGGACTCCGAACCATCGCTTGAATGTAGCTCCCTCGGTATCAGCGGCGGCGATGGCACCTTCGTTGACAAGTTCGACCCAATCTATGAAATGCTTGATGGATCTTTTCGTCGTCCTTCTTGGCCTGAGCGCTGTTGGGGTCCCAGTTGAGCCATTAAAACTCATTGGTTACAGCGATTCCGTATGGATAAGCTGAAGGCTGTGTGTTCTGTATCAGGACAGAGGTTGCGGACCTGTATCATTTAATAATAAGAGATGGGCCCCGGTTAACGCCATGGCTCACGGTTGAACAGGGTTGGCCAATGCGGCAATTCCGAATGAGAGCGCAATGCTCGAAGGCATGAGGTGGATATACATAGCGGAAGCAAGGTTATATCGCATGTAAAATATTTGAAACAAGATGACCAACGAAATTGATGAAAGGCAGATGGCATCTTGTGAAGCAGGCAAGGTCTTGTTTATACAATCTCGATCTGGATTGCCACCTCGACGCTTGACCATCCATGCCTCCTTTCAGATCTATCCAATCTAACTTGTCATATTCGCTTAAGAAGGAGCATAAAGATGTTGTCTTCGCAGGCCATGCTTCCAAACCGTAAAGTCCTTCTTGAGTGGAATTTGTCAACCGTGCGTGCAACACGTTGCTGCTGCTTATCATACAAGGGGGGCTGAGTAAGCGGTTACCATGCTCGACTCATGATGCCTGGAGAATTTCAGAAACATGCTGCATTAAGATCTGTCAACATGCAGTGTTGGGTGGCACTGCATTGACTGCATTCAACCTGCATACACTGTTTATGTGAGCATTGTTTGGTCCTTATGAAGCATGTAAAGATGAGTGTGGGGAAGTGTCAGAGTCAGAATCAGAGTCAGATGCATACTTCCTCTCCATCTTTCCTCCATCCTTTCCCGCTCTGCCTGTTTACCTGTTTCATGGGGTGACGTCTCAAGTGTGGCTATTATGCCACGTCACCGCCAAAGCTATAAGGCATCTAAGTTATTCTAAAGAACATTGTTGCATTTTTCCTTCCCTCCTTAATCTCAAGGCCACAACCAATATGCAGCCCAAGCGCGATCTGGAGCTTCTCGCGAGCCCGTTCTGCTCTCTGTCTCGCCAACAAGACTTCAATATCTGGCTCAAATTCCGGCTTCATCATCAACAGCCAATCACGGTGACTACGACGGGCTCTATCTCCGACCCGGCCGCGACGTTCACCAAGGGCAGGATCGAAATCCTCGACGCTGAAACAGGCGAGATGGTACATTTTCCAACTCGGACTTCCACGGCCGAGGACACCCATCCATCATAAAAACCTCCTCTGCTGACCTTAGAGCCGGAAGAGGAGGCTACTTCTTCTGGAGTAGCACCCCCCAGGGGAAATAGCACAAGCATCAACCCAACATTTCGGATGGGTTTGCGAAGCGGTATCCTGGAAAATACCCGGCGCAACCAGATGTCCCAGCGCAATCTGATCCCATCGAGGTAAACCTGCTCGGCAAAAATGCTCCCAGCTTCACTACCCGTCCAGCACTACCTCTACCGCCGCCCGTCACCGCCTCCTTATCAACATCTACACCAACCTGCTCGCTAACCGGCAACCCGCCCTCCCCCATCTCCCTCGACTGGAAGCTAGCCCCAACAACGGGCCCAGAGCCATCTGCGCGCTCCAACCGCGAGAACGAGGCCACAACATCGGCGTCGAGATCCGCGACCCGGAGAGAAAACGGCCGGCGCATCAGCCCTCCCTCTAACCAACTCTCCCAAGAAGAAGACGAAGACGAAGAAGAAAAAGGAGACGACCCGCCCGACGAGGAAGTCCTCTTACGACTCCGAGACGGAAACCCCGTCCGACAGTCATACACCTTCACCGTCAACCCCAAGCAGAACGGCCTCGTCAACGCCGAGACCTGGAACCTGGTGAGCGGGAAAGACTTACGAGCTGACGCCGAGGAGGTGCCAGTGGGGTATGGGCTGTATGAGGACGCGGTGGTGCTCGATGAGGCGAGGTTGAGAGCCAGGCTGGGTGGAGAAACGCGAGTGCAATTCCCAGTCGGGCGGCTCGGATCGAGTTCGGCGCTGCGGCGCTGCGTGATTGCTGCTGTCTGCTACCTGCTCTCTGCTCTCTGTTGATCAGCGTATCCACCAAACCGTGTACGATTGGCACTCCGGCTTTCAGGTACCAAGGCCAGGAATCACAACTTGGCTCGATGCCCGTCTCCTGGCACGTCACCGTCACTGTCGCCGTGACTCTGGTTTTCTCGGCTCCACACCAAAACGCTATCAGCTGCTCCAGGGCGCTCTGGCCTACCTCCTCCTTCTGATGCTGGTGGAGCCGGAGGAAGTTGGGATGGATAATATGGTACCCGTGTGCAGGGGTAGGCTTCAGCGGATCTGTGTATGTGTGTATATGTGTGTTGGTCCTAGGCTTAGACGGGGTCATCCCCATGCGTACTAGCAAGTGAATGGTTTTGGTCTCTCATTCTTCTCTGCTCTGCTCTGCTCTGCTTTCGCTTGCGTACCGCTGACCCGAGACATAGTTCTCTCCTTCCTGGACGTCCTGAACACCATCGCTATGCTATGCTATGCTAGTATCTCTAGACCGCAGCGGGAGTCAACGCCAAGGAATTGCTCATTCACGACGGCGGTCGTAACGTGTAATGCTTCGACTGCTGCAGCGTTCATGTTCACCATGTCGCCCATTGAACTCATTGGTTGTGCACATCGCTACCCAGATGTGCTTGCTGTTCGTGGTTTCGCACTTCTTCATCGTTTCCTACCTCCACCTCCACCACTAGCAAGCCCAGCACCTCTGGAGGAGTCCTTTGCCAACCCCTGGCCACGCTGTTGCAACCCGGTCATGTCCCCTCCACCAGCAGCACCAGCACCGGCCAACACATCGCCTGCAATGCTCGAAAACCCTCCTCCTCCACCTCCCATGCCCTGTCTGGGCGGCGCCTTGATCTCCAACCCGGCATTCAAAAATTCCATGCGCATCAGCTTCAGATGAGCCTCCTTCTTGAACCGCTTGACGCTCTCGAACGCCTCCCGATGCACCTCTGCACGTAAATCGACTTCGTCGGCAACGAGGACGCGGTGCTCAAGATCAATCTTGGCTTTCAGCGTACCAGCTGCGATCAATGGAACCAGCTCGTCCTCGATCGCTGGGTTGGACCGGTCCTGACTTGCGAACGTTCGGGCCATGGAGTCCAGGGTGACATGGGAGAAAGGGGCGAAGTATTGGACGATGGATTTGGTGCGGATGCGACCGTAGATTTTTACCAGGTGTCGCTGTAGGTGGAGGTCGAGGAGGTAGTCGGCGCGGTAGGCTTCGAGGATGCTGAGACATTGCGTGTATTTGGCGGCGCAGAAGAAATTGATGGCGCGCCGGATGTGGGGCTCGAGTTCCAGGAAATTCCGGAAGGTGGTGTTTTCTAAGACCTGCGCTTGGAGTTCTTCTCTGCTCATGGAGGCGAGGGCACACAGACCGCCGTAGACGGCTACGTCGTTGGAGGTGAGGACTTCGTTGTATTTGTCGCCCAGGGATGGGTCGGTATTGAGGAAGCTGATGGCTGCGTCTCGGTAGTCACCAGCATGCATCTGGGAGAGTCCCATGGCGGCTTGGGTTTTGGGTTGAGCTTTGGCGTGGTCATCGGGTTTGAGCTGGATGTTACGAATTTTATGTACCGACGACTGCACGGCTAGCCAATTATTCTGGTCGATGGCCACTTCGATGACACGGAAGGAAGTCGAAGCAATGTGTGCTGGAGTGGTGCAGTAGTCTCGCATGCGACCATACGCTTTGGTGGCAGAGGTAAGGTCTCCTATGGCATGATAGTGTGCTCCAAGGTCTTCGTTACCCATCTGAAAGTTCAAGTTAGCTCATCCTCCTGTCTAGCTGGGTCGAAATGGGCACGAACGCGGATACTCTCTTTGATGAGATTGTTTTTGTAGCCTTTTAGCTCTGCCTCCAGTCGGCTCGACTCTGCCTTGTTCTGCTTCTCTTTCCGCTCAACCCAAGACCGGTCGATGACACCATCTGGATCGCCTGGTGTAAGATGAGGCCTTAATGCAGCCACGGCATCCATGTATCTTTGTACATCATTCCCGGCCTTCGCTTCCGCTACCGCCGCTTTCAGAGCTTCTGTTGCAAGTACTTTCGAGGATGTGCCGATGAGATAGAGCCGCGCGTATCTTGTGCGTCCTGGAGCAGGGTTAACGAATTGCCTGGTAAAGCAGCAAGCCGGTCAGCAATACCGGCATAATTAGCGATGTATGAATCGAGATCAAACTTTGGTGTTTCTACGGACTTCTGTCAGTCACCGCACGATCACTGCGAGCTGAATCCATGCGCACCTGTAACCACTACACGACTCTTTGGAGTAGAGGGTACTTTGGCGTCCGCCTTCAGGTCCATGGCCTTTCCCAATGCCGGCGAGAAGACTGTGACGCCACGGTAGCCGATTCAGATGAGAAGAGAGGTGGTGTTTCCAGTAAGACCCTTACCGAAGCATCAGGGTACGGTGAAGGATGCGGAGAGTTCGATTAAATTAAGATGGACCTGATGTGCCTGTTGAGGAGCAAGCACCTCTGGGCGAGGATAACAGCTTAAGCTGCGCGGCTGTGTCCTCGGGCTGCCGTAAGTTAGCGACATGACAAGATGTGTTTTGCGGCTTCCCCTGCGGCCACATGTGCAATGGACAGACACCACTACGTAGTATCTCGCCGACTCAATAACGCAGAGCAGAAACTGTCGATGTACAGAAGCTCCCAAAGTTATGTTACATCTACCAAAGACTCTCGGTCCTGCTAGATTGTTGTACAACTGTGCGCTCTGCGCTACAAGCCATTGACTAACTATTATCTCCACCTGGGTATCTTTTTGTGGCCACTGATCTTCAGTCTCGCGCCAGATTCGTAAACATGATCAAGCATTCTCGATCCGCTCAAAGCTTGAAAGACAACGGCATACTCATACATATATTCAACCATCAAGACATCAGCTCCTCGAGGCTGAATCCTTGCGCCTCCTCTTGATTCCATGGCCCCTTCTCTTCCGGAGTGGCACCATGAAGGGCATCGGCTCGCTTCAAGGTTTCGACGTCCAGATCGGTGACATAGGACTTGCCGTCAGCAAGGTTCATGCGTACCTCGAACTCATTGTTGAGCATCATGTCGTCTTTCCACAGCCTTCGCTCTCCATCGTAGACGCAAAGCACGCGCTTCCGCATTTTCATCTTATCTGCTGACACGCCCCACGAAACAGGATAGTGCTTTCTCTTCCGCCGACTTTTGCCCACCAAAGGCACGCCACCTTTCGACAGGGTCAAACCCTTGCGCGTCGAGCGAGCAGATTTGGAAATGCCACCATTGGCAACCGCGCGGGACACGGAAGTGGCCTTGCTGGATTTGACCATGCTCTTGCCGGTACGGCCGTTGTAACTTGGGTCATCATCGTCGTCGTCATCGTCGTCATCCTCCACTTCGTCTTCCTCGTCGTCTGCTGGCGGAACTGTAGTTTCATCTGTGCCTGTGAGCATGTGTCGTTCCATTGTTTCCTTCACAGCATCATCAGCCGCCATATCCCCAAGGTGTTGCTGATTGATTGCCTCACTTGGTTCTTCTTGCTGCACCACACGGAGAACACAGTCGTCAAGATGCTCATAGAAATCTTGGGCGCTGCTGAAGGTGGCCGAGCAGGTCGAGCACTTTCCTGTTGCATCCTGGCAGTAGCTTGAGGCCTTCTTGTTTGAGCCGTTAGGACTTCTCTTGCGGCTGTTGGGAGGTGTCTGCTCCACTCCGTGCACCGAAGTCAGGTGTCTTTTGAAAACATCCGCTCTGTTGAAGCTCTTCTCCACCGAAGAGCCAGAGCCTGGACAAAACCCGCACACCATGGTCCCCTTGTAGTGGGTCAAGGTATGCCTGTTCTTGTCGTACTTGCGCGCAAACCCTTTCTGGTTATACTCGCAATTCAGGATCGGGCACTTTTCAGGGCGTTCCGACTGATGAGTAAGCATGTGTGCTTTCAGATCCTTGAAAATTCTTCCACAGCCTGGATGAGGACATCTCCCCTTGTCCTGGCCCTCGGCATCGATACTAGCACTTCCAGACATAGGGCTTGGGTGCGATTGTCGCGAATTTAAGGACGACACCGAAGCACGTCGATGCAGATACGGTGCGTGCTGATAATTGTTGTAGAACATTTGCGAGGACATATCGGGACTGAGGTGATTAATGGCATAGTTTGGTGGCGCTGGCTCGCAGTGCGAAAGATTCGGCGACACTGCTGTCGAGTGCATCTCAAATGGGGGAGGTGCACGATACATGGCGTGAGCTGGGTATGCCAGAGGTCCATCGGGGTACAGGTTACTTGTAGGTTGAATTAATGACGGATCTGATAGGATGGACAAGTCAGCAAACAGAAGCCAACAGCAGAGTTCTACTTGGAATGAGATGAAAAAAGGCAAATGGTTGCAAAAAGAGACGTATGCATAGCGAAGAGAGAGCAAGGAAAACCAACAAGATAATCTAGTGGGTGGGACGAAATTTCCCCTGTTTTGAGCAAAGAAATGAGGTTGAAGGCGGCCTGCATGAGTCGACACTGAGGATTCTGCTGCTGTATTGAAGGCAGACATGTTGATTGGAGGCCCGCTAAAGGAACTAGTGCCGGCCAAGGCTGATGTGGCTGAGCTGAAAGGTGGTGATGACAACTTTGGTGTCCTGGAAAGGGTAGAAACAGAAGTTGGGGGGGGTTGAAGGGATATCTTGCAGTTCTGTGAACTCGCATGCACGTGCTTTTCTGGCGCGCCTGAAGATATGGTGGAACGTGGCCCTTCGTTTGAGGTCTGGACTTGGCCAGAATCGGTCGCGGTATTTGCCCGTTCAAGGACGGAATCAATCGTCAAGCACTGTCCTCTGGCAGGGGTTTTCACGTTGATAGGAAATGGAGATGGTTGACAGGGTTGTGGTCTTCCAGGAAAGGCAGACTTCGACAAACGACGCTGACTAGGAGAAGCTTTGGTACTTACCAACAAAATCCTCACCGACCTTGCCCTGGGCACGGAGAGTTAGTTCTGAGTCGAGATCAACTCCCCCAAAGACTGCATCATAGCCATCGTTATTGATAATAGTTGGTCCAACCTCGAAAACTTGATTGTCAACCCTCCACGAGTCCTGGCCAGATACTGCTTGAGCATGAGTGGAGTAAGGAGAGCCAACAGCAGAAGAGGTATTGCTGGGGATCGAAGCTGCAGAAGCATTGGATAAGGTCGGAGGGGGAAGGTCTGAAGGTGGAGAGGATGGGTTTAAAGGGCGTCTGAACTGAAGAGCCAACATTGCAAGATCTGCGTTGTCTGGCAGAGCTTCGGAATGGAGAGAAGTACTGTCTTGAAAGGAGAATGGTATCGAATTGAAACCGGCAGTTGAGTCGAAAGGAGCATAAGGGCTCATGTTTTGATTCAAGTAAGGGTCGTGGAACGCCGAGTCAATCCCATATGAAAATGCAAAAGGCTGTTGCCGGCGTGAATGCTGGAGCGCAAGCATCTCAAGAGTTGTGTGAAATCAGGAGCATATGATCGTTTGAAAAATCCAATCTCGCCAGGATCATGCGGCGTGGCTCTTGAAGCGCACCGAATCCTGTCGCGGTGATGGTTGGAGGCCGGTGTTGTGTGAGTGCCGGGCCTGATTCAGTCTATGACCAGCAAGCGGCAAGGGATCTGGAGGAGGTCGAGTGATGTGGTGTGTACCAACGGATCCTGTATCAAAGGAGCGAAAGACAAGGACACAAATGACGAACTGGCTGGCGCAGATGTGTCGATCAATGCCCGATGGAGTGGGTAAGGCAGCGGGAGGAATGAAATTCCGCGAGCCTGATCGACCTTTAGAGGCTATGTTGATTGAAACTGGGGACTCTCAAACAAGATGTGATTCAGTGATTCAAAGCATCGTCAAAACAAACGGCGAGAAGGGGCGAAAAGACGGGGTATTAATATCATGTATTTGCATGATCCTGTTTGCAGAGGACTAATGATGCGCAGCAGACGAGGACTTTCAGGGACCTCTCATTGCTAGCCTTACACATGGCCACTAATGCGTTCCTTGCCTGATGTGACTGGGGTGCGCCTTAGGGGGTGAGATGGGAGAATGGTGGAGGTGTTAGTGGTATTCCGTAATTCACGGTCAAGATAAAATACCACGGGCCTTCTGGCGCTTCCAAACTATGCTTCTTTGGTGGATGTCACTCTGTCAAGCCTCTTCCGCATTGGGATTTGGAGCCATGCAAGGCTTCACGGAGGCCCCGACTCGGCTGCATGCCCCAGAGATACTGCCAAATGCCACGTTTCGCTGCATCTAACGATACAAGTGCGAAGTTCCTCCTCTTTTCTCCTTCTTCTCTTAGCCCAGCCCAATCACCATTGATCAATGACAGGTGATGGGGTGGCATCCAGAAACACGCAACCAGCGTATGCTATTTCTCTGCAGCCACCTCGACTATGGTGACCAACAATTACCACAGGGGTCTAGACTGGCTGGCAGAAGACACACCCTCATCCACACGGTGAAGCATACATATAAGGATATTCGCACATCAGGCAGCAATTGGACGTGAGCCGGGGACCCCAGATTATTCGATGCCTTTTTCGTATGCTCTGCAGAGGTGCTCGACCCGAAATGATGGTGTAGAGGGCGATCCTTCCGAGACAGAAGTGAAGATGCTGGATGCATCACCGAAAGGAGATAGCAAAAGTGGCCTGGAGCCGGATTGGTGAGTACTAAACACTCGAGGTTGCAGCCGTAAGCGAGAATGCATGTTCTGGAATTCGTAAGCTGTACTACACAATGGAAGTTGTATTGTACAGAACACAAATACAGCAAAGATACTACAAATACGTAGTAGGTGGTAAGGCTTAGTTCCTAGTGCAGGCGGAAGTTGCGGTAAGAATCAAAAGCCTAAATCTCCTGACACCGACTGCATGGTAGACCACCGACATTAGTGGATACGACCCTCTTTGATTTGTGAGGATGGATTGGTTGTTGGGTGAAGCTAATGCAGATGAGATCGCACAGCCATGGTATTAATACGTGAGTTGATCCCTGACATCTTCCATTCTCATCAGTCTCTTCTAATTTTACACCGCCATCTGCGCCTCGTCTGTGGCGCCCACATCTACACAGTACCACTGGGTACATACAACTACACAGCCTCTACTTCTATCATCCTTAGAATGGTGGTGGCTTCAATGCATATTGACATCAACTCCAGATTCTTCGACCCTACTGCATGAAGGGTATGCTTGTTTATCTCCCATATTTTTCTCAGTGTGCAACTAGAAGGTCCTCTGTAATTTAGTACTAAATCAAAGTGTGAATTACCTACGAGGTAGGTATTAGGTGCCCCCTTTGCCCTAGGTGGGTGCTTGCAAGATTAACCTGCCATGCAGAGTTTAATATTTGCAGCAAATTGCAATGTCTTTCCACGTTACTCTTACCGTTATAAAAGGTCACGAGTCATGCTCTGTTGAATAAACTGCGTAGCAAGTACTTTTGATGGACGACATGAACTTTTTTGTTACTGAGGCCCGGCGGCGGGCGCGGTAGGCGGGACCATGCTTCCGATGTCCTCCATGCATACCCCTACCGACAAAACCACCACCCTACAATACTACGTACAAACAACTTACAAGCAAATATCCCTCCAAACTTAGGCAAGGTCGTTCCGTCGGAGCATCCGCGCTATTAATCGAAGATAACCCCAAGCATATCAGAATTGCTGGAAGATCAACTGTCTACTTTTCTTTCCATCTTGCAGTCATGATTATTCGATCGAATACTGACCAGTCATCCGAATCAGCCCTTACTAGTTCTTTGCATTCTGACGGTGGTCGGAAACTTGTTTCGTTTCCTTCTTGCACGAGAGTTCACTTTCTCATTGCCCGTAGAGCCACTGCTTGACTGGACAGGTGTTAATAGGCACATTCCTTACTCACCGAAAACGGTTGGTTGAACAGTGCACAACTCTTTCGGTGTACTTCAAATGCTCGCATCTAAGATCTGGTCATCTGCCTAGGCAAGTTCTGGCGACCACACCAATGTATTACATACCTGTAAACATGCAATGTGACCGCATGGTAATGGTAGCTTTTGCCTTCCCTGTTCGAGATCTCGATGCATATTTCCGCTAGTTAGGGTCGCGGAAAGTGGCATGGCCGGCCACGCAGATAATCCAGGATTATGGTTCCACCAATCGATAATATGGTGGAGACGAAGACCGCCAAACCCAAATTCCCCCATTTCAGACCCCACCCCTGTCGTTGACGTTTCCTCCCTACTGGTAGGGTGTCAATTAAATTGACCGCAAGGCTGCCACATTCCTTATCAGCAAATCAACCTTCTAGACGTCAATCTCGATGCAGTCAGACAACCCTCAACTCAATCTTCGCGTCAGAGACTCTGCACAGAGAATTGAAGAGACTGTTCTGCTGCCTACGGCCTCCGGTTGAGAACCCTGCCAGATTCGTCGACGAATTTCTTGCCCAAAAGCGGACGCCATATGACCGGTACTTAGCCTTGAAACGACCGGAAGCAGTCACAAGCAGCTTATTCCATCATGTCAAGCTACACAGAGATGCGTAACTTCCATGCTGATCGTCAACGATGCTTGTCCTTCCTAGGACTCCACCCATCTCGTTCTTTCGATGACACCACGAAATCGGTAAATGTGGCTGGCTCTAAATGCCGTTATTGGTGATAGTACATTGTCTGCGGTAGCATAACGTCGTAGGCAGCGGCACTCATCCTTACTCAGGCTAAGTTAGGTTTCTCAGACATACGAAAGGACTTCAACAGTTCGTTTAGCGGCCGCAACGAGTTTTCAACGTCGTCTTCATCCGCGAATCGAACGTCGTCTTCATACTGATTTGGGAGCAACCGTTGCATCACGATACAAAGTGTACCTGTTCGGTTTTGACGTATGCAATGCTCGTCTCACAGCTGGCCGTCTCTTGGATTGCAGCATTGCTTGGGGTATCCTAATTCGGTCCTATGTGCAGTACAATCGATCGCTTCCGGAAGAATGGCTCCTGTTGCCCTTGTGATTGCGCACCTAGCCCAGTGGATCTGAACATGTTGCTCCTCATTGGCCGCTTATACTGGAGCGTCGACGCTGCGCTTCGGCATCTGCTGCACCTTTCCTCCGACGCTCTTGAAGTGTTCTATAGTTTGCTAGCATCTACTTGCTCCTGGAAGATGTGAGTCCGACGAGCGTCGAAGGTCTTCTCAGAGTCTTCCCTACAATAATGGTCCTTGATATATGCCGTACACCGCTATGCCTCAGCCCGCTGAGTCGACTGCTCTAACCTCAATATGTCCATAGTGTTCATCGACCTACCAAAGTGGCATGATTGGAAAGGACGACTGCAGTCCAGGAATGGGTAAAAAATGCATATGCATATGTGCCTTTCGATCGAATTGAATATCTTTGCCTTCCGCCACGAGAGTCTGTGGCGGCTTGTTGCCTATCATCCGCGTGCGAAGCGAGCAGGATTGGAAATACCTGCGATCACATGTGCCCACGGCAACGTAGCCAAGAGATATAGAGTAATGTTTGGGATGCTATCAATGGCACACCGTCAGGTCGATATCTGTTCGGCGCAGTAGGGAGAGGGACTCTATCTGACATCATGTCTGGTCAAAGCTCAGGAGGCATTGTGAGATAAAGCATTAGTTGGAGAATGGCGAGACTATATTTCGAATCAACTATCCATTTCAAATAGTACGTGTCCTCATGCGCAGCAAAGTCCCATTTTCCAGCAGCGCGACCAGGCAAGGCCTGTCTCCTGCCTGTTTCTGCATGGAAGCGTGTCGCTCAGACATTGAACGAATACATCTCTAACAACTTCCTCAATACGGGGTTACTTGTCTACGATAAGGTGAGCATCACTCGGTCTCACGCCCTATTAAGAAAGGTATCACAACATTTCCTCCATCATAGGATTAGAGCCTTGATAAAACATATAATCCAATCTGAGGATAGCGGTGCATCTTTGAGACTTCGTTGTGCGAACGACGCTAAGCTCCCGTCAATAATTGCCTTAATCAGCAACCTCGTATTCACTTTTAAACCGAGGCAGAAAGCATGGAGGATGCAACAACACACTGGCGCCCACCTCAACGCATGTTACTATGACAGGGTTCTGGAGCTGCCGACAACGCAGAAAAGGGACACATCAACCACTCCGCCACAAGGACAGCGCCAGTGGGTTTCGAATCACACTTAATTGACGTACCCCTCACTGACTACCGCCGGTTACACCGTTGTTCCAAGGTTATTCTGCAAGCATCATAGAAAAGGCTACGAGTTAAGGCCGGTTGGTCAGTCAGTTAGCTTTACCCAATCATCCTCCGCTACAGTCTTCAGGGTGCGATCGGAGAAGGACCACCGATAAAGTCTATGTCATAAGCAGACCAATGAGACATTATCACTTGATCGCCTTTTACTAGGTTACCCTTGCTATAACAAATAATAGAAAGCAATGCTACCCGGCATCCGCATGAAGAGAAATGGGAAAAAAGTAGCCTTGGTTGTAGGAGGCTCAAGAGGCATCGGTCGTCAAATTGCCATTGATCTTGCCAAGAGTGATTACTATGTTGTGGTCGTTGCAAAAACCACTTCAGATGCTTACAAAACCGATCCATTCCCCCCTGATCCGAACTCATCCCAATCTACGATCAACACAGTCGTCCGAGAGATCAAGGAAGCTGGAGATGATGCGCTCGCGTTGCCCGTTGACGTTCGGGACCCCGCCAGTGTAGCTAATATCGTTGATGAGACTGTGAGGCAACTTGGATCATTGGATGTGCTGGTGTATAATTCAGGTGCCATCTGGTGGGCGTCTGTGGAGGATACGCCAATGAAGAGATTCCAGCTGATGCAGCGCGTCAACCTTGAAGGTTTCTATGACAGGCGAGTATCCTGGAAAAGGCTGTATCATTGATGTTGCGCAGGTCTGTACGGCTCCATACAAGCTGCATTCCCGCATTGGAAAAGGCAAGGCTGGAATGCACGAATTGTCGTCGTTTCGCCTCCGATATACTCACGATTCTTTCGTGGCAAGACCGCTTATGCCGTGGGTAAGAGGTACAGTACTCTGGGCGTCAACATGTCTGATAGCAAACCGTAGGCAAGGTCGGAATGAGCGTATTGACGAAAGGCCTGGCCATGGATTTTGTCAGGCAGGGACGAACGGATATGGCTATCACTAGCATATGGCCAGCTTCGGTGAGTGGTCAACTGTCAATGGAGAAATATTGTTGACATCAAGGTAGGCAATCGAATCAGCGGCCACTAGGAAGCACCGTGATCCTTCCGTACAACAAGATCTGAGAAGACCGGTGAGCAAAGCCGGAAGGATCCTGCTCCTTTTCCTGACCAATGCAGACCATCTTCTCCGATGCTATCCTAGCGATGCTGAAAGCTCCACCGGGAGAGGTCAACGGGCTCATCGACACTGACGAAGACTTTCTCCGCAAACGGGACGTCACAGATTTCTCGAAGTACTCCGTAGTACCGGGTTCGACACCAAGGCGAATTATGCCTGCCGAGTTTCCAAAGCTGGAAGTGGCCGAACAGGATGATGAAGGCCAGAGAATGGATAGTACTAAGCTCACCAAGTCTAAGCTTTGATTTGCAATGGAGAAAAGTATATATCACTGGTCAATGATCATATACATCTATTGGGCCTGGATTTAGGAATGATGTGTGATTTTGATCCTTCGTCTTGATCTAATGCAACCTATCTCAGGCCCAAGTCATAGCTACGAGCGGCAGTGAGATATTCCGTGCATGCTCGCTATTACTCGTAGTATCACCACAAGTTCCATTTCTCTCGCTGCTGTAGTCAAGCATGTACCTTGCAGGAGCTCTTGCCAAACGTCTCGGGAAGCCTGATAGACTTCCCAGAAGGCCGTGGTCAGACTCAGTCGACAGCTAAGGCGATGCTTCATTTCGCATATCTGATTGGGCAGCTTGGTGTGCTCCCAGGGTACGGTTTACGGAGGTCTCTGCCTCTCCCAACTTTTACCATGCCTAGACCACTTTCGAAATGGCGGTTCAGTTTCGATGAGTATTGAAGGACATAGGTTACGGATCCTGGACGTGAATGTAAACACTTGATGTAAGAATAACCTTGTCGTGGTTTTCCCAAGCAGGCTATGTTCTGATATGCGAACTATGAGCGTACGGCCTTACTCTGGGATGATGGAGTTTCTGACCGAACATCTGATGAAATCACATATTGCTGTATCCATCTTTAAGCCGCTCAGGGACGATGTTTTACTGCTTAGATAGCACGTATTCGAGTAGGGCCAACGACGAGGCTGTCTTCAACCACAAAGACGTAGGTTTTGCCGCAATAGCTCGGCTGTGGTTGCCCAGTCTTCGGGAAGACTCTTGTTGGACCTCCGACCAAAAGGACCGTAAACTAACTTATGTCTGACAATTCTCCATCAACATCGCCTTGCACATTCATTCTCTTCTTTACTCTCCTGTTTTCGCGATTGCGATAATTGCCTATGCTGGATGCCTGAAGTAGGCTGTCATGGTTAACTCTTAGTGTCAATAGACCGAGAAGGAGGCCAGACAGCCTTGTCATGTCTGCCCTGTTGAAAAGAGAGCAGGGGGGCGATGCCTAGTCCCACGAGGTTGCAAGACTTCATCTTCATGATCAACTCCCTTGAGATTCGAACTTCAGTCTTTTCCTACGTCTTCTCTCTTCACTGTTTTCTCTTTGTTCGCGCTTCTGCTAACCAAGTTGTTTCTCGGTGCACTGACAAGTAATCCACTTCAATCTCCTCGGCCCGTCTGCCATACTTTAAGCCAGGTGACGACATCCTAGGACTTGCTGAGTCCAATATCTCAGGTCACTTTCGGACAACACGGCTTGCTAATTGAAGGATATGGAACCGGTGTCTGCAACTCTGGGTATTGCCGCCTCAACTGTGACACTGGCGGCATTGGCTGTGGGTGTCGGTAGAACTCTCACGACGGTGGTAAACACACACAGGCAACATGCTGCTCTGATTTATTCCTTGATTGGAGCATGTAAAGCTGTTGAGGTGGCTTGGAAGCGAATTCATGCCTGGAGTGAGGCACAGAGCTGTCCCACCGATGGACTCGATTCTTCGTTTTACGAACAGCTTATGGCTTCCATTGACGTCGGCCGGGTCATTCTCGGCAGTTTGCAGCAGGATCTCGAACCATTTACTCATGTTATACCTGGACAAAAATCTGCCTCTGGAACGTTGAGAGCGTTGCTGAACGAAAGTACACTCAGAGACCACTGCGTGAGGCTTAATCTTCAAGTCTCTTCGTTACATCTGCTGCTTGCTACCTCAACCTTGTCAGTCTTCCTTGCGACAAACCAGATTTTTTGGGGGTATACTAATACGAATTAGACCTCAACCCGAGACTCGGGACTTGGTATGTGAATGTCTGAGGCCCGTTTTTAGAAAGGACGAGGAAAGCGCGTGGACAATTGTATTCAGTGGGCCTGCATCCTCACCAAGCTCACTCATCAACGCGTCAAGGACTGAAGATGATACCAGCAGTGTCTGGTCGGAAAGGTCATTTGCTTTTATCAACGATCTACTGACTGCCCCTGTATACAAGCGTCTGGCGCTCTCTGCGCTACAACGGCCAAGACCAGCGCAGGAATTAGACGGAGTTCTACCCTTGACTCAGGCTGGAGCAATAGCTAGCTATCACATGCTTCCAAAGAAGCCCTGGGTTTGTGATTCGATCCACGAGACGTCTATAAATACCAGGAAGAGGCGGTCTACAGCAGCGACAACCATAAAGCATATGAAAACAATTGACCGGGGCGCAATGCTGGTGGCAACCGACGCTGCGTCGGAGGTCTTTAGCTCTGGTGTCGTGACGGATCTAAGAGATACCCTATTGTCCTCGCGATGGCTACCCCTCAGAGCCAGCCTACAGGGTGGACTTATAAGTATGGAAGAGCAACTCAGAATCAATGCTAAACTGCTTGATGCTGCAGCTAACAACAACCTGGTTGCAGTGGCGGAGGCTCTTGACGCTGGAGCAGACATCAACGCTGTGAGGCCTGGACAAGGTTGGACGGCCCTACATTTTGCCATAAGTCACTGTTGTCCAGCTGTGCGGTTCCTACTCCAGTATCAAAATGTCAATGCTCACGTCCGTGAAAACAACGGAAAAACCTTACTACACAAAGCAGTTCAATATCAATGTGAAACTTGCATACAGAGCTTGCTGGACTTCGGAGTTTCCATGACTGACGAGGACGAGAGTGGCTTTTCGGCCTTCAGGTATGCTGTTGAACGCTGTGTTAGTATTGAGCCTCTACTGGCATTGCTGAGGCATGCAACAAGATATGAAGTAAAGACGGACGCTGTCACAGCTCTGGGTAAGGATGCATTGTACAAATTATGTTGCCTCCAACCCTTACGCAGAGCACATGCGGCCATTCTTGTGCGCTGTGGGTGGTCATTAGCGATGTTTGCGAATAATGATTCATCGTTGCGCTTAGCCTTTGATATCTTGGAAGAAGAGCAATGGCTGCTGATGTTGATGCTGGAGCAGACCCAGACGACTTTGGAAATCCGTGCTAAAGTGCCATTGTGGAATGAAGTGCTCATGGCAGTCACTAAGGGACCAAAGAGGAACACCGCTGCTTTGCTGAAATTGCTTCGTGCTGGTATTAAATATCAGCACCTCAAGTTTGAAATTTATGGCCTCGCAGTTAGCCAGGACGATCTTTCTCTCTTAGATTTACTGGATCGAAAAGCCCATGGGAGGATCCTGCGTAAGCAGCGCGAAGTTGCTACAAACAGCGAGGAAGCCCTAGATGTTGTTTTCCCAAACGCCAACAAGCGACCCATTTCAGCTAGCAAGGACGATTCGGAAGCCGTGATGTTGCATGTGGCCGACGAGACAGAAAGTAAAGCCGTCTTGCATCGACTACAACGAACCAAGATTATTGATTTTCTAAGGCATCACAAGCCAGGAACGAATACCAATCAGAGACAAGAGGTGCATCCAAAGGATGCATGTGTAGCGGGAGCATACCACATGAGACACGGAATTCAAGATTCAGACCATAGATCGAAGATTTGGGGAAAGCAGGAGATATGCTTCGGGCTTCACTTTAAAGGCGAATGGTCCATTGCTGCCGACAGGGTATCCATCAATTCAAATCAGTCAATTTGAGGCCTCGGATTGAATTGATTACATAATCAGCGCCCTCGAATTGAATTGAATTGACTGATTTGACAATTTAATCAATTTGTATGGATATACGCTATTTCGACTTCGACAGCGGCGAGGAGGCAGAGGAGGAGAAGGACAAGGGGTGTCACGTGTCACGTTGGAAGCAGGCGACGAGTGCGCGAGATCTTCAGCCCATGTTGAGTGCTATCCTAAGACTGCAGAGCCGACGGTAAGGGCCCTGGGGTCGCTTCTATATAGCAAGCATGCCCCTTACTAACGTCTAGTGCTAATCAATACCCGGCGCCCTAGCGCTAGCGGGCGACAAGCATGGCAGCCGTGACAAGGGGCCTAGTAGGAGGATATATCTGTATTTTAACTATTAGCACCTAAATAGAGCTTATTGATATTACTTATCATCGTCTGTATCTCAACCTTGTTATTATACTAATTCATGTTAGAATTAGCTATATATATATGGCTAAATCCTTAACGTTATATGATTGTATTCTACGTAGTTGTATTAGCCTCTCTTTCTTCTAAAGATAGATTCTACAAATAGATAAAATTCTACTTATCCACTTCATCACTAATTACTAGCCAATTTAGCTCAGAATTAGTCCAATTTTCTTCTACACATACAAATTGACTGAATTGACAATTCTATAGATGCCAAATTGAATTGATTGAGTGTTACGGCCACGGCACTGGCATAGCACCAGCATGGCCATGGCACGTCAATGGCACGTCAGCAACACGCCCTGGCAACAGAGCGCTATTCTAGCGCTACCTCGGCGCCAAAGAGGCACCTGCCAAGTAGGGCAGTTAGTAGCATAGTATTAGCAGTAGCTTAGCAGCTAGATAGAAGAGGGCATCCTACACTCCACTGACGTACCATTGAGGCACAGAATTAAATTGATTGAATTGACTAGATTGAATTGACTAGATTGAATTGACTAGATTGAATTGACTAGATTGAATTGACTAGATTGAATTGAGTGGACACCCTGGCTGCCGAGGGAGACCTCAGCCCTGTGTGCTGCGAGCTTGACGCGGTAGAGACCCAGATCGGACATGAAGAATGCGTCCCTCAGCATGATATTGATTTGTCGCCTACAAAGGGTAAGAAGTCCAAGCGAAAGCAAGACCAGATCCTTTCGCAGCTGGCTCTCGCAGCATTCCAACACCTCCAAGTTGCAGATCAAATATTTCAAATCGATGCTTGGGATACTCCATGGTTTCACTCCCCCATACGAGCTACCCTCTGATCCAACCTTCGTCTTCTCATACGAAACCTGAGACATGCAGCAGTCTCAAGGATGACGCACATTTAAGGAGAGCCTTCCAGAACATCGTCAACATATATCCCAAGCATCATGCCCGGTTTGACAACGCGAACGCTCCGGTCCAAGACCACTCTCCACACGCTTCCCGCTGCTTTGCCTCATAGCTACTGGTCGGCTTGGCGCAGATGAAAGCGGGAGAGTTAGGGTCAATGACTACCTGGCCGCGTGAATATATTGTCCGTGTCCAAGCGAGCCACTGCGTTGATTCTTTCCCAAACTATCTAGCAACGCCCTCTCCAACGTCCTGGTGCTCAACTCTCGTTGCATATTAGCCTACACTCTTCTGCCATGGTATCGCTTGTCCAACTATCTCTCAAACCTCAACCATTCTGCCGACTATAACCAGTTTGCGCCCTTGCATTGGAAAACAGCTATTCACACCACGAACCGTTACCATACTGCGTACATTGAACCACAGTTTCTGCACAAACCAAAAACTAGGCTGCCGTCGCCTCAGCACCAGTACCATTAATGCTTCGACGTCGAAGCATTTGGCGGAGAACGATCTCATCCGGGAGATTGAGTGGCTGTGAATCCACCAATCACTTTTCTCAGCTTCGGGACTACTTCACTCGACACGCCTTCATACTGCTGAGGCTTCAACATCAAGCCTCCTCGAACGCGGCGCGGCCTGCGCTATGAAGAGATGATATCGTTAGCATCTGTCAAACGAAGAAAATCGGTTTGGACCTACAATTGATGTTATTCAGCTCTTCTACCAAAGACCGTGTATGTATATGTATACAGATCAGACTCCACGGACAGACAGCAAGATTTCTTCCCCAAATGCGCTCCGAAACGCAATCCACTCAAACTGCCGGCCGAACCGAAAGAAGATGCAGCCAAAAAACCCCCAGCTCACAGGACATACTTTTGCCTGCTTGACAATCATCATCGTCAGCAAAAGGACACCAGAGCACTTCATCTCATCGGAAAAGCTGTTAAGTACACCCTCTTCGTCATGGCTGCAGCCCATACAGATCAGGTGAGATGAGGTGAGGTGAGGTGAGGTGTTGGCGAGCTGGGCTAATCGAGAACTCAAGGATGACTCGATGAGCGAGCGGCTGGTGAGAGGATGAGCACGAATGAGTACAGTGTAGGAGATGGTTGGGGTGAGGGGCTGGTATCGGAATGAATGATTTCACGGGATATGTCTACGTGTCGTATGATTATTGTATATTGAGACTATACCGATGGATGGAAGGGAGAGGGCAACTCGCTATGCTCTTCGCGAAAGGCGAAGTTGTTGGTCCATCGAATCTCGGAAGTGATACCTGATCGTTGACGTTTGGATTCGTGAGTAGGGGAAGCTGGAAGGTAAGGGGAGGGAAGAGATGCACCGATTGCGCGAAGAGCCGAGTTGAGCAGCGCATCGGCTCAGCAGGGACGGAAATCGGTGCGCAGCACCCACGTACAAGGTCAAAAGTATCACTGGTGGGTAGAATGAGAATGGGGGACGGGAATAGGAATGGGGAACGCGGAGTCACTGCCTCAGCACCCGAGTAGTTAAAGCAAAATATCGAATATCGAAGGCGAAATCGAGCGTTGAAATCAGGTCTCAAAAAGGTTCTACGAATCGATAAAACTCAAAAACAGAAAACATTCCCCCGCAGAACGCGAAACGCAGGAACGAATGGTTCTACGACTTGGCTGATTCGCATGATGGTGGTCATGGATTACGGCTGTTGGACATGCTGTCTGTTGTCTATCTGGAAGCCTTTTTCCGATCGAACCAACCCCTCTTACCCGCTCAGGCTCCTGCAACTGCAGAGAACTTCGGCGTGACCAGGTGTGGGCTTTTTCCCCATCGGGAGACTTGCCTTTCAAGAAAGGAATGACTTGCAGTAGGTTGGGTTAACCGACGGGTGAGGGGAGTCCCCAGCATCGCTTCAGCACGCGAACGCTCTGACTAGGGCTTCGATGTGCATGGGAAAGGGGGTGGAGGGCAGGAATGGTAGAAGCTAGCACGAGGTCTCTTTGCCATGACCATCGCTTCAGGAGGTCGTTGGTGGGGGCGCGATCTTCTAGAAGAAAAACTGTCGATCCCTTTCGGTCATGCTCGGGGCGATGCGTACTGGGAAAGTTTGGGAGTGTTGCCCGGATATTCGATGGAGTCGCGCTGTTGGAACGGGATCAGTCGATGGCCACGGCGGAGGTTGCGCTTGAACGTCTCGTCTCGTCGGATTGTCCGTCTTTGACGTCCGAACTCTTCTCTTTTCTTCTTCTCACCAGGGGAGGCAGATGAGAAAGTAGGAGCGTTTGGCGTTTAGAACTGAGGAGGTGTCGGTGGCGTCGTTCTTAGCGGAGCATGAAGGGACAAACCAGCTTACCAGCTGTGGTAAGTAGGCATCCTCTCTGCATCCAACTCCGTGGCCCCCCCGCCCCTTTCTGCACCCGCCTTCGCCGTATTCGTCGTAGCACAACTCTTCTTGTCCTTAGCTGCAGCGTTGGCCGTGAATGCACCGAGAAGATCAGGCCCTCCAGGGCATTTCCGTGACGTTTCCATACGTATCGCAGGTTGTCGTCTCCTCGACGTTGCCTTCCTGATCAAGGCTCTGCGTAACCAATGGCGGCACATCGAGACCTCGTTTAATCTGATCTCGTTCGAAGACGGTGTTGAGATCCATGAGGACGGGGATAACGGTCAAGCGACCAAGTCGTGTGTCGCCTGCGTGACGGTGCCGGACGTTGAAGCTCGCTAGACCCGTAGCTCTGAACTTGTCTCTTTCCCACTCAGTGGTGAGTGCAGAATCAATGAAGATCTTGATCGTATCAAGCACATCCGTTGATGCTGTGGCCTCATTCTTGAATGGTCCATTCTTGTAATTTGTGTCATGAACGTCATGATGGAACGCGGACGGCAGATGAGACTCCAGCTCGGAGAAATCGAACCCGATTATGGCGGATGTGATGATATCAAGGCTGTTCTGCTAGGCATAAGGTAACCATTAAGAGACGTGATCGTGAGGTCTTGAGTTCTTGGACGAAGTACTGGATGGTATTAGCTTGCTGTTTCAGTCCAAGATGGAGGAAAAGATTAAGAACCTAAGAATGGTATTAAACTGAACATGATTGAAGTATGTCAGAGGATTCCAGATTGGTGAAAGTGCAAAGGTTGGCATCACCCAGATATGATAAAGAAAGTGTTTCAGACTCGGAAGCTGCCGAGATGGGAGTATAGATAGCAAAGTCCAATGCTTAGGCTGGCAGTATAATGGCCTCACTCAGACCTCCGACGAGCCTCCTCAACACACTTCTTCCAGCTAACGCGCTTGATGAAAATGCTGTCGATAATGCTCACCGCAGCAAGGCCAGCAGCCGGTCCAATCCATAAACCCCAGAGTCCAAGATGTGGCGGGCGAAATGTGAGGCAGAGTGAAACAGGAATGGAGAACTTGGGTTTGATTAGTGGAGCTCATGGAAGGATAGGATTAGAGACAAGAACGGAGCTTACCCCATAGTATACGACTAGATTTGTCCATGCACCAAAGTATTGAAGCCCCAGGCCACGCAGTAGCCCATTACACAATGAGGTCGTACTGTCAACCAGCTGGAAAGCGGCACAAATCGGCATCACCAATGAGACGACGTTCCGAACGTCCAAATCATGCGAAAAGATTCGCGGGATAACATCTTTCATAGCCACGAGGAAGGAGAGGTTAAAGAGACCAATACCAGAAAATATGAAAAAATAAGCTGTTACCGCGATCCGTGCCGCATCAAGAGCGCCAGAACCAATCAGGTTTCCAAGTCTGGTACTCGCTGCTATGCTGGCTGGCATCGGAAGGTGGTACATGAGAACACTGACATTGTAGAGCACGGACTGGGCTGCCAAATACGTTTTTCCCAGATAAGCTGAAGAGAAAGTCAGGATTTCCCAGGCTAGCCATTCGGCTTCCACCGTGAGTATACCTGGCACCGCAAGCCTTACCATAGGTCCCCAATTCTTAAAAGCATTCCATGAAAAGCCAGGCCAGCATTGTAGCGAGTGGGGAATTGCAAAGCGTACATAGAGGAGGAGTAAGATCGGCTGCACCAAGTTTGTCGTCGATATGGCTGCAGCCGCACCTTGGAGAGCCCAACCGAGCTTCTGTACACACTTAGGCATTCGCCGCAAAGTAACACCAGAAAATCAGGCATCACTCACCCAAACAAATATCCAATTCAGCAGAATGTTCAATGGCGCAGTGACTAGAAGAACAAGAAGCGACGGAGTGAATATGCCCTGCGCCTGAACAAATCTTTTACCGGCTTCAAAAGTAGCGAAGCCCGGCGCCCCGATCAGGTAGATTCGCAAGTAAGAAGCAGCGAGAATTGCGACATCTTTCTCGGGAACAATGGCACCCAGTATCCAAGGCGAACAAAGCCAGACAGCGCCGATTGGAATAGTGACAAGCCAGAGGAAGTAAATCATCCGTTGCATATGCAGCCCAACCATCTTCTTGTTATGGCCTCCATAGGCTTGTGAGCACAGTGTGTCTAAGCTTGTGGCTAAGCCCTCGTAGACGGCGAGACCTGTCACGTTTGAGGTCATGTTGGCTAACGCGACGGCTGCAAGCTCCGAAGACCCTAAGTGTCCAGCTACAATGGCCGTCGTTACATTGAATGAATGTTGTAGGACAGAAGTTAGCATGAGTGGTGCACCGCTCCATACCAGGAGCTTTGCTTCAGCAGTCCTGGTGGTTGCGAGTCCTGCACATAATCGCTTGGAGCCACTCTCTGCGTCTTTTATTGTGTGGTCCGAAAGCCCTGAAGCAGCCGCCTGCGAATATCCGGTCTCGGGCAGAAGCGGGGTGCTCTCAGAGACATGTGAAGCCATTCGGGCCAGGAGAAACTGTTTATAGTAGGATGGACAAAAAATCCAGGTAAATCGAGATCACAACCTGTGTGTTGAATGGCATGGGTATGGGTATGGGTATGGGTATGTGTATGATTGTGAGTTGAGTAGTAGATGAAGAAGCTAAGTGCTACGTACAAGTTGGGATGAGATAAATACCGAGTAGTGCCAAGCCGCCAGCCAACTGCTCCTGCTCTGCCCCTCCTATGCTCCTGCAACACTGTGGCACGGAGACAGTTGATATCAGAACGAAGTATATAGTCGCAAGAGAGCATAAGGACAAAAAACAAAAAGAAAAGATAAAGATAAACAGTGGTGAAACTTCTGGACAAAATAGATTGTGTCACCTATCTCGAGCTCACTTTGGAGCCAATTGCGCCATTTGGTGGCTTGTTGTTACACTGGCCGTTTATCCTGCCGGCCCGATCTTCGGACAGGCGGGTGTGGGTAAAGATACGGAAATGTGTGCCATCCTTATCGTGCCGACTTGGAACTAGTTGTGCAACTAGAGAGCGTCATCTTTGCATTAGCGGACAGTCCAAGCAGATCAGATCTCGGACGACACCTGTCAATCCACAATATCTGGCACCCTCGTCGACAGATCTGAGGACCCTAGCAGCTCAAGATTCGTGGAATATACAATAGACGATGAAGAACATGGACGAAAATCTAACATAATTTTGGGTGGCCACTTGCCAAGATTTTAGCCGCCCGTGGTGCTTGGCATAGCAGAATGAGTAATAGAATAAGGTCTGACAAAAGGGTGGAAAGGAACTGCAACTTCGAAGGGGGAGAAGATTGCACAGGAAGGTATGGATACAGTCAAGAGCACGCAGTGATATGTGTGCATTGGCCAGAGCGTGATGGTGGAGAGGACACATCCACTTCTGGAGTGTAAGACTCCATCTACTTATTTGCTCTGGACGGTGATATGGACAGGGTCTCTCGGGGCAAATATGTACAGGCTTGTTCGCCAGTGGGGATCAAGTATGAGCTTTGTGCTGGTGTTTCAGCAAATGTCTGGCGTGTTGGCTTCTCTTCTCTTGGGCGGCTGCTGGGTGTCCAGGGCTGGAGCTGCCAGATTGACCCCAATGCAACGCGCTGACGGTCCTGTACTGAGGTCGCTGCACTGAAGTGGCCTGTGGAGTAGGTGCCGAAGTCGGTGTCGGGAATAGGCTGACTGGTGGAGTATTGCTTTCGGCTGGTATGCTGGAGGTAATGCTCGTGTCGGTCGGACTTGGTGCAGCACTGCTTGCAACCTGAGAAGACACCACGACACTGCTATTAGAAGACTCGATGAACACCAGTTGATTAACTTCTTGGCCATTCGACTGATACACCTTGAGAGAATTGACCTGCCAGAAGGCGTCTTCGAACTCGCCTGGATTATTCTGCACGAATGCTTGACAGTTCGCAGCTCTCGAGGAGCAAACAGGGTCCTGACCCCATACATTGCCAGCCCAGTCACCACAAAAGGTCACGTCGAAGATGATGTTGTGGTTCTTGAAGTGTTGATCGATATCGCATCCACCCTGGAATTTGGCGATTGGCTTGTCCCATACCTGTGGATTTGGGTTACCACTTGAAAGGTCATTCGGAATAGAATCTCTTCGAAAGAACCAAACACTGATAGCATCGCTGGTCCACTCCGTGGCGTATACACCACCGCCGCCTGCATTGAAACCTTTTCCGTACGTAGCTGTGTCGTGGGAAGCGATCTGGCATCCTTGATTTGCATATTGACCCGGAGCCTGAATATCACAGTTTGGTGTCGTCAATTGTCCGCTGAAAGTACCGGTGTTGCTGATGCTGCACCCTGCGCTGGTGTGCAGGGTCATATCATTCGCTGCTTGGGAGTTTACGCCCTCAATGATATCAATCTCGCCGCTGTTGGGCCAATCTGGCCCGAGTGTCCAGCTGTAAATTTGTCATTGCCTTGAACCTCTCTCATTTATGCCATCAAAGACTTACAAGGCAGGCCAAGATCCACATTGACCTCCGGGCATATGCTCCAGATCCAGCACGATAAGTCCGTGCGTGTAGGCATTCTTGCTAGTCAGTCGGACACTGTTTCGGCCTCGACCGCTTGCCACATTGGTGCTATCAACACCGATATATGTGGTCCCATCTCGTTCTCCGATCAGACCCTCCCTTTGGGCCGTGCCTTGATCGACGTAGTTGACGTATCCATGTGTTGGGTCGTCACCCTATGCTTGTCAGACGGCAAGGAAATAGAGGTGGGGACTCCCATACAGTGAAGAAGTTGAACATGCTGAAGAAGGAACTGGAGCTGTAGTCATCCTGGAGCACGTAGCCCGCCGTGCTATAGGAGAAAAAACTAGCGATGGCAAGGAGCGTAGATACAAGCATTTCCAAATGAGTGGCTGAAGTGAATGGCTGCAATGAGCGACTATTGCAAAGGCAAATGAATGGGGCCCCAAAATCTAGAACAAGAAGTACTCAGAGATAAGAAGGAGAAAGGAGCAGCAGGGAATCATAGTCCTTCTATACTCGAGGGTAAATTTGTAGGTGTCCAAGGGGTTCCACCAGGAGACACCTTGATAGGGGAGAAAATGAACCTTCTGTAAGATTGCCATCTCTTAGGCCAGCAGAAGGGCGAGGATGCCGTAGCTTGACAAGGAGTGGACAGTGAAAATCACACGTAGAGGAAGAGGAGTAGGTCGACAGTACTCCCTCACTCTTTACACCGTTAATGGAACAGTGTCGTTCCATCCTTGTTAGATGTACTTGATGTATCTGATAGGGACGGCCAATGGGAGGAGGCAATCGCCATCCTGCGGCTGCAACCGAGCTGCATCCGCGGGTTGCAATCGATTGTCTTCGGTAGGCACAAGGTGATGATGGCATGGTGCTTGAGAAATATCAGGAACGACGGTCCTTGGGCCCTCCGGCCCAGAGCCAGGCATCGCACAGATTAGTGGCAGATGGGCGTGGAGCCCAGATATGATTGGAGTGATGCGGACCAATCAAGGCCCAGAACTGCATCATCTTGCCTTCACACGGAAGTATGCGCTAACAACCTGACAAGTCAGAAGGCGATGCTGATGTACACAGCAGGACGTTTAACGTCATCATGATTCTAGAAGTTCTTTCTTCTTGGAGACCAGGGTGAGCAAAGTGACGAAGTGTGCCGCGTGAGCAACAGAGAGGATGCTGTTGCGGAGATTACTCCTCCTCCTGCCTTAGTCGCATGGCTCGGGCCTCGGGAGGTTGGGTCAGAGTTCAAGGTTTGTCCTCCAAAGCTGCTGATTCGTTGATAACATGTTCGTCTCCCTGGCACAAACTTCATGCTACACCAGATATGTGCTACAGTACTCATAGATGCCGATGTGGCGGACAGGGGAACATGATTAAGGCTCAAACATGAAGACTAACAGATCTATGTACTACGAGGACATACCAGACATACTCGCTCCAGATGCTCATACCCCTGCGATGGCGAGCTACCAGATGCCTGACCCAACTGATGGTCGAGGCAGGTCTGGTGAAATAGATGTCTACAAGCGAAGATTAGGGCCGCACCAAGATCTGCGTCGACCAACCTTTCTCCACCGTCTACAGCCTCCGATTGTGAGGCCGCAGTGACCGACAGTTCCTCTGTCGCCTTGCCTTTACCCCTTGAAGCACTGGCCCCATCCTCCTGGCCCGCAAGGTGCTCTTTACCTTGGCTTTGCTGGATCTTCCGGTCCTCTTTTTGCAACCAAGCTTCCCAAATCTGAGCTCCGGCTCCAGGACCCCACACTCGCCGTCTGCAAATCTCACAAACTTGGCCTCTTGGCCTCCAACCTCGGCGGCGTAGCTTTGCAATCTCATCAACGTGCACGAACAGATCTTTATCAAGCATAGAGTTTGACAGAGCAAGCAGTGACTCTTCATAGGCGTATGCTGAAAAGATCGAGCTGATCACAGCTCGTAATTCGGCAAGAGAAGGCGACGAAGCTGCGGCTCGGGTCAGGAAGGCACGGAGTATCTGCAAGAAAGCTAGATCATGGCGATCACCAGACCCTTTGCGTGATGACGTTGTCGCCTTGAGTAGAGCTGTGAAGACATTTTGCACGACTAGCCGCAAGGTAGACGCAATCTCACTGCCTGGATCCACAAACCCATCAGTTTCTGCTCGATTGGCTGTTTCTGGTCGAGTAAGGTCCTTTGCAATGTCCACAACCGAATTGATCAGCTGCAGCCAGAGTGTTTCTTCGAAGGACAGTGTCCGAGATACGGTGTTCGACTTTTTCGATGCCGGAAGCACAGGACGTGATCGCTGGGTAGCTGCTGTTTGACGTTGGCAAAGCCAAATTCCGACCCCAGAATACTTTTCGACAGATTGCAGCAGATCATGTATTGCCTCTTTAGTGCTTGCCACGTCGGGAGATCCTTCCAGGTTACGCATGATACCAGTCAGCGTTGCTTCTAGACTGCTGAGATATTTGATCAGTCGCTTCATAGCATCTTGGACTTGACCCTGGCGAGCCATTAGCATCACAGCCGCGTCGATGGCACCGCTGGCCTCCATTGATGGTAAAACGTCCCGAAGCTGAAGGTCCACATCTGTCAACGATTTTACGTAATCAGCAACGTGGAGTGGATTTTGCTGGCACATGAGTTGAATATAGAGCCCGGTCAGCGAAGCAGAAGATCCAGCACTAGGCGGACGTCTTCCTTGAGGCTCCAAAAGACTGTTCAGGTAATAATACTGCAAATTCGGTGCAGCTGCGAGAGACGAGAGAAACAATTCATGTGATTCCGCAAAACAGTCCGCAACGAGGAGTACCGTTCGAGTAACATCAATCTTTGCCAGGTCAAGAGCATGACTTTTGACCACGGCTTGGACTGCTCGCCTTTCTTTTGAGCTTAGGGAGCTACCCTTCCGCAAACACGCACGTATGACCTCGAAGACTCCTGCTTGGTCTTGCTCATCCTGGAAATACACCTGCACAAGTAGTGACCATTGATGTTCCGATCTGTACACTGACTTCAGCACACGAAAAAATCGAGCTTCTATGAAAAGAGGCACTAGTGATTGTATATCTGGTGGATGGTAGACTGAGAGCAGATATTCCACACTCAGCTGACAATCATCTGCAGTGTCCTCATTAGGGAAATGACACATCCGCGTCAGTATTTGGTCTAATGTTGATCCAGAAAGCACAAGGTCCTGAGGGTACTTAGGTAAACTGCGAGCGATGAACATGTCCACGTAGATGGAGTCCTCGGGCTCAAGATCTGCGGAGGACATCACCTCGAGTAGCACACTGATAACGAATTGGCGTGTGAAACTCTTCGGCTGTGATGTTGCATCCAAGCGAAGGTCTGAGCTGAAACCATTGCTGATTTCATCAGGCCTGTTCAAATAACTGTCCTCAAAGGCCTCATTCAAAACGCTCATGCTACTAGCAGTATCCAAGGACAGAAGTTTTCGCAAATGAGGGAATGACGGGCCTGTTTTGGTACCAGATGACCCCCTAGAGACATGATCTAACGCACCAGAAAAGAAGAATCCATATATCTGCTCTTTGGCCGTTCGCGCCTCCTCAAAGCTCAATTCTTCTCCTGTCGGATAAACTCGACTTGTCAAAGTGAAAGATAGATAAGGGAATATTTTCGCCGCATTTAGTTGAGCCTGATTTGAAGCTCCTGTATGACCGTTTGGCTGTGACGACGCAAGCGGTAGGTTCAGCAATTCCTCGCACGGACCAAGATAGTCATCAAGTGCCCTCGTCCAGACGTAAAGAAAGGCGTCATACAGGTTGTAACGCTTACAGAGCGTGGTAACCTGATCGATGTCCATCGTCGAAGTATCCAGACGGCAAATTATTTCTTCCAGATATTCCGCAGTGTGTTTTGTCATATAATGATCAATCAGTGGCTTAAGGGCCAGCGGTGGTATTGAAGTGATTTGACCATCTATTATGTAAGGCTCAAGAACTTCCAAGAATATGGTCGTTTTATCGTGGTCATCGTACCAGGCAAATACTTCGTCGAACAGAAAAGAAGTGTCTGTAATACTCAACGTAGCCGTAACGCATGCGATTGCCAGTTTATTGAGTTGTAAGTCATCTAGCTGTTCAGTGCCAGCTTGTTGATTATGACCAAAAGCATATTTCAAGGATGCAGACATCATCTCGACGAGCTTTTCTTTAACGACCCCATGTCTTGAACTGTCATCCTCTGGTAGCCCGATAGTTGTCTTCTCACCAATTCCAGAATAGTAAGACGTTGCCAACTGAATTGCTCCGATGAAGTCACCTGCCTCCAGCATTGCCACTAATCGATCTGCCCAGTTGGAAAGGCTGCCGATGAACAGGTCATTAAATCCAAGCAAGAACAGCCTGCCTTTGTAGGCGCGGAAGCTCATGTAGAAGGCATCTGCAACGACGCCATGCATGGAAGAGTCTGCTTCGTCAAGCTGTTCAACTAAGCTCTGCAGTTGCCGGGAAAATAGGTCGCTATGATATAACTGTTTCTGGACTAAGTCGAATGAGTCCGTAGGATTCATCGACACGTCTTCAAGGATGATAAGCTGCTGGGTGACCGTCAATATTGCCATTACGGACCGGCTCAGCCACTGCACAGCGACAATGGCTTCCTGCGATCTCCACCTACTCCTGGCCTTGAACAGCAGCTCCAGCGGCTTTTCCTTTTCCCCAGGCTCTGATGGCTCGACTTCAATGACCTCCAATACTGTAAGTACATTGGACCAGCAATAAACTAATTTCGTTCTTGATATTGCGGCATCCTGAGCTTTCAGCTTGAGCGCTGGGAACCAGGCAAGCGCAGCAGTCATTGCACTGTGAGCGGCTATCTCTTTCGGGCGAGCAGCCTTGTGCTGAGTCTGCGCAGTTGGTGTCGTGGAAACAATAACGAGAAGATAAGGGGTCATCATAGCTACCAAGCCTAGATCATTCGTGGCTTGCTCTACGTTACCAAAAGGCAACGTCGAGAAGGCTAGAACTGAACTTGGTTTCCTTGAGTTATGGCCTCGTTGTAGGACGTCAGGATAACGACCAAGTACTCGAGTGGTTCTGATGGCGCGTCCAACGCTACCCATACCTCGGGTCGCAAGATGAGAGAATGCCATACCGCGGTTATCAGCGGAAACAAGAGCAGTATGCCTGAAGCCTAGAAAGCCGATGTGTATAACAGGGACACCTGCAAGATGGCCCTCCACTTTCCGGCTCTCAGCAGGGTGCGCATCAAGAGGTGGGATATGTAAAAAAGGTCGAGTAGATTTGGCGAGCTCCCAGGTAAATATGTGGCCTTCAGCGTGACCCACTGCAATGGTAGTGCTGTCTTCGGAGATGGCCAGTGAAGTGACTGGACCGCACTCGATGGCTGTAAGTGTCAGCCATAGTTCCAAAAAGATGTCTCCAATACCTACCCACCTTTCGTTCCTAAGCCAATAATTCCCTTCGCATTCTGTTGATAGTCAAACAATAGGACGATGCCTTTGGAGGTTCCTACAACAATGCTCGTAGAGACAGCCAAGCAGGTTGAGCGGCCGAAATTTCTCCTCCCAACCTCTGAGAAGACCTGGCCTGTTAATTTGCGCAATTTTGTCCATCGGATCACATCCCATGGTGCCGAGGTAGAGTCTGGATCTGGCAAGCTTTGAAAGCCAATGCTTGCCAAAGAAGACTGTCTGGAGTGTGTGCTCAGGAATGCTGGAGAGATCGCACGAGGAGAATTCAGCGGTGATGACGAGAGACGGGACTGGAAACGTCGATCAAATGGTCGTCGAGCGGTGGTGGAGGTAGAACGGGACCCTGATGGACGAAGAGGATAGGCACCACTTGGGGATGAGGACTGAACGGATTCCTGGCGTTGTGAGTAAGAGCTAACAAGGCGGGCCATTGAGGACTCACCTGAAGGGAAGGGGTGTCGTCTGCTATAGAGCTCGTGCCGTCCGCACTCTGGGTGCCTTCCACCAACTGCGCACTGGGATCCTGTGTTCTGTTTTCCTGTAATGATTCCACGCTTTTGATAATTTCTTCCTGCGAGATCACCCGCTTATCGACCCCGGGTACCCCATTTTCAAGGTCCAAATCGTCTCTAACGAAGTCGGAGTCGGAGGAGGCATTGCTTGATGCGCCTTGCGCCTCCACTCCGGCTTTGAGATGATGCTGCTGTAGATCTAAGTCATTGTCCTCTCGGGCCTCCTCTTCGCCCGGCTCAAGCCTTAAGCTCATGAGAGTATTCTTCTCTTCAGCATTGCTTCGGGTGGCACGGCATGTACTCCTTAGACATCTGCTTGATGTCAGTCGTCTGAAATTAATTGCCTTGTCAAAGGCGTCGACACGTTATGCTAACCCAGCTCGCGGGGATCATTCAAGGTTGCTTCTCGAAGTATCTGGTGTTCGTTCCTGGAGTACGAGATTTGCTGAGAGGAAGGGCGTTGTGTAGCCTACTTCAGGAACGTCGGTAATGGAAGCATGACGTTTAATTGAGGTTCTCTTTACCATTTCATGCGGTGTAGCTGGAGCTGAATTTATGTGCGAGGATCTTGCAATTCTTTGGTGATCCTCACTCTTCCTACCACCTGCCCTGCTTGGTAAATTCACCCAAAATGTGGATTGTTCAATAAGGCTCAAATAATGACGCTCATGCGATTAATATATTGTCTAGACTATCTACGGGTCTGGAACATTTCCTGGTCACCATACCTCCCATTCAACATATCTGCCCGACTCTTCTTTCCGGTGCGAGTGAACCTTTTCCGTACCCAGATGAGGAACCAAACGACCATAAATATTACTATGATGGCGGCTAGTATACCAACACAATATATAGCAACCCGTCCTCGCCCTGTTGCCGGATTCAGGAAATCGTAGGTATAGAACCCTTCCGTTTCATAGGTGAGATAGGCCAGAGCGACGTAGAGAGCAAGGATAAGGATTATGAAAACAAGGTGCAACCATGGTGGAGGGTTTGTTGCAGGTAGGCTCAACTCGAAGGTGCAGAATACGGCGTTCAGTGCGTGAAAAGTGATCTAGTTCGGAACCCCATTAGCAAGGGCTTGAACCTGTGGTGGATAGAAATGCTTACATTCGACCAAGCATCGAACTCGACGGGGAACCAAGGCCCGTCGTACAATAAAACCCAGAAGACAATCGTAACAAGAAAAGGGAATGTGACAATGGTGGTGTAGAATAGGCTATGCAAGGCCTGTAGCAGCCGTGGCCAGCGGTCCAATGGTGCGTACCCTCTACGGGCGTACAGATATGTGTGTATGGCGGAGAAGAGGAAGTAGAACGCGATGCCCCAGAACGTCAAGTTTGTAAAGTAGCTGAGGTCGCTGTCATTGGCATCAGCCAGACCATGGGTTCCTTGCCAGCCCAATTTGAAGAAGATCGCTGTCAAGGCATAGAAAGCAACGGTACCACGCAGGACCGCGAGCAGCAGAGGAGGGAGTAGCCATGAAGTCACAAAACGGTGCGATAAATGGAAGTCGTCTTCCGTGACGCCCATCAGATGGTAAAAGTTGGCCATCGCCAGGGTTTGGTTATCAACTGCCGGCTAGGATGCTGCAAGAGCCACAACAGACGAGAACTACCGATCTGATCAATATTGGAGACGGCGGAATTGTCGTTTTTGCAATTGTCAACACGGGTGGCTACCTCGGATTCGTTCTCAAAAACCATAAAGCTGGATATAAATATGGAGCCATGTCACTGGCCAAGAAGGCTCAGCCTCAAATGGGTTAAATTGGGTAAGTTAATTAAATGAGCAGCCGATGGAGCCTGAGGCTGCTAGTTTAATCGAGTAACAGAAGACAGTGGCGTCACTAATTAGTTAACTAGCGGAGGGGGAGACGGTTTATGTCGTATTCCGGAGCCTGAGCAAAGGAAATCTGAATCTTGCGAATCGCTGTCAAATGCCATTATACATATCTCCAGTACCTCGGTTAATTGCACCCATATCCCCAAGAGTGAGGTCTCCGCTACTGCAGGTGTTGCTAGGCATCATGTTTTTGTCGGATCAATTGCCGAGATAAGTTGGTGAATAGATGAGAGAGGACATGTCTGTGGTGTCTTTTGAGTTCGCCCATCAAAGTTGCCCACGCGGTCCAAGTAAGGCATCCTCTGCTTAGCTCGTCAATTAACGTCCATGTCCTGGTTTGCTCTGCTCCAAATTGACTCACAGATGTGTCCCGCATCATCTACATGTTCTAGCTTTTGAAAAGTATCTGAATGTTTCACGGTCGAACCCTTTGATGATGTCTAGAGAAGCAGGCGCGGTTTCTTTCATGGTCAACGATAAGATTCACGCTGCAAGAGTTGCAGCCGCGCTGCACTGCGTACAGAAAGGGCTATAGATTCATGGGAAGCCACCATTGCTAACCTGCCGTGGCACCTCAGAGTTTCGAATCCTTCCTGATGCTGATGTGGTTGACTGGGTTTTCCGAGACACAACTGGCAGGCTTTGGCCCGGATGTGCTCTGCAACATCTGACTCAATGCTGTTAGCGCAATAATTAGGAGAGTGAGAACAGCAATTCCAGGAAGTAGAGATGACAGGTACAAGAAGTGGATGACGGTCTTGGGGTCGGCCAACGCATCCGATACAGTCCAGGCATTATTACAATGCCGCACTGCCCAAAGCTGCTGGTATTGGAAGCAGCTACGACGATCAATTATGTTTCCTACACGGGATGTGTTGACGTGACGGCCCAGCTCTTGCCTCTATCGCCTGCTATGCGCTGGATGCTAAAGAAGCTGCTTCCAACATTCTTGGAGGGCATAGATGCAAGGAATTTTCTGATGTTTCAGCGTCTAGGACATGTTTAATTTCTTGCAAGCACCAAGAACATCGCCAAAGAATGATTTTTGGAGGCCAACCATCAGCCTAGACTGAGGTTGTCAATTGGGGGACCATTGACGGCTGAGCAATTTAGGTGCGCCCTGCTGTCTCAGCTACCAACATGAATAAGGAAGGTGTCGGGGGACTGCATGACGCCCATCGGCTTTTGAGTCAGCGAAATAGACTCTATCGTACCCTTGTGCAGAGAGAGATGGTATTTTCCGTTTAGTTCTGACAGAGCATGACCTCTGCTCCACGCGCACACTGTTCAATGCACATTCACTACAACTCTGGAGCGCTCAGTAATCTGGATCCCTTGCGAAGCTCTTGGCTACTTCTCTCCCATCGACAGTACTATGTGGGCGACTACTAGTAGTGAGACTTGGGTTCAATAAAAGGCGTTGACACCCGGTCCATCGATTGGCTGCTGAATGGCCAACTTCAGCATCCTTGATTTGTCCCTGCAGATCACTAGCAGTTAGAACGCTGTACTATGTAATTAATCGAGAAGGTTGTGCCAGGATTAGCCGCTGATGAGAATTGTCTGTGAAGCCAGGATGGCTACTTTTCCCATTCTCCTTGTATTTTGGTGTGATCACTCTGTTGCTAACGCTGCTGGCAGGTGTCCGACAACTGGTTCCGTGGTTCGAAAAGAATTTCAATGGTAGAAGCTGGGAGCTGGTGCTTGGCCGTGTATTATTATAGTATATTATAATTAGGTGATCGGCGGCAAGGGACATGGGCTTTCCCTTGGACTGACTAGCTTCATGGGGCACCGTTTGCTGGTGGAGCGCACTGGTGTACTTCACAGCCCCTGAACCGGCCCGGCAAGACATGCTTCCCTTGGACCGTCACTCCCCATTGCTCACGATCCATGGAAATGATCTGCCACAACAATGTAACCTTTGACTTGCGACCACTCTTGCTACTGCATCCTTCAAGTGCCACCTGTCGAGCTCTATCGTTATCGTGCTTTCAGGGGGTCAAAAACTGCTGTTGCAGCTGTTTGACCTTGTCGTTGAACTGCTACCATCATCCTGTATTAGTTCGTCACGCGACTCTAATTTCAAACCTCGATTGAGGTGGTTTCTTGAAGACAGACGCCCCTCAGCGTTATTCTGCCGTGGTCTGACAAACTGCCTTCCACATATCAGCTTGTCACACCAATGCCATCGCGGCATAGCAGACTCCAGGAAGAACACGCTTTTCCACCCTAGAGCCTTTTCTCCGTGTACAGCGTTTGACGCGCACCTCCAAATCTCCCATCTACCCTCCCGCACCGGCGCCATGGGCGAAAGGCCCAATTTCATTGACCTTCATGCGAAATCTCCCGATCCATCTGCAAGACTGGGACACCCTTCGCCACGGATACAATACAACGAGGGAGAAATTCCGCCATGCCTTTCACCTCTGGATGCCTTCGCAGCTCAGAGTCGATTGATGGCAAAGCAATTGGATGTCAAGATGCACAAGGATAAGAGAATGAGTCGACTGCCGCCCGCAGTGGTTACCAAGTCCTTGTCACAACACCGAGCGGAGCGGCCCACCGTCTTCAGGTCTTTCTCAGAAGAGTCTGATGGTGATCGTGTGAGAGACGAGGATGAGCCTAGTAGTAGCTCCACGATTGCACATCCTCAGGATCGACATATATCCCAATATCCAAGAATCAGTGGACTGCTCAAAGGGAAAGGCAAGGGCACTGACGAAGACGAAGACAAAGGCGAAAGTTTTATGATACCAATGGACCGAGCAAGCACACCCGAGACCACATGCCAGCCTGCTACACAGTCAGACTATTTCGGGCTACCAAGGGCAGACTCACCCATATCCACATCCCTTTTGGCAGATTGCAACGTTGCTCGAAGGCATGCAAAAGCAGAGCCAAGCTTGACATCAAGTAGCCCCGGCAGGCAGCACCTTCGCTCAAGATATGATTCTTCCACCTCGCACCCCGACTCAAAATGTACAAGTCATTCTCCTACAAGACCTGCACCACAACGCGAAAGCTCCGACGACGACTATACCAGTTCTGTAGCTGGCTCTTCTTTCTCATTCCCTAGGAAGCTCTCCGCAAGCAGCGGTATATCTGTACCACATTCACCCCTCTCTCCATTCATTCCCATACATCCACCTCGATCACCCTCTATCCAATCAGAAGCATCTGTAACGGGTGCCTCAGCACACCGAACTCATCTAAACTTTTCACGTCCACGAAGCACTGCCAGCCTTAGTATCCTGAGTAGAGCAGACTCTCCTGCATTGCGCCAGCTGGTCGATCCACAGAATCTGCAACCTTCTGCAGCTACTCAAGGTGATTCACAGTATCCAGTGCAGTCTGAAGCCGTTGAATTAGTGGATAACGACGGCTATCTTTCGGCAGGCGGTTCATCCTACACGTATGCGAAGTTTTCCTTGCCTCGAGGGCGAGTGGTCTCTAGAGACTCTGTGATCTTTCAAGGCCTGTCGACACCGCATTTCGAATGGAAGGAGCCTCTTTTCCAGAACACGCCTTTGATGGGTGGAACACCCGACAGGCCTTTGGTTTCGCCTTCTCCAGCGCCTGACCTCAAGCTTGGCTCTTGTCAAACGAAGTCAAAGATAGATGGAGATCTGTTTGCCTTCGATATCAAATCTACACGACCAGCTACACCTAAAATACCTATGCCAAAGAAGCCACTCATCTCTCCTTCACAATCTCTCAAGTCTGCGAAGTCAACGTCGTCTTTGAAAGGTCGTACGTCCGTTGAGACTGGCGATCTTGGGTGGTTCCGTGCTTCAGCTGCGCAAAGGATCGATTCCGAAGACTCCAAGTCCACCTCATCCAGGTCGAACAGCACACTTCGGCCCATGTCGGCCAAAACGGGCGTTAATAACGCCACTAACTATCAGTACATGTCACCGGATGACCATGTTACCAAAGGCATCGAATGTCATGAGAACGGTTCGTTACAAGAATCGACATATCATCTACGTATAGCAGCAATGCAAAATCACCCTACAGCCATGCTGCTCTATGCTCTCGCCTGCCGTCACGGCTGGGGTATGCGACCAAACCAACGAGAAGGTGTACAGTGGTTACGTAAAGCACTGGATTCTGCTATGCACGAACTTAAGGAGGATGAGGACCCTTCCAATGCAATCGGCTTGCACAATATTAGTGACCAGAAGGCAAGACGCGCTCAATTCGCCTTGGGAGTATATGAGCTAGGTGTTAGCCACCTCAATGGTTGGGGTATTGACCGAGATAAAGCATTGGCGCTGCGTTGCTTCGAAGTCGCTGGCCATTGGGGTGACGTAGATGCATTGACTGAAGCCGGTTTCTGCTACGCAGAGGGGGTTGGCTGCAAGAAGGATCTCAAGAAGGCTGCAAGATTCTATCGCATGGCGGAGCAGAGGGGCGCCAATATGGTGGGCAATAGCTGGTAAGCTCCCCAAGTTAACAATCTTCTGTCTTCGATTTGTAACAGTGCAGCAGGATCTACAAAGATAAGTATAACGATATAAATGATGTCAATCGGTCTCGAACCCCAGTCCGATCAGTAACACCCAGTCAAGACAAGAAAACACTTGACAGATCTAAGACGAGAAGCATTTTTGGACGCAAGAAGTCGTATCAATGAGCGAGGCCTCACACATCATTCTTTCCCCTCCCACCAAACAGGTTATGGCCTCAACTGCAACAATACCGGCGAATCCCCGTGTCATCACTTCCCTATCTCTGGCCAGATATTTTTATACAGGGCTTCACTACCTTCCAGCAGCAAAGCATCTACTGCGCTTCACCACCAAGAGTGGCAACGGCCATTCTGCAATGCATATACCCCCAACATTCACGATTTAAGCGGATGCAATGACTTATCTCTTTTCGCTTCTCAACACCATTTCAACCACATACCATATGTACATGAAGCCTGGCCCATGTCAGAGACAATCACATCCTCTTCACCAAACGGGCGTCCACATACATACTTTAGTACATAATGTTTATTTCACATTTACATCCCGCTGGGCCGATACCGAGCTTCTTCCCTCCTCCTTCTTCCGCGGATGCGGATCGTCCCCGACCGGAGTGGATCTTTTTGCAGGCGAGAAGAATTCCCGATTCATCATGAACTTGACAGCTATTGATGACAGATGCGGTACGTGTGGCAGGGGCGGGCGAACAGCGGCCATGCGAAAGACTGGTGCTATACCAACTTGCGATTCCCGCTGCAGCTCGAGATGGGAGGGAGGAAGGGAGCCGTACATATACGAGAGCCTGCCTGAAAGTGCCAGGGAATGGAACATATCTTGCAGAAAACTGCAGCTTTCTATCACGTAGAATTGATAACCTAACCTGTAGTTTGATCAGATCTTGTCCCATCGTACTTCCTTGCACCTTTTTTTTCATTCTCTCCTCCTGCTCATACTAATCAATCAATCAAAGAAAGAAAGAAAGTAGGAGCTTGAATCGCGCAAGCGATTATTCAAGTCGATCGAAGGTCTCTCATAAGGCCCAGTGCATGTCCGTACAGTAGTATGCATGAAGCCCCCAGCGGGCTATTCTAGGGAGCTAACCAAGGCAATTGGAAAAAAAGGAAATCATGCAATCGATACTCTATCTAATTAGTCAGATATGAGTTCCGGGATGAGCAGTAGGAGGATGCCATGATCTTCCAATCCGCAGGTGAGTTATTCCAGAAACTGGTATTTTTGCTGTCGAAGAGGAGATAATCACCTAGTCGTCTTCTGAGCGAAACGAGGGACGGAAGGTTGGGTGGTGGAGGAGGAGGAGGAGATGTTGGACTTCTGATAGCTAAGCTGAACTAAGCTAAGTTGTGTGATATGCTGCAGGATAAGAAAGTGAGTGGGAGAAACCAGTATGTGTTACACCTGGTCCAATACCGATCATCAATTCTTCATCCCTTCCGAATCAGGTAGTGATACTTTATCAGATGGAATGTTCCAGGGCTGCTGGTGAACGTGACAGTAGCAGCCTCGCCGATATATGCTCCAAGCGGAATCGTCGATCTAGAGTCGGTTCCAAGTCGCCCAGGCAGTCTCATCATTTGTCTCTGTAGTTTCATCATCGCTTTCGTTAGTCATGGCTCTTCTGACCACTTTCTGATTCAGGGTCAGGCCGTACTCCAGGATCGTATCTTATTCTTACCAGACCAGACTTATAGTCACACTCGGGCTTCCCATCCCCAATTCCATTCTCATACCCATAGTGTCGCAACGCTCACTCATCCGCTCCGAGGTCACAACACCGCTACTGCTCAAAGCTTCTCCCAGACCCCGCTTCCACTACTTGCGCTCGACGCACCCCATCTCGGCAGTCCAGTCTCCTGCCCCCTTTCACTTGCTCCATCCACATTGCTTCTCCCCGTACCCTGACTGCTATCTTCCACCTCACCTCTCCTCCTCTCCTGCCGCCTAATCAGCCACCCAGCTAATCCCTCCGGAATCCATTTGCCCACGAAATCATATAGCCTCGCACCTTGTCCTACATATACTGTCCCCTGAACTCTCCTTCTCCTACTCCCACCCCAAGACACCACACCGAAAGCTTTGAACCCAGGACTGGGGTTCAACGTATCGAAGACGGCGTTGTGGAATTCTCTCAAATTCGACCCGGCTCCGCGGATTTTACTGTGGTTGCCGCTATCACTTCCTTCCTGCTGCTGACCATGTATAGACCGATGCGCCGCCGCTCGCTGTGAGGAGTGCCAATGTGTGAGGGCCGAGTTCCTCGGTACCTCCGGACCAGAGCGCTCTTGCCCTTGCTCTCGCTCCCTTATGTACTGAGGATAAACGTAGTCTCCTGCCCTTGGTGCGCGAGGGAGTACTGAGCTTAGATCGAAGAAACCTAGCTTCAGCTCTGTGATGCTGATATTGGATTTAGGGTGCAATTCGTGGCGGAAACATCGGGTGAAGCTGGAGAGGGACGTTGTGGTAACTGTTTCGGGGATTTGGTGGGGTGGGTGGAGGGATGTTGGGATAGAGGAATAGGCAAGGATTACAGACGGCACAGGAAGAGGGAGGCCTGCAGCTTTGGTGGTGCTTATTGCCGTGCTAGACTGGGCTTGAGTCTCAGCTAGGGCGAGAAGTGGAAGAAATTGTTGGACGGTCAGCATGGGGGATAGAAGGCGGGTATTGACAGTATCGATTAAGTCTGTTGGCGGGAGGGCTGCGAGCGGGCCGGTCGGGTATCCTGTTGAGCCTGGTAGTAGTATTAAGCCTGCTAATGTGTGAGGGAATGAAGGAGAATTTGATTGCGATGATTTGACCGAGCCTGGAGAGGATGCGCGTGAGGAAGGTTTGATCAGCTGACGGATCGGCTCCAGGTTAGGATGAAGATCAAGTCCTGGGTTTGGGACAGAGGAAGTGAGATCCATCCAAAGAGGCCGGATATCCCATTTACTCTCAGATTGGACCAGACTGTCTTCTTCAGTGCTAGAGACGGTGACGTAGACAATGTAACCACGACGGTCAAGGTCCAGGGCCAATGAGTGAGTGAGCGGATCATGGAAGGAGGAGCAGGCCAGCACCACTATTTCTTTCTTCTTTCCATTACGATCGCGACGAGCACGCCTCTTCTTTGCATGCGCCCTCTTACGCCTGTGTATGAGGATTGCTGTGGTACCGGCAAACGCTAAGACAACTGCTATGGCCGTTCGGTTATTGGATATCCATGTCGTTGTCCTTGCGAAGAAGCCTTGAGGAGGAGCTGGAGCACTGAGTTGATGTGATACAGCGCGCACAGGTGGACGCATTGAGTCTGGGATCCATGTGGCCGAGTCGATTGCATCGCGAAGCTCGGTAGCTAGGGAGGAGGAGTGCTTCTCGATGTAGTCGGCGATACGACTCCCGTAACTTGCTATATCACTGGGCACTGATGCTAGGAGATCAAGGAAGTACTGATCGTCGCTGGTCATGATGGCGATGGCATTGGCTCAACAGTCCTAAAGAGAACTGAGATGTAGATGAAAGATGAAGGCAACAGCTCAGAAGGGCGAGGAGGGGATGCCAAGACGTCATGTATCAATGCCAAGCTGCCCTGACCTCAGCACCACTGATTGCACTGCCTGCAGTACTCGTACTTACAGTTTCTGAATAGTACTGCACTGGTAGGGGGCAGAAGTATTCATAGCACAGTGCTCAGAGCAACTAGTTTCCAATATATCTGCCACCCATTCTTTCGAAGATTCTCCTTGGTGCTACCCACACAGAGCAGCTTGGCCAATACAGCTAACCGTTTTAAGGACTTGAGTCTTCGTCTGAGACCTGTTCTGACCTCAGAATTACTAGCGCTGAGCTATGAATACTTGTGCCCCGTACTCCGTATCGTAGTAAACCTCAAATGTCGAAGATAGTCCGGCGAGTAAAGACTGGAAGCGAACATTGCGTAATGTAACCATTTGTGGAGGAAGACTTGAAGGACATTAAATTTAAATTTGGTGTCGAGCGACTGTCTCCACCTTGTCCGCAGAGTCGTTAGCTTTACGGTTACTACGTACTAGCACAGTAGTACGTAGTATTAACGGGCGGCGATATCTCGGCTCCGGAACAAAAGGGCCCTGGAAGCTCCAAATTAGTAATCCATAGATATGAATACCTAAGCATCTATCTAGATCTGGTAGTCTGTGCTTGTGTTGTAGGCTGCACACGCCACGTCAGTTACTCAGGGCATGCCAGACAAAGACTGTCCTGATCCATTTCTAGATCTTGTTACCAAGAATACCACCTCATATCCATCTCAGAGAGAGCGACATCTAAACTCACTCAGCCGCTGGCAAGTCATATAACGCATAGAGCACAACCTTACAGAAGCATCACTATCCCTCCTTTATCTCACTCGCACTACCACCACTACCACCACTACCACCACCATGGCTCGCCGCCCTCCAACCTCTACTGAGCTCGACCCCCTGGTCTCCGAATACCAGCATGACCAACACCGCCCCCGCGCCCCCGAAGCCCTGCACACACTGCGCAAGATCGCCTCCCTCGTCAAACCGCTGATGCGGCAGCGAAACTGGCGCGTCAGCGTGCTCTGCGAGTTCTATCCCGAGCAACCCAACCTTCTCGGCCTGAACATCAACCGCGGCCAGAAGATCTGTCTGCGACTACGCTACCCAGGTGATGAGAGACAGTTCCTCCCTGTCGAGGAGGTGGTAGACACCATGTTGCATGAGCTATGCCACAATGTGCATGGGCCGCATGACGAGCACTTTCATGCGCTGTGGAATCAGTTGAGGAATGAGCATGAGGCGCTTGTGAGGAAGGGGTATACGGGCGAAGGATTCCTGAGCGATGGGAGGAAGCTTGGTGGGAGCGAGAGGTTGCCGATGCATGAGGCGAGGAGGAGAGCGAGGGCTGCGGCGGAAAAGAGGAAGACGCTTGCAGCGGGCAGCGGCCAGAAGTTGGGTGGTGCGCCCGTGAGAAGGGGCACGGATATCAGGAAGGTGATTGCGGATGCGGCGCAGAGGAGGATTACGGTCATGAAGGGGTGTGCGAGCGGGACGGATCAAGGAAGGCAGATCGCGAGGGATGTAGAGGAGAATCGGGGCGGCAATGGGTTCAGGACGAAGGCGGAGGAGGATGATGCAAATGAACGCGCAATCATGCAGGCTTACATCGATCTGATACAGGAAGAGGAAAAGGAGAAGTACGGAGACACCTATGTGCCACCGAGCGAAACAAACCCTGCCGGTCCAAGAGCCGCAATGTCTCCTACGCCATCTCCTGCACAACCCCCTCTTATACCGACAAGTACGAAGCCAATGCCCAAGGAAGAGCCTCGAGCACCTAGTATCGACCTTACAGGCGAAGACGATCCAGATACCTGGACCTGCGAGGTCTGCACCCTCGTCAACCCCATCCAATTCTTGGCCTGCGACGCATGCACAACGGAGCGACCATCAGCAAAGCCCACTCCACCAGTAAGACCGACTGGCACGAATACGAGGATTTCTGATGTTCGAGAAAAGCCCAATGCGTTGAAGCCGCGTCAGAGCGTGGTCAAATCATTAGCTGCACTGGAGGCGCAGGAAGCAAAGAAGCCCGCAAAACCAATGGGGTGGCTGTGTCACGTCTGCAGCAATTGGATGGAATCTCAATGGTGGACTTGTGCAAGGTGTGGGAATATGAAACAGGTGTCGTGATATATCTTTCACCAGGAGGAACTACGGTCCGGCATTGTGTATCCAGCCGTGCTGAGGAAAGACTAAGATGGAAGATGATTTGCTCTTTGGCTTGCTACATAGCCATTCTTCCGCATAGCGATGGGCGCATACTGAGGAAACGAGCTGGCGCAGTACAAGAAGGACTGAGGATCTACGAACTTATGAGCTACTGGAGACAAAAAGATTGAAGGCCCGGAAGAGAATGGCGGAAACGGCGAGATTGTTGTGGCTCAGATCACGAGCAACTCAGCTAGACAATGATCAGCTGGGCTCTCGAGAAGAACGTATAGAATATTCGCAGGGTACGAGGCGTCAGTAAAAAATTAGAGTGTATGTTGTTGCTTGTTTTGGTTCCACAGGCATGATTCAGGGTTAAAAACAGATCATCCATCGCCAAATCGAAAGAAATTCGAAAATACAAGCACTTTGGAAAGACTTACTCATGTAGAGGACACCAGAGCCTAGTATGAAAAGACAGGTCACAGAGATTAATTGTGGCCGGAGGGGGTGAGTTGCTCGACTAGTTTGCCATTTTCTACGCGATCCTGGCTATGTATGCAGCAGGCAAAAGGCCACCAGCATCGTCTTGAGCACCACCATCATGGCTTCTTCAAATCTAGTCGAAGAGACCACCGAAACCTGATGCGTATTAGCTTTTGCAGACCAATGTTTAATTCTAATATAGTTTCTCTTACCCTCGTCTTCACTCTCTTCTTTCTCAGATTCCTCTTTCTCCTTCTCGGCTTCCGCAGCTGGGGCAGAAGTATCAGCAGCGTCAGCGGCCGGAGCTGCAGCGGCATATGCGTCAGGATTAGCGATGCGATCTTTGAGCTCGTCAATTGCCTCCCAGCTGTAGTCTGTCTCAATAGCGACCGCAATGGCATTCTTGTAGGAGTTGATCAGACTGTGCATAACCGATGGCAGAGTAGGATAATTGGCAGCAAGAGAGATTGCGGTGATGGTGGCAATTGCAGAAGTCAGGGACTTGAGGAGCTGACTAGGTTCGATATCCAGAACATCGGGACTGAATGTCTGACCTTCTTCGTATACTTGCGTGATGCTCATGCCATAGGTGAAGGGGGAAATGTTCAACATGTTGAGAAGTGTGGCCTCGGAAGCACCAACTTTATTGCCAGCCTCGACCAACTTGAGATCAGTTGTAATTTCGATGGTACCACGGGCGATTTTAGTCGGGACACCAAGTGCTTGGAAAAAGGATGTCTTGCCAGGTTCCATACCGGTGTTTCCTGCGGGAACGAATACATCGGCGGGAGCAACGGCACCCGCGCGAGCTGGAGCAGCAACCTTGTTTGCTAGGATCTTGGAACGGGTGTCCTTGAGGTCATTGTTGGTGAAGATGAAGCCAACATTTCCTGCGGTCAACCAAAATCAATACCTGAAGCTGAGGTGAGGAGATTTGATGCCATTACCTTTCACGTGTGGCAGAAGTCGCTCGTATTCTGGAAAGTCTGACACAAAACCCTTGATCGCTCGACGAACCATAGTGTTCTTGCCCATCAGTACAACAGCTTCACCTCGGAGAGATTGCCGAATTTCATGCATCTGCTGAGAGCTGACATTGTCGACTTGGACGATGAAGATTGACTTGTACTCGTCAAGCAAACCCTTGAGCTTCTCGAAATAGACAGCTTTATTGCCAGATTTGCCCCCCATGACTTCTTGTTGCGAAGTTAGGATGTTTAAGGGCAAACGATATATTCAGGGGGTGTATGTGCCGAGAGTGATGTTGAAGTGAAAGTATGTAATTGTTATAGCGGGAATTTTGGTTGTGGGTTGCGAAATACTGCCAAGAAAGCAATGACTAATCAGCACCAATAATTTCAAGGTGAAGATAGCGCCATGGGAAGCAGTCAGTACTATGTGCCTGATATGGAACTATCAAAGGATTGTAGTTGCACTTATTTGCAGAAGCCTTGGGGAAAGACTGATATCATGCTTATCTGTCCGCACTGAAAGATCCAGCGTCTGTGAAGTCATACACAAACAACTGGTGGTGCTTCGGAGGCCACACCATGACCACGCCCCCATGTCACCCATTTCAGAAGCTCTGCTGCATCAGTCAATCTGGCGACATCCATCTTCTACTTGTTGCGACAGGACCCCATATCCTGTCGCTAGACTTGAAGAATGGCGGAATCGTTTCGAAGTGGCCGAATGATGCTGTTCAAAGTGCTGAGAGGCAATCACTAGAAGAATTAGGGAATGGAATTGTGGATGATGATCCGCCTGCGAAGAGGCGTAAGCCTAATCTCTCCAAAAGACAGCAGGATGAGCAGGAGGATGATTCTCGGGATTCGTCAATCTCAGTAGAGTTTGTATCGGAAAGAGCCAAAGGGCAGAGGCGCAAAAAGAAGAAGGCAGTGGAACCTGTGTTACCCAATGTATCTCATATAATTGCCACTCTTGACGGACTTCGTGTGGTAGCAACAACAGCGGAGGACAAATGTATTCGAGTCTTCGAGCTGGGTTCTTCGGGACAATTGACGCTTCTCAGCGAAAGGCATAATGACCGTATCTCTATCATTGTGGACTGTGCTTACTGTTGCATAGATGCATGCCAAAGAGGGTCTGTGCAATAGCGCTTAGCAAAAGCCAAAGTACCATACTTGCAGGAGATAAATTTGGCGATGTCTATGCACTGCCTCTTCACCCCTCGCTTGAGAAAGCTACCGCATTACCTTCCAAGCCCCAGTTGCAAAAAACCAAGCCAATGAAACCATCGGCGTCCGAACTGACAGTCCATACCAAAGGTAATCTTGAAGCTTTGCGACAGCAAAAATTGCAGAACGCTTCTGCTTCAAAGAAAACTGCGCCTACGTTTGAGCATCGGCTTATTCTTGGCCACGTCTCACTCCTCACAGATCTTGTTGTTGGCACCGACCCTTCAAATGATAGTCGAGAATACATCTTGACCGCCGATCGGGACGAGCACATCCGTGTCTCTCGCGGCATACCACAAGCTCATGTCATCAAAAATTACTGCCTAGGACACACCGAGTTCGTAAGCAAGCTCTGCACTGTACCAGACCTGCCTCAAATTCTGATATCAGGGGGAGGAGAACCCTCTCTTCGTATCTACGATTGGTTGCGAGGCACATGTGTAGCTGCGGCTAGTCTAGAAGAGGATTTGAAGCACCTCATTAGCAGCAGTGCGTTCAACGGGCTTATATCTAGTGGTATTCGGGCTGTCTCGTGTATTCAAGCCATGAAAGTTCGAGACACTGATGATCTGGGAGACGTCATCATGATAGTGGTGGCCTTCGAAGGGTAGGCGTTCTTCATTCCTATAGCCGAAGAGAAAACAAGATACGGGCTAATGATATGGATGATTAGAATACCCGGCATCTCCACTTATCTCTTCCATCCAGAAAAATGCCTTCTCAAGCAAGATAGACAATACGTTATGGACGCGAACGTGTTGGATATTGTCTTGCTCAAGGAGAGTGGTCTGATGCTGGTCTCCTTAGACAACGTTCATTCTCCGCTATCCACCAAAGAACCAACTTCCCATGCGCTGGCACCAGCCATACGCGTTTTCGGACTTAAACTGGAAAAGTTTGATGGTGAACAGCAGTTCGGGTGGGTCGGATATGACCCTGCGACTGGAAGCCATGGAACCGTGCACAATGGCAGCTTCGAAGACATAGCGTCAAAACTGAATCAAACACTTCAATCAAATGATATCCGCCATGAGATCGAGCTTCAGAGTGCTACCAAGCCGAATGCATTATACTCACCCTTAGGTGAGTTTTTATATGGGTTGGAGAACTTACGGAAGAAGTCTCAAGGAGACGGACAGGAACAGGAAGCAGAAGAGTTGGCGGTCACTCATCCAGAAGAACGATAAATACTTTGCAACACACACCATGTATATCATCTATCAGGGTGCGGTTCGAAGGTACAGACTAAGAAATTGCTCCCCTTCGCGCACTACGCCATATGCCATCCTCTCCGAATAACGTCTCAAGCTCAACCTCCACCCAACACACCTTCCACAACGGCCTCGCACCCGCCTTCTCCATCACCCTTCTACTTCCCAAATTATCCTCTCCAACGTCAGCATGTCCAAGCTGGGATCCATTCTCTACGCTCCCATCCCCACGCGCCTCAAAACCCCGTGCACTAAAATATTGGCCCTGCATCCTCAACAGTTCCCTCGCCAGCAAGACAGCCAAATTCTTTCCTCGATGATGCGGCTCGGTATGCAAGCTCGTCAAGCTAGCGTCAACCCCTAAGAAGCCCCAAGCGACAGGTTCTGGCTCATCTTCAAAGAACACCGCTCTGCTTGGCAATAGCGCCAGTGTTTCCACTGTCCTCGGTATAGTCGTCCGGTCAATTGCCAACTGAAGATCCTTCGGCCGACGGAGAGGGCCGAAGCGGTAACCAGGCGGGAGGGTGCCAAGCGTATTCAGTAAGGGCCTGGGTAAGATCTGCTCATTGCCGGCAGATGTGAATATGTACTTCATGTAGGCACAGTCGGCTCGGCGAATGGCAAGCTCGGGGATCAAAGAGCGGATGCTGAGGTTGCAGGAGCCGAGGAGTACGGCGGAAGGGGAATAGGAGTGGTGCTTGCCGTGGAGCTTTTTGACCTTCATGAATGAGAGGGGTGTAGTGGGCGGCATCAATGGCACGCATTGCGTGTAGACGAACTCAAAAAAGGACAGGAGAAGGCATCGGGTAGTCTTTACCAGAGGGGCACTCCCAATTGGCGAACACCCATATCTGCGTCTCTCCAGACCGACTCAGGTCGACGTGTGCGGCCAGCCAGGGTCGCTGTAACATCGACTCAATAGCGTCAGGGCGTTCATCTTGCAATAAACGCCCGCCTCCTCCAGCCGGGCGTGGTTTGCTTCTCTGGCCGTCTAGTCCCTTTGCGAATGCTTGGAATATATGCGCATGAGGTGGCCCAGTCGGATCGGAAGGGTGCGCAAGGTAGAATTGCAGGCGCCGGTACAGAGGTAGAGAATATGGCAGATATGCCTCAAGGGCTGACAACAAGCTCAAAACTTCGGGTTTTGTGGGCAAGCTCAAGCGATGTTCAGGCACACCTGTGGACATGATAAATGTAGAAAATCTTGGCTCAGCCGCAGGCACACCCCAACCTCCAAAACGTGCTTATCCTTCCCTGAACGCCCCCCCCCCTCTCAACTTTGACCATGCGATAGCGAGCAATTCATTAACATCAACACCAATCGTAAATTTGTCACCTCTCTCTCTGGAATGCTCGTCTAGGACGACGGATATCCTTTGACGAAAAGTCGAGCCTGGGAAGGGTTTCGACCTGGACACACGACTCAATGGGCCTGCTAAAGCTATGTACTTCGATCCCTGCACTTTAGCAATAAACACTCAAGACTCAACGACTGTGGCTGAGATTTCCTCAGCTCTAGTTTCCCCACAACGTTCTTGCTTGGGCTAATTAGACATTTGCACGCAGCACGTACTAATCTATTTGCGCTGGTCTCTTATTCTCAGCTACTGGTAGCTGTTCAGTCCGCGGGGCTCTCTATGCACTAGTTTTAGGACTTTGTGGAGACTGCGCTCGCAAGCGTACGGTTCCGGGCCCTTCTACTTTAGATCGACCGAATTTTCTCCTCTACTTTGGTACTCCTGTCCTTTCCTTCTCCCTGATTGAGTCACCAATCAACATCCGCGGGGCGCTGATTTACGGAGGCTGGTCTTCCAAGAGTCATATCGCTTTCGACTTCAACGTACCAAGTCAAGCGAGTGTAGGCCGCTAATCATTCTTATTTCACATATAATATATCACTTATGCGCTACACAATCACCGCCAGCTTTACAGAGTATCTGCAGTAAATTTCAGATATTACGCTCATTGCCAACAATATCATTTAGGAAAACAGCATATAATGCACAATGCTCCACAGGGACCTCGAGGAGGCCCACACGTCTGTTGCACATAGGAACCTGTCACATGCGGGATAAGCCTGGTGCAGCATCTGAAATGTGATCACGAAGCACAAGTGGAAGGTGACTGTCAAAATCATGGCTTGCAGATATGGGATGCGAAACCCTATGTTTCCGAGCAAAAATCCCATCAAAACCCTGAATGCACTTTGCTGGTGAGTACCGTCGATCTACTCTTTCACATAATATAAAGATCCGGGGTAAGGTTCGTGTTGGGACGTGTTTGGCCAAGTCACGGGCCTTGGTGCTTGGAGAGCTGCTGTGCGGCCCTGGAACAATCAACATCGAACAATTACGATAGCCACTTCTGGCTAGGATACCTGTATACGAGAGGATATCAGGTGGGATGAAGGCTGAAGGCTGAAGGCTGTCGGGTATTACTGGGGGGTTGGAATTGTGATATCAGTCTAGGCCATTGGGGGACTAGCGGAGATTCTTGGCAGCGGACCCAGAGGTGTCGCATTTTTGGCTGAGGAATCCTGAACACCGGCATCAAGGGGAGGATCTGGGGTGATCAATTTGAGAATTGTACTTTGAATGCTTCTCAATAGCAGAATTCACTCACTATTATTCGATCGTTTGCCTCAGGTGAATAGGATGCAAATTTTGGTCTGATCTGCGCCTATTGCATGCGGCGAACACTTCGCTTTCAGCGCACTGGGAGATTGGGCATAGCCAGGGAAAAAAGTGTCTCTTCTGTTGCGTTGTCCTTTTCCTTGTTCGCCTTCGGCTTTAAATCCGCCAGACAGAATTTCCTTCATCCAAGGCCTCGTTGAAATTCAATGTGTCATCGAATTTCTTACTTCGACATAACCTCGCTTGCTCATTCTGCACATCGGTCAACAGCACTCCGCCTCCTGCAACCACTGCCACCTTCAATGTAGGAGAATCCCTTGTTGTACCGTTCCGACTCGGCGGTCAGGCGTACATGCTCTGTACAACTGTGTTGTGCAAATCGAGCTTGTGCACCTAAGGTGTTTTGTTGAAAATCTTGAAGGACCTTTGTTTACGCTAATCTCAAACACCACTTCTCACTTTTTCGACAATCTCACCATTTCCCATCAACCACATCATTATGGCTCTACCATCAGAATCCAGCCCAAAAGCTGAAGCCGTAGATGAAGATACAATTGTGGTCAAGCAGGAACCATCACTTTCTGCATCTCGTGAGCCTGAGATGAGTTTGCTTCGCACCGGCACCATCAAGGATGAGCATGCTGACAGCGCCTCCAATTCACCTTCGCTCCTGCCTACAAAGCTGAAATCTAGCCGCTCTTCGTCTTCTACATCCATCAAATCACGAGCTACATCAGAATCGTCTGTCGACAAAAAGGACATTAAAGACAAAGTGGGTGGCGAAATCTCCCAGAAAATGGAAACAGCTCAACCGCCAAAAATAGCCCGTTCGGCGCCAAACAAGGTGGTATCTAGAGTTGCCCCTCTGTATGATGCTCTGCCAGATGCTACGATGGAGGCAAAGAGCTCATTCACAGTGATTGAATCTTGCACCTATTCTAACAAATTTCTTGGATACACTGAGCATGCTATGGAGTGTGACTGCTCGGAAGAGTGGAGTAAGCGATAACTCTCTACCACTGCAAGTAGAATTACCAGGAGGAGAAAGCTGACTTCTGATGTATAGATTCGTCCACCAAGCGCAACTATGCCTGTGGAGAAGATTCCGACTGCATCAATAGGGCCACAAAAATGGAGTGTGTCGGAGATTGCGGGTGCGGCTCCGACTGCCAGAACCAACGTTTCCAGCAACGACAATACGCAAAAGTCTCTGTAATCCAAACCGAAAAGAAAGGTTATGGCCTCAGAGCAGATGCTAATATTCGAGCCGGTGGCTTCATTTGGGAGTATGTTGGTGAAGTCATCAACGAGCCTCAATTTCGCCGACGCATGGTCCAGTATGACGACGAAGGGATCAAGCACTTCTATTTCATGTCCCTCAGCAAAGGCGAATTCGTCGATGCAACTAAGAAAGGTAATTTGGGGCGATTCTGCAATCATTCGTGCAACCCGAATTGCTATGTCGACAAATGGGTGGTTGGCGACAAACTCCGGATGGGCATTTTTGCCGAGAAGAACATCAAAGCCGGCGAAGAATTGGTTTTCAACTACAATGTCGACCGCTATGGAGCCAACCCACAACCATGCTATTGTGGAGAGCCCAACTGCACCGGATTCATCGGTGGAAAGACTCAAACCGAGCGTGCCACAAAGTTGTCTGCTGCCACCATCGAGGCTCTTGGCATTGACGATGCAGATGGATGGGATACTACTGTCGCAAAGAAACCTCGCAAGAAGAAGACCGGTGAGGATGATGAAGATTATGTCGAGAGTGTGGAGGCCAAGTCGCTTGATGCAGATGGCGTTACCAAGGTCATGGCTGCCCTCATGCAGTGCAAGGAAAAATGGATTGCTGTCAAGCTGCTGGAGCGTGTTCAGAGATGCGAGGACGAGCAAGTACGAAATCGTGTCGTCAAGATGCATGGCTACCAGATCCTTAACTCTCAACTCGCCGCATGGAAAGATGATGCCAACGTCGTCCTGCAAATTCTTGATATCCTCGACCAATTCCCTCGCCTAACACGCAACAAAATTATCGACTCTAAGATCGAAACCACTCTGCAAACATTTGCGCGAAATGACGATGAACGAGTAGCCGCACAGTCTGCTCGCCTTTTGGATGAATGGTCAAAGCTTGAAGTCGCTTACAGGATTCCACGAAAGAAGCGTGATCCCACCGAAACTTCCACATCTGTCAAGCCCGAGCCAAATCAATATGAGCGAAGAGAATCAACTCAGGAACGGAAGCGATCTCGCTCTAGGTCTAAGTCGAGATCACCTCCTCGTGGCCCATCGGTGGCTTCCGCTCCCTCAGGTCCTCGCTCCAGCCTTCTTCAGCGCAACAATTTCTACCCTCGTCCCCGCCCACCCCCATTCAATCCATTGCCCCGTGGCTGGCAACAAGCCGTTGCTGATGGCAGAACTTACTACTACTCTTCAGAAGGCAAGACTCAATGGACACGACCAACCGCTGCAGCTGCTCAGCCACCACCTCCTCCAAAAGCACCCTCGAATCAAGATGTCCTTAAGAGTATCATCGATAATATAGTCACTGCGAAAGAGAAAGAACGAGAGGCTAAGAATGCTACACCCGACACTCCGCAGGCGGTGGTGAAGGAGAAGAAGGACAAGAAGGCAGAAAAGTGGCGATCATACGACGAAGACAAGAAGAAGAAGCTGTACAAAACGGCGGTAAGAAAATCCTTCAGCCGTCTTTATGTGAAAGTACTGATATGCTGCAGCTTCATCCTTCCATCTCGTACATCATGAACAAGTACAAGAGCAAGCTGCCGCGCGATGACCTCAAGCGATTTGCAAAAGAGGTAAGTACCATTCTATCCCTCCATCAAAGCCCCTAACTAAGATCTTCCTCCAGATCGCAGACAAGCTCGCCAATTCTGATTTCAAGTCCGGACGTGTTGAAGACCCAACGAAGATCGATGAAAAACACGAGAAAAAGGTCAAGAAATATTGTAAGGAATTTTTTGACAAGGCTGCTTACAAGCATCGCAAACTTGAGAAGGAGAGGGCAGCTCGAAAGCAAAAGCCTGAGACATCAAAGCAAAATGGCACAGCAGCTGACGAGACAAGTTCTCCTGTTTTAAATCTTGATGCTTCACCTGACATCAAGAGGGAAGGCAACAGCGACGATGATGATGTCAAAATGTCAGAGGATGACGACGAGACCCCAACGCCTCCCACTCCCTCAGCTGCGCTGAATGGTAGTGGTTCGAAACGCAAAAGGGACGGGGGCGATGAAGAGGAATTCAAAGCTGACAGCGATATATCAAAGTCGCCCATCAAGCGCATGAAGTCAGAATCGCCTTGCGCACAAACCCCACCACCCGCCCCAACTATGGATACTTCTCTAATGCACACTGGACACTCGTCCCCTGCTGGAAGGAATGGCGATATTTCTAAGCGAAAGAGAGAGGACGACGATGACGAATACTGTAAAGCCCGAACAGACATTTCGAGGTCGCCGGCCAAGCGGATCAGGTCGGACTCTCCACCAACTTCTATAGCTGCAACGAACGGAAATCATCACAAGCGGGGCAGGGATGAAGACGCGGAAGAAGGAAACAATGCCCGTAGCGATGCATCGAAGTCGCCAGCCAAGCGATTGAAGTCAGATTCTCCACCACCACCACCTCCTCCCCCACCACCCGGCCCACCTGTCGATACTCCTCCGATGCAATCTCAAGGCGCATCGCCTAGTGAGACAACGAACCCATTCCATGCTGACACTTCATTCGCGGAGAAGACGATGGCAGATGTGCTCGCCGAAGCACAACAAGATCCTGGTGATGGTGACGATGTTGGCGACCTTTCCTTGCAAGACGCGAACGATAGCGGGGCTAGATCGCTTGCGAGGGCGGGAGCTCGTGTAGGCGTCGATGATGAGGACGACCTCTCCAATGGGCCATCTCCACCTGGTTCCCCACCACATTTTCCGATTGATTACGACAATAAAGTCGCATCATCTTCACGTCCGTGGCCCGACGAACTCACAATCGAATCTACATCTCGCTCACCAGAGAAGCGTTCTCCGCGACCTGATGCGATCACGGCACACTTGTGACAGTCTTCTGAGCCTTTAACCCAAATACTGATTTGCCAAATCCCACTCCACATTGAGCTATTTCTACAATTGGCACTACTTGGTAGGGTCGACATTCACCTCTCCTTCGTCTAGTCCTTCACAACATTCATGCAACCATGCGTTTCGATGTTCATAGTTGCCAATGCACCCTCCATACCCAACCAACATCCACAACGGCTCCAGGGCCAGCAGGAAACTCTCTTAACTGTTTACCTTTCCAGATGAAATCACAATAATAGTGGCAATTACCGATATCTCGATCCTCGACTACCCCACCGAGAGACTCAACTCAATTGTACCAACATAATCATCACGTTGATATCACTTTGCATTGATTGCCACAACCAATATACATCTCAATCGACCTACCAGAAGCGTGCAAAACGGCAAAGCCGGCACCATCATCACACTACTACTATCAGCCTCATCTTCGAATCTTCTAATTTGTGCGAAAAGGCCATTTGCGATTCTATCGACCCAGCATCAGGGAGCTGGAGTTCAATCATACAACCGGGGAAATGCTTGCTTGCTTGCTTGCTTGCTTGCTTGCGTGCTTTCAACCAGCAAAGGAAAGCTAGGTTAGGTTGGTGCAGACCCCCATGGATCAGTGGGAGGTCGGATCTAGGAAGTCGAGCTTGGATTGGATAGTGAAGGAAAGCAAGGGCAAGGGAGTAAGGGGTCAGCTACCTAGATGTGGCTTTCAATTATGAGATCAGGTAGTGAGCAATAAGAAGATTTGAAGAGTGAAACAGACTTCTGTAATTGTGGTATCTAGGAAGGCATTTTCTTCTTTCTCTCTCTTGGATCTGCCTGCCGATGATGATGATGATAATGAAAAGTGCGTGGTCAAGCGTTGCCTACTGTTCCAACCGTAAGTTAGACATTCCCAACTTAACTAGATAGCAGTTAGACCCAAGGACATGACCGCGGAACTACAGTGAAAGCCAGCCCCTTTACTTAGTTAGCCCTTAGGCATGAGACCCCCCTAAGTACGAACATCGAACATCACCCATAATCCAGACCCCCAGCCGTGGTGCGCATCAGCGACCCCCTAAATACTATACCCATCATGTCCCATCATATCATGTCCTAACAAGACTTTCCGCCCATGTATGATTCCTCCCCGTATATGTTGTGCGGTGATTGTACTCCTGGCACTTACCAGGTCTCTTTCTCTTTCTCTCTCTCTATCTCTCCCTGGTCAGTAATCAGTAATCCTGCATCTTGGATCATGGATCATGGATCATGGATCATGTATCATGGATCTCGGACATCAGTATCACCACTTCCAGACGAGGGCATCAGACGCGATTGATTGAATATCAATAGGGGCATATCTAGCTAGCTGGCTAGCAAGTAGGGTAGGTAGGTAGGTAGGTAGGTAGGTAGGTAGTCGAACTCGAACTCGGCGCTGTTCTGGTTCGTTGCTTTGTAGTTCACTCCAGGAGTTCTTTCGTTTCTGAACCCGTTCACGTTTTCCTTGAATCTGGGTCTGCCTGGCTGGCTGGCATGCTGGATGCCTTGTAAATGGAGATACAGGGAGTGAGAGAGCAATGCCGGACGAGGATAAAGCCATCGCATATCACATCCTCCCTGCCCCTAATCCATTCTCACCCACCTGCTGGCCTCACAAAGAAGAAGAACAAGACGTGCATCGGAAATCATCGAAAGGACCTTGATTCATCATTTTCTCGTCCAATTTTCTTTCAATAGAAACTCTCAACCATAGCTTCCTTATCCTTGCCCTTCACATCGCCCGGCCCATTCCCCTCGCCAAGCCTAAACACACTCTCCACCACGCTCAACTCCGTCGCCGTGGTATCCATGCCCGTCACCGCCAACCAATCGTTCACCACCATCCCGGCCCCCACGACTGGACTACCGCGATTCACGCTCCCGGCCACAAGCGGCACCTGCAGTAAACTGCTCAGTTCGTCCTGATCCTGGATCGGCGTCTTCGGGTGCACCAAGCCCCCCTGGTTGGATAATGACATGTAGGAGCCCGTCAGGACGTTGGAGGCGATGGTTTGGCGGAAGACCTCTACGCCCAACGTGTCGGCGATGATCTCTTCGGTTTCGCGCTCGAGGTCTGGGTGCACGAGGGCGACGTGGTCGTTGGCGCAGATGACGTTTCCGAGGGCGGAGAGGCGCTCTTCGATTCGCTGGATGGTCACGGTGGAGGGGAGCGTGTTGCGGATGTGGGACATTTCTTGGTCGGTTGTTGAGGTCGGGAGGAGGAGGCCTTTGCGGTTGCTGTGCGGTTTACCAGATCAGCGATTGGGGGAGGAGAGAGAGGAGATTCGGTTGACGGTATGCTGCGGCGGAGACGGGGTAGAGGAAGCGACAAGGGGAAGAGTGGCAGCAGTAACTTACCCGGCGGTCAATGTACCAACTATCCTCGTGCCCGCGATTGTGGCATGGCATATGGGTATCACATCTTGTAGCTCGGCTTCGAAGACGCTGTAGAAGTTTTCCGATGCTCCAATTGCGACGAGGGCGTAGGAGTTGGTGAGGGTGGAGAAGACGCCGACTCTGGTGGGTTGATGAACACAGATTAGCAATCCTCTTTCTTCCACGAGGACGGGAGGAGCGGAGGAGAAAGAAGGGACGAATACGCACTCATTTGAGTTCTCGAACTGTGCGCGAACTGCCATGGTCGGGGAAAGTCCTGCAAAAGCAGGCGTGCAGATTGAAGTTCTTGTGAGGAGGAGCTTTGAGGCTGAAAGACGAGGAGGATTTGCGCGCCGGAAGACCAGGAATTGACTCGTCTCTTGCTTCGCGAGCAGATGTCCAGCAGACAAGTGTCTGGGTGATGGGCGCGGAGATCAACGGATAAGGTGGGAGGAAATCTCTCTGCTTATCTAGGAGATGAGACTGCCGTGGTATGTGGTATGTGGTTGGAAGCTGAAAGGAAAGTCTATAAACCGTGACTGGTAAGATTACGCACAAGTGAATCAGTCGTCGTCGAAATAGGGCCGGATTGACTGTTCTTCGTGGTCTTGTTGAGATCCTGGGGGTGAGGTGCAGAGGATCGACGTCACAAGGAGGAGTCATTTAACTAACTACTGTCACTACTTTAACTAGTACTGTGTCACTGTGGACCCCCTCTGTTTTCAGCTGCCAGGGGCTTCGGGCCTTCGGGCTGAAGGTTAACTAAGAAACCGAGCATCACTTGGCTGGCCATGAGCTATTTAGCAGATGTTTTATATCGTTTCCAGCAGGGCACTGAGTCATATGCACGACGTTGTCTTTTTAGAATGGAGCATAGATGGCTCAACAGGGATGCCATCATTATATTCACAGCCGCCGGCGCTTCTCATGCACTCATCTTTTGATGCATCCGAGAGTGATCCCGGCCAACATCCATGTACTTGGCTTGCCTCTCAAACATTAGAGTCATGGGAGTAGACACGAATCATGTTCTTCCATAGCACACCACTAGCTTTCATATTATTAGGATCTTTTTGCGATCTGACCAGAATAATTCTAGTGAAATACTCCCATAGTTCTGCGTGCAAATTCATCAATATCTGTCAAGGAGGAATCAGGCTTGGGCAAGTCGTCAGTTGTTGGAGTTAACATTCGTAGTTCATCCCCAATGTTCAAATACCTTCGCAAGAATCAGTTATTTCACGAGGTCCCGTCGTTGTCTTTAGCTGTGTTGCCCCGATCCTTCACCATACCCATCAGACTCTTGAATGATGTTTTAGCCTGCTTTCCCTTCTCCATGGCCTTGCCAGCAAACATTGAAGAACTAAGAGATCGCGCTGCGCCTCTTTCCGGAGACTCGCTACCCGAAGCGACATATTCTCTCGCTTGCAGTGATGGGGTTGTGTTTGTGCTTGGACCAGACGAGGTCTTCGGAGCTTCAGTTGGGGCACCTGCTGCTACTCGAGCCTTTTGCCGACGCTCCTGGCGCCTCTTCTCATACTCTTCCCGGGCAGCTTCACGCAGCGCTCGACTTACATCCGTAACTTTCGCTCTCTTATCCTTCCAACGGGAAGTGGCCCCAAACCTGTCAGGTCCTCCTCCTTTGGCTTTAAATCGACCAGCCAGCTGACTAACGGCCAACAATCTCGCATCGACTCGTCTCGTCAGATACACAGTTGTCTCTTCCTCATCTTTGCCTTCTTCCCTGCTGCGCTGTCGAATCCGTTCAATCTCGTCCCGATATGCTGTTTCATAAATGTCAATGTCGGCTGCACCAGGGCTCTCGCTGACCATCAGTACTTGATCCTCCTCCCCATCGACCGCAAAGGTAGCACGTCTATCGGCGTTGTCGCTAGCTCCTGAAAATGTCGAAGGACCAATGTAGAGATATAAATGGTCTTGAAGGGGATCGTGTGCATGACCTCGATGACCAACTTCATCCTGAGATTGTGCCCGGTCTCGAGCTAATGGAGGATGCTCGGGTCTGAAGGCAAGGTACTGCTCTTCCTCTTCTGCATCTATTGGTGATTGGGAGGGCTGAGGCTCCGAGTCCTGATCCGGACTCTGATCAGGTGATTGCGAAGGAGGATAAGGAACAGCCTCTGGGGTGGCGCCATCTCGCGCTTTGAGCGACATGTTATCATGCTGCGCCATTTTGCCTTCCTCTTTTTCTCGGATTGCATTTTGAGGGTCTCGCGGGATGTTCATCTGTCTGTGGACGCCTTCTACCGCAAGCGCTCCCTCTATAGCCTTGCGGTCGAATGAAGTAACGCTCTGGGATTTATGATGTAGCTTCGGAGTTCGAGAGCTGCGTTGCATGGACAGTGGTGGTTGGGAGAAGCGAGACTGATCACTTTCGTCGAGTATTGATGACATGATTGCTGGCCGCTTTTGCGCCACAAGCTTCTTGAATTTATTGACTGCCTTCATCTGTTGAAACTTAGTAAAAGAGCGACCGGCCATGGCACGTCAGTTACATGAGCATACCACTGTCATCAGGTTGGCCACATTGCTTGTAATGGCAGTTTCCATCTCCGCGTCTGTAGGAGGTCCCACCAATTCAGAGGTGTTCTCCGCTTCGGAAAGCAAGGGATCGGCTCCTTGCTTTGTAACCCAGGGATGTTCCTAGAAGCGCTCAGACAATGTGTAGCCATAGCTGTACAGAAGCATAACTTACCCTTAACTGAGGCATTTTGATCCTCTTTGACGCGTCCTTCTCGAGGATTCTATACATCATGTCCCGAAGATGCTCGTCTTTCTCTGTCTCAAAGCTAAGCTTGTCGCTCTTGATCGCTTCGTAGAGCTCGAATATACCAGACTTTTCGAAGGGTATATGCCCGTATTTGAGGCAATACAGTGTGACGCCCATGGACCATATGTCAGCCGACTTCCCAGATACATCTCCATGTTTGACCACACAGAGTTCGGGAGGTAGGAAGGCCGGCGAGCCAGCTGACTTGGCAGTCAGCATTTCCGAGTCCTTCTCGAACATCTCTGATACCCCAAAATCGACAACTTTCAGCACATCTTCCTCGGTGAGCAGGCAATTGTCAGGCTTGATGTCGCGATGGACGATCCCCTGCGCATGTAGGTACTCAATGCCTAAGATGAGATCTCGAAACCAGCATCTGCAGCTTTCATCATCATACGGGTCTGCTCTCTGATCCAGCCCGACCTTCATGATGATTCCCTTCTTGCACATCTCCATCACCATGTACAAAGAGTCCTCTCGTGGATCGTCAAGGACTTCAACCAAGGCACATAGGTTGGGATGGTTGAGCTTTTTCATGATAGCAATCTCTTCCTTGATGAGATCAATAGCATGACCTCCGCTGGCCGGACTGTTCGTATTGCCCTCCGAATTGCGGTGCAATGGTGAATTGAAATCGTCACCAGCTGTAGGGCGCTGTTGCCTTGGCTGGCGGCGAGGCTTTCGTAGGATGTGCGACTGCGCCCTTTTGCGGAGACGGGACTTGGAAAATTCTTTAACTGCCTTAACAAGGCATTAGCGAGTATCAGCGTTCAATTCAACTTCATCCGTTCGGGGTTATCACACGTATTCAGTTCCGTACTGGTCCACTGCAAGATGGACCGCGCCGAATGAGCCTCTGCCAATCTCCTGCTTGATAACGTATTGATTGATGCGATGCTGCGCGCTGCCATCGTCTTGGCTGGTAACATATTCCGATTTGGCATTCAGGGATTCCTGTCCGGTTTAGCAACGTGAAAGCTCGAGGATGGTGAGAAGTCCGCACTTTGACCTGCCGGGGAGTGGAATGGCCGCGCTGGTGATGTCGCAAAGGGCTATCGTAGGCGGGAGTCGACCTGCGTATAAAGCATGTTAGATTGTTGGCACCATTTGGAGGGTGCAGGAACATCATACACATGCTTTACGGGAGAGGGTCGATACGCCGCAGGATGCGAGCCCGCCTGTACGGAAATGCCATGTGAGGGGACAAGACCAGCTTGTACCTCCTTCCCACCACTTTCCTTCCCATTCGGCTGGAGTGGGATAACGGTAGGAGAGGTCATGAAATCCATTGATGGTCAATCATTGATGCTAACACAGAACGACGTGAAGTGCGGCTCCCAGGAAATCGCCAAAAATGATGGAGTAGGTTGACAGGCAGAGCAGCAGCATTATCCAATGGAAGGTTGGGGGCCACCATACTATTAGCACAAGCTCGATTCGATAAGGGGCCGCCTCTTGGCGCTGTCAGACCGTTAGACAAAGGTCTCAGAGGAGTTCCATATGAATGTAGACATCACCGTTGGATCTATCTATGCTTTGTTCGTCGTCCGAGAAGACGCTACAAGTACACGACAAGTAATACGATCGACCGATCGGCCGAGCAATCTGCTGAACTACGGAGCTTCTTTGGGTATCGCAGAGTTCATCCGTCCGTTCGGATACGTCACTAACAGAGTAGAGTGTACAAGTCCTGACTCGTTTACTATCTTGGTCGTAGCTGGATTCACAACCCGCACAGTGATCACTGCCAGAAGCACGTTTCACATATCGAATGAGGCGAGCACTTGCCCCGTGCACGCAAGCTTGTCCTACGTTGAGCAGCTAACAAGGCAGCTGTAGGTCAAGGTAAGACCTTAACGTGGAAGAACGCTGGAAAGTCAGGATCCGCTTCCCTGAGCCATCCTGCCTCGTTTCCAAGCGCCGATATGTAGCCATATCTCATTGATAAGTTCTTCTTGCGCCATCTACGACGACTTTGGACCCACGATGTTCCGACTGTGGGGAATCCTCGCTAGCAACTCTGGTCTGAGAGATCTTATGTGTCATCTGCTCGTGATAACGTGGCCCGCATGCTCTCTAGACTTCCACGCAGACGATCGAGCTTGAAGGTATGTGCCGCTGTCAATTGCTTTCTTGATACCGTACAATCCACTGATCGGCCAAGTGTTCAAAATCGAGGTCGCCAGTGATGCATTGTCTTCTCCCTGCTCGGCTTCGACGTTGATCTTCACCTTCTCGTACACACTTGGTAATGAGGTCGCGTCGTACTTCTTGCGCAAGGAGTCGTACCACTCTTTATCGTACATCTTCCAAAACTCATCTTCGTCATAGTACGTATGTGCATACAACCATTTCATGCCCCCCAGCTCTCGAAGTTTATGCTCTAGGTCCCGATTGGCCTTTATGAAATCATCATGCCGGGCAGGTCCATAACCCCAGAGACCGATGTTAAGCATAGGTTTCAGGGTAACTCCGTCTTTTTCTGTCTCGTGCGTGTGAGGATGCATCGTTGGTTGTGGACTTTGCCGTAATGGACAGAGCCAGAGTGGATAGATCCCAAATGTCTTATCAGTATAATCAACAAACTTCTCGGCAGTTGAATATGGTAATGCCAGATCTTGTACCATGTATCTCTTCGATTGTCCACTAGCATGTAACGCTGTATACATCATCCGCGTGTGTAAAAAATCGTCCAGCCACCAACGGGTAAAAGCATTGAACGGCATGTTGAAGTACTCAAATGCAGAAGCCCCCACCCAAAAACCGCCCCGGTCATATCGGAATAGATATTCAGCCAACGGAATGGCTTCTGTTATAGGGCCCATCCTCTTTCTGACGTTGTCCCTTGCGTGCAGGTAAAACCAGGAGTCCTGAGCATCGCTGAAACGCTGTACCGAAATTCCATCCTTCGGTTTATCTGTCGAACGGCCTGTTATGATGACGCCTTCGCTTTTCGAAAACAGTATCCCGTCAACGTAGCCTAAAGTGGGATCTAAAGTGACCTCTTCAATCTTTTCTATTGCTTCGGACATGCTCGATACGGGATGGTAGGTTGTTTCAACGTACTTCTTCGCCTTCGTGAGCCGAAGCTCGACTAATGTGTTCACGCCGAGAGTCCCGACTGCACCAGCTGCGCCATGGAACAAATCAGGCTTCTCGTTATCTGAGCAGGTGACCACATCACCGTTGGCTAGTACCATCTCAACATGATTGATGGTGCGATTGAAAAACCCATGCTTGAAGGAACTGCTTTCGCCAGACGTCCCTGCATAGCCGCCACCTACCGTGATTCCAGGAAACTCCATGACAACGGGTGGGACCAAGCCATACTTCATTGTCTCTTCTACCAAGCGATCCATAGGTACGTTTGGTTCTACCAATGCGGTCTGGGTGACTGTATCAACCTTGAGAACGTTCGACAGGGCGCTCGTATCCACAATGTTCGTGCCTTTGCCAGCTGACTGCCGCGTGCTATTCGTTGAGCCGTGAAAGATACGAAATTTTTCTTTTCTCTCGTAGAATTTTCGCACGTTCGAAGAAATGCACTCAACAGCTCTTGCATGGCGATCCATACATGGTTCCGTAAGTGATGTGTGGGAAAAATGCCGTATGCATCTGATATTTCCTTGCCGGCGATAACATCTTGTAGCTGCAGATATTGACGGAGCAGAAGACATTCGCCTTGTGGCAGCCATGGCGATCCTGTGAAGCTTCATGGTTGAGGGATGACAGCAAATTGCTACAATCATGCACATGCTGGAAGCATTAGAGAGCACAGGCACCAGCGAACGCATTGTGGAACATGTGAGCAACTTCAAGATATCTAGTCGATACTAGGGTTCGTACTACTCCGGAGCTGGTGCCTTTAGAGTGTCATGGTGGAAGCGACTGCATGCGATGAGTAATGTTGACCCATGAAAATGTCAATTGCGATTGTAGCCGCAATTCTGTCCGCAAGACGCCATGCATTCGACGTGCACTAAATATAGCCAAGAAGGGCGCTATCTGCTAGCCACATTTCATCTTGAAACACTCATTGCATGGCTACCCCGAACTACTAGTAGGCAAAGAACATTTCCGGCATGGAAATTATTCTAAGCGAGCCTTGTAGGAAGCGTTGGTATGACCAAGAGCTCCTCTATCTTCTAAGCGATGCGGACGAACAGAGGTGCAGCATCCGAAGGTCAGTAGATGACACGGCACGCGGGAAATCCACAGACCTCACTATGTGAGCTGTGGGCTATCGAACTGAGTCGCTTATGTCTTCCAACATAGCACAATAGGTTCAAGAAGTCTCGTAGCATGTATCGTCGAGGACTCCAATACTACGGAGTAAGTACTTTATCCCCCACTGGCAGTGCAGTGCAATGGATTCTTCTTAGCGTTTTGTGCACTCTTGGCAGCCTTGGCAAGCAGAACAGCAAGATCGATGGATATCTTAAGCCATATTAGGAAGGTGGAAACATATCAGGAAAAGATTGGTAGATAAAGCAGTATTACAGGTATGGGCTCATGTTTAATATCTTAATCCATGCAGAGAATATCTCATCCCCTTAGAGACGAGATGAGATATAGATGCCAAGCCCAAGAAATGAAACCACCCACTTCCCAGAGGAGGGGGACACGTTAGCAAGGTGATGGTCATGTCTACAAAGCCCAACAAAATCGTTGCTTTTCCTCAACTCGCTGACACCTGTTTCATCTCATAAAGCCCTGGGTGTGCCTTGCAGGCTGCTTGCAACGCCAATATAATCCTGTTGCTCCTTTCGAATGCATCCCTGACTAGCAAAATACTGTTTCATCTCTCAACTTGCGACTCATCTGCGGCAAAGTGTGGCAAAATTGCAGCATGGCGGAAAGCATTTGATATCCCACGTGCCTCACAATGCAAGCCGTCTTGATCACATGTACTATTAGCAGCTAAGTCTCTGGGGAGGCCTTTCTTCTCCGGCAGTGTGCCTATATACTGAACCTTGTCAAAAATCATACCATCCGGCCATTCTAGCTGAGCCTTTTTATACGTTACCAGATAAGCGTGTGCGCCATGGAACTATGGCTAACTTCACGACAAGAGCGGACTCGGATTTGGCATACGGCTGGGTTGTTCAGCCAGACGGCCGCGGAACAATCGATATCCTCTACAACTGTCTGGTCACAACTTTTTTGTGTAGTTGGTCGGCACTGTTCCTAAATATACCAGCGGAGTATATAGGACCTCTAGCATTCGTTGCCCACAAGTTACGATTCATGATCTTCGCTATAGCATTCCCAGAAATGCTTACAGGGATGGCCGCAGAACAATGGAGATCAGCCTGTCAATCAGTCGAAGATTTTTCTCAACTTGCAAAGCGCTGGGAGTCGGCCTCGCGACTCTGTCAACCATTCGGGTCCGATTCGCAAGCAAAAGAGAATCTCAATCGGTTGAAGTGCTCCCCATGGACAATGCGGCATGCTTTCTTTGCAGATATGGGTGGCTTCCTGTTAGACTGTCCGGGCTGTCGGCCTTTCCCAATCGATGCCCAGCAACTCTTATACGTGGTAGAGAATTACTACCTCGAATACCCCAATGTCGAGAAGAGGACAATTGAGGACAGGGACAAGGCTGATGGTTTTGCTCGAGCCATTACTTTGACACAAATCGTTTGGTTCCTTGTGCAAAGTCTTGGTCGCACGGTCCAGCATCTTGACCTTTCCACGATTGAGTTGTCGACCTTGGCCTTTATATTCTGTACCTTGAATACGTTCTTTTTCTGGAGACACAAGCCTCTCGATGTGGTAACACCAATTGTACTGTCATGCTCCACCCCTATAGAAGAAATATTAATCGGAGCTGGCAAGGGACCTCAGAAGCCATATTCGCAAACACCATTAGACTTTGTGAAGCCTCCCGTGAGTCGAAGGAGTCTTTGTGCCCCATTCTGGTTTGGTATTAAAACTGTCCTCGACTGGCGCGAAAGGAGCAATGATTTGCCGATCAAGGCTTTCGAGAATAGCAGGACAATACCTCCTCGCGGGCTTGCAGCGGCAGACCTGGTGTTTGCAATTATCTTTTCATTTTCATACTTTGGCATACATCTGGCAGGATGGAACTTTGTCTTTCCATCAAGGACTGAACAATTGCTCTGGCGTGTATCGAGTCTGACACTTCTGGGTCTGTTGGTAATTTACCTGGCCGCTGTCGTCTTTGGGACGGTGATGGGCGGTTGGCTCGCGAGGACGTTTTTCGACAACTATGAGGAGACGACGATCTTGGGCGTGGGTAGCTTGCTACCAAGATGGACAGCCATCTTGTTTCATGGACCCGTGGTTGCAGCATACGCTCTTGCACGAATGTATATCATTGTGGAAGGGTTTGTCAGCCTGCGGAGTTTGTCTTTTACTGCCTTTGCAAGCGTTGACTGGTCGAAATTGGTTGGAGGGACCTGAGTCTTCATCCACCCATAGTTACCTTACTCCGATCCCTTTGCAAAGGAAGCGGCAAGATGGCCTGTGAGATCTCTTGCCCTTCCAAAGACCTGGCTCAGATAACAACAGCGAATGTCGCCCAGGCCAGCGACTGAGGAAAGCTCTCCGGACACAGCGAAAGCCACTTTAGCTAGCTAACAAGCAAGCCTGGGGTCTTTTAGGCCTTGGTGGCTGCGTACATGTACTGAATGAATCATGGTGTATTTATTGGCTTCTGCCAGAGTGACGGCCGGTATTCAGTAGTTGTTCTGATCTGCAACCGTGAAGTCAGGTTTGAAATATTCTGAAAGATATTGAAGAATATCGTGATCGCAGAAGCAGCTGGCAGCCTCGAGAAACAAGTTCAACTGAAAGTGGAGCCAAGGATTTTCGAGAGCTGATGAAGTAAGCTGAGAAGGCTTAGCTCCGCGTGTTTGCAGCATCTACGTAGTAGCCCTAGCATGGCTAACTCACTACGTAGTAGTGAGAAGTGAACTTCAGTTCTCATCGTCCTTTCTACAATTGGACCGGCCGGGTCAGTTGTCACGATGGTGGTCTATTCATTCTATATATTTGACCGTCACGGTCAGTATGTCGCTACAATTGACGCCACTGAGCACTGACTGCTTACAGCGGACTGTATCTACAAGCGGAGATGGTTGCCTACAGCTTCCACACCAAGTAATTCAAGTCGGCCCGTTTCAGAGGCGACGACGGATGGCAATGTTGCTCGATCCCGAAAGGCCCTGAGTGCTGAGGATGATGCCAAGCTTATATTCGGCACTGTCTTCTCCTTACGGAATATGGTACGAAAGCTTGGGGGAGAAGATGATACGTAGGTGGATGGCAGAGCTGTTGGTGGCCTAGCTAACGATTTGACTCCAGCTTTCTTTCATATCGAACCTCGCAGTATAAGTTACACTACTACGAGACACCAACAAATGCCAAATTTGTCATGTTGACTGATACGAAGTCTGGGTCTATGAGAATAGCTTTGCATCAAATATATGTCAGTATCTATGTCGAGTATGTGGTCAAAAACCCTCTGTCGCCGGTCGAACATCCTGGAGGTATAGGTGTCAACAATGAACTGTTCGAGATCACATTGGAGCAATTCGTGGTACGTTCCACACATCCACCAATCAATGCGCTGCGGGCGTTCCGTATTTGACTGCTCACACACTAATTAGGATCGAGTTCTGAACGCTACATCCTGATCTGTATCACTTGCCACTTCAAAGCTGCATGTCGCAAGACCACAACGAGGGCAAGACCGCTGGAAGCCACACAGATTCCACGCGGCCCGTGGCTCCAGCAGCTCACGTTTCTGCCTTTTCCAGTAAAGCCCGTAAAGTTGAACAACATGACTTTGGCAGATGACAGAACTTTCGAAGTACCTCTAGAATATGCATCAGCACTACCACCGCATTGAATGAGGCTCTTTGATATCAGAATCACATCTTGTAATATTATAGCTGCCATATGTTTATTAGGCAGTCGCGACACCAGCAACAGCAATTGCGCTACGTTGAGGCCTCCGCCTTTCCAGATTAAGAGTTGCGAGATAGTGCGCCTCTCAAGACGGAGACAACACGGCCCCAAAACCGAAGACCCTTTTCCCCGTCATCAGGAAATCTTCAGGACAGATGTATGATTCACGCAGCTTACTACGTAAGCGTTACCAGAAAGCGGAAAACGTCAGAAATTCTTGGGCATTCGGCCTGCACAGGGAGACGCTGATCGCCTGGCTGGAATGTCGTGACAGCGGCATTTAATCAGCTTATCCTACTTTTGGTGTGACGGCCATACATACTCTCAGCAACATGCACGGAAAAGTGTGGCACTGATCCCGGTCAAGGTGTAACCCAAAGCTCTCTTGCCTAGAAGCAAAATAAAATGAGCTCAGAATGGACGATAATAACAAGCACATCCACTCCTCCATAGAACCCTAGCCCACGGATATCCGAAGGACTGATTGCTTTCTTGTTTCTTCAGCAAATCCATGGCTTCGTCAACACCTGAGATGAGATATATCTACCTCTCATTCGTAAGCGTACCTTGTAACTTACCGTAAGCTTGCTCGAGCCGGAGCGTTATCCGAAAATCTGCACCCGACCAATCACAAGCCGCATAGTCCAGTCTCAAGAATTGGAATTGCAAAATCAATTGTCGATCAGCCTCGCCTGTGCCTTCCTTTACAGCAGCTTGGTTCGTGACTGGCGTCTAATATACGCCCATCATGCGCGCACGGCTGCAACCTGTGAGGGGTCGATCTGGCAGGGGTTCCAATTCGGTTCCGAAAACACGTAAAGTCGGTCTCCGAGTACGATATGGTGAAACGTCATTGCTACGATCTTCATGATAGAGTAGACAAGCATCCAAACTAACACGAACAACTTGAAAACGTCGAAAATATCACATATCCTATCTGGGCGCATAGGTCGCCTAACCTAGTCAATACGAGACTGCGAAGCAGAAACGAGAAATTTATGCTAATAATGGCTGTGATCCATAGTACGGGTATCATGGGAGATCCCATATCAACGTCAAATCTTGTCATCCCTTCGGGAGTCCAGGCAAGGGACTGCAACCCTCACTGCACGTCTTAGGTCCCCAGCCGAGCCGATTCCAACCATCTGGTATCTGTCGAGCCGGAGCATTCCAAAGTTACACAGCTGGATAGACCATGGATAAAGCGAAGATAATCGAATGCTGTGTAAGTCTAGGCAAGAGCTGAACAAAGCTGGACCTCTTGAGCCAGATTTAGGCTGGGAGCCGTGTAAGACCTCGGTGGGGCATTTGCGCCCACCATTTTAGCCATGCTAGGCTGCACGATTACTGCATCGCCATCGCAGTAGAAACTTCTGCTGGGATATTATCGTGGACGCTGAGCCGCGTTTGGGACAAGAACCCTGTAAGGAAGGGCTATCTTAAGTGCAAGGCCATAATAGAGCATGTTGGTAAGAATGGGGCCATAAAATCCTGTCGCTGTGATTGCTCTCCGTAAGAGCAATGCAATTGGTCGAGAGGAGGAAATTAATATGCGCAGCAAACATGATCATTCGATTGTTCATTTGTGATAATCTCCAAATGCACAAAGCGAGGCGACGAGTCTAATCCGAAGACGGTGCCGTCCGAAAAGTGGCCATGATGACTCTGAGCTAGTTAGTAACTTGACGCTTCTTTCGGACTTCACTAAAAGCTCAGCGTGTTGCAGACCTGCAGCTGGAGCTCGCATCCCAGAGAACTTACCACTAACTATGGTACATAGTACATGACTGGGTGTACTAGCCGACTACGAGTTGGCTTGTCCCTGCCACACGGTCCCAGCTGTCAGGGGCAAAGGTAGTAGGCCCAATCATGCCGGGTTGCATTGTTCGCCGAGTCCACCAGAATTTAGCCTTGCTGGTTCACCGGTTGGTCCCTGGCTGGTGTGGTCCAGGTAAGAGGCAGGCTAGAAGTGCCGCCCACTACTACCACCATCACAACGTCCTCCCACCACATCTAATTTGTCCCGACGTTTTACCCCCCATCAGTCAATCAACGCCCCATAGCACCTTGTCACCAGGTCCGCACATGGCACCACTGCCATTCAGCATGGTTATTGGTAATGGCTAAGGGCCCTTTCACACGGCCGGACCATGATCGTCGCCTATCTTGAGATCCACCTTGCCTAAACCGGCTGATTCACGCTGCCTGTTCTGTGCATTGCAGCTCTTAGTACACTAACCATCCTTCCACCAGTCTGCCCTATCCCACTGGTATCGAAATACATTGTCACTTTCAGCTTTTCTCCCCAGTCTCTGTACAAATCTACCAACTGTTAATATCCTTTTCACTCTCTTCGTACTTCCTCCAAACACCACTTTCTGCTCTTCTCCCCAGTCTCTGTACAAATCTACCGACTGTTAATGTTCTTTTCACTCTCTTCGTGCTTCCTCCAAACACAGTCGCTGTCCGATCAATCTCTCGCCATCTTGTGTCACGCTGAGCTCGGGAACCATAAACCGGGGTTATTGTCGTGTGCCAGTATTCGGACACATGATATTCCCCCACGATCCGGTCGATTTCCTTCCATAAGACTATGAGCAGATCCTGGATAGAATAGCGGCGTGGAAGAGAATTGGCATTCTACAATGACTACGACGCAACGAGGGCTCTGCCCTGCTCCCTTCTATCAAGAAGACATCTTTCCTGCCAACGGTGGATGTAGGTCATCACGGCTGTTTCATCAAGCAGAGTACTAAATTGGTAGCAGTTGTCTCCGGCCGCTTCTGCCAAACGTCCTCTACTCCAATAGGCAACATCTCATGCTGTCTGCCTTGTCCTGCTTACGACTGGACGTACTCAGATGGTACGTGTGGAGGGCTACACCGCAGTGCACCAGCTGACAATCACAGGATTCATCCAACGAACCGAAGCCGCCAACTGGTTGAACGTGGCAGCAATGGTGGCAACCATGTTTTGCCTTCTGTCATTTTTTATTCTCCCTGTGAAATGGACACATCGGCACTATCTGAGCATATGTCTGGCACTTGGAGTGGGTTTTATGGAGGTACGTTCGATCGAGCGAGGGATCATCGCCGCATACGCTGATTTTCAAAGCTTGCATTCATCGTGCCTCTGGGATCAAAGCCTGAGCAGTGCTTCAATGCCATCACGCCAAACGATATGCGATCAAGTACCTCGTGCGCCTTTAGTGGAGCCTTTCTCCTGTTCGGAGGCTGGGCTGCGGTCATGTGGGTTTTCTGGAGAGCTCTTTCGCTACATCTGCAGATATGCTGGGAAGTCGTACCCGGGAATACCTTTTTCTATTCTGCCCTTGCTTTTGGCTGGGGTATTCCAGCAATAGCTCTGGCTCTAGCCCTGAGCCTGACAGGAGTGTCTTATCGCTTTGGAACTGTCTGCCACATCAACCACACCAACGGCCTACAAGTGTTCTGGGGTCCATTGCTTGCCTTTGCAGCGGCATCTCTCATCATCCAAGGCATTACCTTCGGCTATTGCATCCAAGTCTACGTGAAGTCTTTGCTTGACGATGATCCAACAACAGACGTTAGTTCCGGGCTTCCTTCCTATTCAGGGAGTGTTCGAACGAGGACTGCCCGACAGGCAGTCAGAAGGGTGCAGAAGGTCATCCAGTTACAATGGAGAGGCGTGGCGGTTGTCCTGATCATCATTGCTGAAGTCATCTTCTTCGCAGTGGTCTTTGTGTCGATGGACAACAACATGATATCCACTGAAGCTGATGCAGACAAGGCCCGCCCGTGGCTGAGGTGTCTGAGAGAATCAGGAGGCAGGAAGGCTGAATGTGTACATCTCGCCCGTGAACTCGTAGTCAAGGAATCCACTATCCTAGCCGTCTTGGTGTGTCTTGCAGTAAGTCAGCCCTTTCCGCTTTTTGTTCTGTCTAACAATATCACAGCTGAGTGGCTTCTGGGTGGTCCTCCTCCTCGGCCGCTGGTCGATGGTGTTGGGCTGGATTGACCTTTTCAAGCGACGCTTTAGTCGCCAACATGAATTTGTTTCCGCTGATGCTCGGCGACTCTCGAATGATCCCCGAACTTACGAAATGCTCAATTCCGTAACGTCTCCACAGACGGCTGTGAAAACGCCCGAGCGCGCTGCAATGAGTCCGAACTCACTTTCTGTGACCCAGAGGTCGCCGGGCGTCGATCAAAAGATAGATTACTTTGGACGAGAGGCGAGATATCAAAGTCCAGCCACAAGCTTCTCCTCACCCAGGCCACCAAGTGCCGGTGGATGGCCCCGGGATCGCCCAGCAACATTCTCCTCGCTAGGATCTCCAAAGGAGATGAAGGAATAAGACGAGCACTTTTGATTCTACGATTACTGTTCTTCTAGCGAGCCAAGGCGTTGGTCATTACTGAATTAAGAACAAAACCACTGCATCTGTCAACATTGCATAAGAGCCATGCTGTACGATTACTAGTGGATTGTGATGAAATTCATTTCTCATCACTAAAAAGCAAGAAGCAAGATATCGAAATGGTGGTGGCGATGTCGTATTAGGGCAAGGGCTGATGCACACATACACTGTAACCATTATACGTACATAGTAAGCAGAACAAAGAACACAATGAGGCAAGGACCTCACTATTCTAGTTCCACAGCATTGATGAAGGACTCTTCATGAGTGAATCCCATGGCCAGCAACATGGCATCGAAGACGACAACTGGAACATTCATTCTTGCCATCATGCAGGATACTGCATGTTTGGAATGTGCAGTGGCACAGCCCGATGTGACATGCATGGATTCCCTTCTCCTTGGGTATCCCGTGCAGGATGCCTGCGTGCCTCCATGCGGACATGCCCATGTTGGTGGTCTTGACTCAACAAAGTTCCTCCCTGCATCTTGCGTCAATTTCTCTGTTTCAAGAATGTCTTTTTACTGAAAGGTAATATTGCCAAGCATGAACCCGCAGCCTCGCGAATTCTCTACCTTGATATTTGCGCCCCTGTTTGAATACCAACAACAGCTACGCCGCTTCGAAGGAGCACATCCGCTTATAACGCGGGGAGGGTGGATGAGACAACGGGTCCCTGAGAAATCCAACATGGACGTGCCAATCAAAACAGCCTGAGTCAAGAGACTAAGGTTGATCCAGCCGTTCTTCTGGAAGGAAATTGACCCGTTCTCGTGCAAGTGCAAGCGGCGTGAGCATCGTTGGACAAGGCGCGAAACCACCGTGGCACTCGAGGCATTTCTTGATGCTTTGATAGACGAGCGGAATCGAACCCGAACCTTGTGCATTGTGACTGATTTCTGCTCTACGGACGAACCAGAGATCAGTTTGCTTGTTCCAACTAACTGTTGGAAAGGTGGAGAGTACTATATAGTTCCATGGGTTCGGATCCCACCAATTTCCATGGTCCTTTTTGCCTCTCCCCATGAGTCCATGATGACCCTAACTTACTCCGAAATTACAAATCTGGATATTCCCCGTCTATCGTTGATTCGTCTAAGAAGCGATAATCTGTTCGTCTTTCGGGGGGCCGTCCCTTTCCGCCTAGGTCTTATCAATCACAGTGGGGCAATCAGTGATGGGCACCGTTGCATGCTTATTGCGCCGATTGACCTCGGAGAAAATTGCATTTGCAACCGCATTGACGAAGTTAGTTAGTAACCTGTTCCGGCAGCTGCACCGCCTTAAACGCCGTTTCGCATGGTTCGGCACCCAGCACGCCATGGGTCGTACGTACTACTACCTAGTACTGTTCGCGCTAATCATCAACCAACGTCCTCAGGGGCGGACTGACTCACGTACTTACTACGTAAGCAAACTCACCTTTGGCATGTTGGTGGGTGCTCAAGCCCAAAAAGAACCCACAAGGTTGACACTTGGAAGGACGAGCGAACGACTAACCCGGCGGTCACAATAAGCACGTGTCGATAATGAAGCAAGATGTTGTTGTCGCCGGAAGACCTGGCTGGCAGAAAGGAAATATGGCAGAATTCTCAGGAAGCGAGCAATCTCGATTCTCCCGTGAATCAGCTTACCGTAGATTGGGCGAGGGCTCAAGGAAGCTTCTCCACCGTTGTGACATCTAGCCATGGCGACATTCTATCTCGAGCTACACATCTTGCACAGTCCCTGTTAAGACACTCCAGGGGAATCTGGAGTGGAGCTCTGGGAGCTTCGGCATTCGATTCCTCAATGTCGTGAAACGCTGTTATTATGCGAAAGGAGAACATTATTTGACAATTCTCCAGAACACCCAAGGTTTCCATTGCTGACCCTGAAGGAGATGTGGCCTGCAAGGCCATTATCCAGTGTCTTCACAATTGAACAGCCTTTGAGGGCCCCAGACCTGCTGCTGGCCCGCCTGTCTGCTTCAGATAGTCCGCCCAGGCTCTGGCTAGGGTCAAAGCTCAAGCAGGTACAGACAGTATTATCGAGGAGAGCTCACCCGTGTTTATTCTGACCGAGTTTCTGTCAATTATCTGGCGTGGTGCTGGGAGCAACGGGGAAATTCCATGTCTCCAGCACTTCTACTGAGAAATTTCACGGCAGAGGACAAAGAGTTGATCGCACGATGTGTCGATTTCAAACATTACACAGTTTTGTTTGAGAGGGGTGTCCTGCACGGTCAAGAAGTTGAGCTTCTCTGTCAGTGGTGGCTTTCATGCCTCTACTGTCAATGGCTAGGACTAAAAGGCCGTCATAGCAGGACCGACTGCAGCACGATTGCGTATGGATGCGATTTCATTCATCAATGAGTGGTACAGCGCATGTGAAACAGAGTGCTATACTAAACTAGGCCCTTCGAGAATTGTATTGGGGGAGGTAGTATTGGGGAAGTTGGGCATGTTCTCGATACGACGATGATCGAATCGGAATCAGATATTTACCGTTCTACTAATCGAGAAGAGGTGCTCCCTGACGGCGCTCGACTAAATTATGGATACGCAGGTGACCGGTACGGAGAGATTTGATGGCGGTGTTTGTTCTGGGCGGCCGTATGGATGCGAGCAGAGGCAAAGCGGCTAATAGTATGTACTTCTCAACACGTGATGATTATTTGGGATATGTACCAGTAAAAGGCATAGGACCATTCGCATGGAACGTTTTGACGAAGCATGAGCTCTCCAGCTTCGGAGTAGTTTCGATCCTCCTTTTGTAAAGAATGGAGATTTCTTCAAGGATAAAGATATTATGTTACTTGTACGCATATCTCAAGGCAGAAAGATTGCTGTGTCACCCTCAGCTCCATTTCGCTTGATATGTTCATCGTCTCAAGCTGAGATGACTTGACTTCGCGTAAGCCCGGGGGATGCCCAGGTAGCTGCATAGAAAGGTTGTCGAACATGGTCCGAAGGCGCATACACGGACGAGGAAGTCTGAACACTTTCAGAGCTTGTCTAGAGTCGGGAACTACAGCTTGGTATGAGTACCCAAGCTAGATAAGCCAGCAGCAGTTGCCACTTTATCCTGGAGGTCCAGCAAAGACACGTTATGCATTACTACTACAGCATTCATATCCATCGGAATGCCCCGTGTTGATGGCATAAACGACCGTCTACTCGGAAGAACTCGTCCTTTGAGAATACCCGAGTACTACCGGTAAGAAGTACCAGATTCCCAATCGAGTTAGCGATCCCATCAGCCAAGCGCAGCCCCACTTCCGGGAACGTACCGGCTCCAACTACTACCATTTAGGTTTACATGTCTCCAAGGTGCCCAAAAGAACACCTGGGAGTGTGCTTGGCTACCCTTTGGATGACCGAGATCCCTCCCCCGGATTCACATGTCCCAGGTCTTTGGAAAGATAAATTAAATCTTCAGTGGGGAAAGAAGCTCCTCAGTCAAGTTGACCTCGACAGCCTCTAATTGCTTCCTCAACCATTGTCTCAGCTCTTCATGGTCCCATGCATTTGTCTTCGTTCCAGTAGAAATGGCTTTCACAGGTGACAACTTCAAGGGAAAGCCAATGACCTCGACCGTGCAGCATTCTTCCAACGGCTTTGTTGATAAGCAGCCAGTCTTCAACCACAAGGAAGCAATCGGTGAAGAGACAGCCCACCAGGCTGCAGAGCGAGGTCGCGCCGCGACTGACAAGTCAGTGCTCACTCTTTCGTCCTTCAAACTTATGTGCTGACAGCTTTATCAGGTATGGCAAGTCGCTTGTGCACTTCGATGCAGCTGCTGAAGCCAGGCTTCGCTTAAAGATCGATCTCTACATAGTTCCCACTGTCGCCATTCTCTATCTATTCTGCTTCATCGATCGTGCCAATATCGGTAGGTATCGCCTTCACTAAGTGACGAATTCTGTTTCTCACGATGTTCCATTTTAGGAAATGCAAGACTTGCTGGATTCGAGAAGGATCTGGGTCTGAAAGGGTACGACTACAACATGGTTCTTTCTGTCTTCTACGTCTCCTATATCATCTTCGAGATCCCTTCCAATATGGCCTGTAAATGGATTGGCCCTGGGTGGTTTATTCCAGCTCTCTCTCTGGGCTTCGGTATTTGCTCCATCTGCACCGCTTTTGTGAATACCAAGGAGAGCGCGTCGGGAGTCCGATTTCTCCTTGGTGTCTTCGAAGCTGGCATGCTGCCAGGTATTGCATATTATATGTCCAGATGGTACAGAAGAAGCGAGTTGACCTTCCGCTTGTCTCTGTACATCGTCATGGCTCCGCTTGCTGGTGCATTTGGTGGTCTTCTGGCCTCCGGCATCCTTAAACTTCCCAACTTTGGTGGCCTTCGCGCCTGGAGAATGATCTTCGCCATTGAGGGCATCATTACCTGCGGCCTGTCTCTGATTTCCTTCTTCACATTGACCGACCGTCCCGAGACTGCAAGGTGGCTCTCTCAGGATGAGAAGGATCTGGCAATCGCACGTGTCAAGTCAGAGCGGGTTGGCGCCACCGAAGTCTTGGATAAGATCGACGTCCCAAAGCTACTTCGCGGTATATTCAGTCCGATCACTCTTTCCACCGCCTTTATATTTCTTCTTGACAACATCACAGTCCAAGGCGTGGCTTTCTTCGCCCCCACCATTGTGAGGACAATCTATCCTCGCGACAGCGTTGTGTCTCAGCAGCTGCACACCGTACCTCCTTATGTGGTCGGCTCGTTCTTTACGGTCCTCTTTCCTTACCTCAGCTGGAAATTTGACCGACGCAATATCTTCTTCATCACCTGTGCACCCTTCATGATGGTTGGCTACGTCATGTTTCTCGCCAGCATGAATCCTCAGGTTAGGTACGGAGCCACTTTCATCATAGCAAGCGGAGCGTTTGCGTTTGGAGCTCTCTGTAATGCCCAAGTTGCTGCCAACGTCGTGTCGGACACTGCGAGATCCTCGGCCATCGGCACTACGGTTATGTTTGGCCATATTGGTGGGTTGATCTCAACATGGAGTTTTCTGCCTGGCGATGCTCCCAATTATCCTATCGGTAACGGTCTGAACCTCGCAACGTCAACAACCCTCTTTATCCTAGCCATTCTCATCCTTCTCTGGATGATTGCGGACAATAAAAGGAGAGCTAAGAGAGACGTTGATGCTGAATTGGATGGGCTCAGTCAGAAGCAGATTGAGAACCTTGACTGGCGCCATCCAGCTTTCAAATGGAGACCCTGAAAAGCAACGGCCAGCTAGACTATGCCTCGCACCCCCATTCAGGCAAATAGCGGATACGGGGGGCTATCATCTTTTTTATCTTCAAAATTTTGAACGTCTGTAACGTCGACAAGACGCATGGTTGTGTGAATATACTACTAGGCATTCTATAGTCTCAGAATGCATCAGCTAGTACAAGCAAATGAGCGCTATATTCTAACTAGTACTCCGTACCTACCTCGGCCTTGCAATGCTCATCATTTTTCCACTACTAGTACTACTCCGTACTCCGTGAACACCCCCAGCTGCCAAGATTTTGGGAAGCTTCCAACTTCCCGCTCCCTGCTCCCCACTCCCCATTCCCCACTCATCGGCCCCCTTGGCCCCTGTAAACAAAGGCAATCCTTTACAACTCTCATACGCTCGAGCCATTCTTCCTTTCTACACCCATTGCAATAGGTTCCCACCTTAGAAACTACCCTCAATGCCGCCGCGCAACTCACGATCTCCGTCACCACCACCGTCATTGCCAATTGCGTCCAGCCCAGGCCCGCGCTTCCTTGCGCTCCAAAAGATCTTCACCCAAGCCCTCACATCAACCTTGAAGACCAGCTCCTATGCCAATTTCTCCAAATGCTTTCCCACGCCTGCACAACATTGTCCCACTGCACTGGAAGGAGTATGGAAGCAACTGAACGCGAAGTTGGAAGAAGGGTGCATGAAGGAATTCGAAGCGATCGTGTTTGAGAAGAAGGTGATTGAGGGGTTGAATGGCTGGGATGCGGTGGTTGAGGATGCGAAGAGGAGGATCGCCAGAGGTGTTGAAGGGGAGGAGGTGCACAGGGCGTGAGTGCGATCACATACATGGAGTGTCATGCTTTTACATTGATTTGCTGACTGTGATAGACCACATACGTTGTCAGTGGAGGAGTTGCACATTGCACACCTTACGCCCTATCTACAGCAGGCTACAACGATGCTGGAGGCGAGGTTGAAAGACACCCAAGAGGAGAACGGGACGCTGATGCGGAGAATTACGGAACAACGGGTGGAGATGGAGAATCTTGTACAGGGGTTAGAAGGAGTTGTGGCAGATCTCGAGGATAGCATTGAAGCTATGAGAGACGATGGGGAAGGAGGTGTGGATGGATTGAGAGCTGAGATATGGGAAATGGAGGGTGAGATGCGGGGCCGCTGCTAAAGGATGACCAAGATATGCCCGCGCTCGCTGCAGATACGGGGTTGAAGGGCACGAAGTTCGAATGTGCGAACAGGGTCGGCTTCCGGATTAGCATGGCGTTGTAGGAGTTTTCTACCCCAGGTGTGGTGAAAGACATGGTACCGTTCTTGACAGCGCTGTCCTGCTAGACGCAACCATCGTGCCATGCAGCTCTGCCCCTGTCTCCTCCCAATACGGAAGAGCTCTGAGCAGAGCAGACACGATTATCTACCAGCCTCACAAAGCTATGACAGATTGCCCCTGCAAAGGGATACAAACCAGCAATGGATATGACAGATCCGGGCGGAAGAGTCTCACTCGAGTACGAAAAGAAAGCCTAAGGTCCAGTTACCGTCAAACCAATCAACGCACTCGAACGAGAGGTTGCAGAGAACTAAGAACTATTTTCATAGCTAAAGGTTGGCCCCATCCGATGTTGTGACTCGCCTAAATACAATTGTGCCTGCAGGAACAGTTGCTTTTTTGCTAAGCATGCCATACCTATTCTGTGCTTCTGCAACTAGTTAGAACAATATTGGGCATTCGTGCTCGTGCATCCTGGCAGTTTGGAGGGTAACACAATCCACTATCGTCTGTCCGAAAAGACGTCCAATGCGTTGATTCTTGTAAATTGTACGGAGTGTCGGTTTTCTTTAGTGGGTTGCCGAATTGCATATATAACCTAAGCGATACCACTCCCATGACGCTGAGACCACTATCCTATTTAACTAACTACTACGTACATCTCCAATCTTACTTCTATCCGGAACACGCGACGGGCAAGGATCCCGCGGGCTATAATCAATGCCTTATGCACACCTGCTAGGCTGGCTGCACAACAGGTCGAGACTTCTGCAAATATTGATCGACAAGGCCGACCACACAGAGGCCGCGATTTGACGCAGGTAATTGACGCTTAAGCTTTGGTAGTATGGCGCAAGATGCGGGATTTGACTCACTTGGGGGGAGATTGCAGCCTCCTCCACGGCTTCTTCTTTGACTTGGATCTTACTGCTTATGCCCGGCCGGGATGTCGAATCTTTCTAGATCGACAACCAGGATGTCCGCTTGTACCTATCCCGTACCTACCCTGTACCTATCCTGTACCTACCTGTACCTACCTGTACCTCCCTGTACCTCCCCTGCTCTTCAGCCCTCTATCAATGGTTGAGAAGCCAACTCAGACACGCTAGTTTTCTGCAGGCCGAGAACGCGTCAGGGTTCCAACAACCCGACACCACCATGATGCACGACTCTCCAGCGTATTCTCATTCTGCTCTCTGCTCCTCTTTGATCTACTTGGGAAGAAGTCTTGCTGGAGCTGCTGCAGGCTGCGTGTCACTGCAGTATTGCTCTTCTCTACATGCTTGGTGCCAATAAATCTCTCTTTTCTGTTGATCTGCGTCGATCACCAATCTTATTGGTCTGTTCAACCAGTGACCTCACATAACCCTCTTCCTCATCACCTCCACAACAACACAGCCAGGCTGGCACCGTGCTTCGTCAGAAATTGAACAGCTTGTAGCTGTATCGAGCGTCTATCGAGCGAACGCACATAATCTCCCTCGAAGACACGCCGAGACAACATCGTGTCGGCTTCAATTGTTCGTCGTCGCCACCCAACAGCTTCGAGTCTTCCTGCACGACAGTGATCAATTCCATTGCCGCCGCCTCAATGCTTTCCATCCATGAGGTACATTTGTAGAGCCAACAGTCCTTGGTGACAGGTCTTGTGACGGATCATCGACTCTGCTGAGAACCCCAGCCGGAGGAACAAGACAAGACCACCAACGCTCTTTCCACGCCACTATCCGTCCTTCAACATGTTCATTGTTCAAGAGCACGTTGTGGCGTGGGCCCTGGCCGGGCTGAGTCTTGTTCTGCTAGTCATTGCAACGATACTGAACGCGATCTTCGCGTTTTCTCTTCACAGCTCAGTCGCAACTATCCAGTTACTTGCGTTCATGGCCCTTGCAATAAATATGTTGGCAATCTGTAGCTTCAGCTTCATGATCTCCCATTACATCCCGAAGTTGAACGGCGCATCGACAAGATGGTCTGATGCTTTGGTTTGGCGCTTCTTCGGCCTGTCTCTTTCAATCGCCTCCGTGGCAGCTTTGTTGACGTTCATCACATTGGTCTGGGCGGCAGTCAGACTGGCTGATCTGCCGGATCAAATTGTTGGACGACCATCAAGAAGTGATTTGATTGCTTGGTTTGCCATCTGGAGTATTTGCGCGGTGCTGCAGACTGGGACGTATGCTTTCGTCGGGTGGTGGACCAAGCGTGCCCTACACAGCCACTCTCTTGCTGCCGTGGATCTTGAGTTCAATGTTGAATCGCCGGAGATGGAACACCCTCCTATTCAGCCCCGACCAACCTCTGGCTCTTTCCGATCAGAAGATCCCACTCTCGCATCCCCACCACAGACACCCACAACAATTGGCATGTCTAGTCCTTTCAGATTGTCTCATTCTGGGGGCAAGGGTGGGCCTACGTCTTCCCGTACGAGGCTGGTACATTCAACATCATTCACCAAAGACTCTGCCAAGTCATCCTTCGATTGTCCGTCAGCTGAAGCTGTGTCGATTGATCATCCCTTTGACAATTGGGATACCTCTGGCCTTGCGCGTGATGTGCGTACAACCTTACACTCCACGCCGCCAGTTACTCGATCAGGCTTGGCAACCATCCCAGGTAGTAGACCTGAGTCACCTGCCAAAGCACTGGACGGACCATTTCTGCCAGAAACACTCAGCGCCGCAGCGTCAGCTCCTTCCACGGCTATAGAGAGCCATGGTCATTCCAGTTCACATGAAGCCGGCATCTCATCACCACCATCAAGCCCACCAAATTTCTCCCGCCCATCCTCCAGGCAGGTCAACCAACCTACCATGAGCTCTGCCCTGCATCAAGCCGTTGTTGAAGGCTCCGTAGAGGACATGATTCATCCTTTGTTTCGACCAAGCAGTCCACATCCGACACCAACAGCCTCGGTCGGAACCAGGGTCACTGCCTCGCCATTGGCTGGACAATCAATTACTCCGAAGATCTTGATCCGGATGAGGTCTGCGAGCATGCCTCAGCAGTCTCGACCGCTGATCGAAGAGGAAATGCCGCCGCTAAACACCGAGTCTGACTCGAGCAGAACTGATGCAGGAAGCCCTGGCCCTTCCATTGTTGAGGACGACGAATCAGGAGCAGTCATTCCTGACTTCGTTCTCTCAGCCGGACAGCGGAGCAGTTATGCAGGATATGACAGACGAAAATCGGTCAAGAGCAGGCCAGCTTCATTTCACTCGCAGGGAGACCGGTTGAGCATGGTCTTGTTATGATGATGGGAAACAAAGGCTTCCACGAGCAAATGATAGCAGGTGAGGTTTGCGGCTTCTGACACCGCTTCGTTTTTATTCTATGTTGATATTAGCGCGGCGTTTGACGGGTTGAGGGCATCTGAGGGCATCTGAACCGGAAAGGGACATGGGTAATGAAGGTGGGTATAAACCCTGGTGGAATGGTATAAGCATGCTAAAAGCAATGCTAAAAGCAATGCGAAACGCAATACTATGTTCTTAAAGAATGATGTTTTCACTATGTCATGATGCTCTTCAAACAGATGGCTGAGGTAGCTGCACATGTATTATCAGCTAAAACCACTGGATATCACGGTCTAAAGTTCTCAATGCTGCATGGTTCAGGCAATATCAATCTGATCAATCTGGTGAATCTGATCCTCGTATCCTAGAGACCTAAACTGGCTAGTCTGCGCCAAGATCCTCCTTCCATATGTGGAATAGCTGTTTCTTCTCAGGTTGACTGAAGCACTGTTGAAGCACTGTTCTCAACGTTGGAGAAGGGAAGACTGCTTTCCGGTCACTGTCTTGGGTGATAGAGATTTCCATGTTAATCAACCAGCACCAGACTCTATGCCTGGGAAGCTGGCCTCAGTCGCTAGGTGCGGATGATGTGGCGATCTCCTCCACAACTAGCGTGCCCAATCGGGTAAGGCGTCACAGCCAGAAATGCTTCCATGCTTCCATGCTTCCATGCTTCCTATGTGGGAGAAATGCCAGACACAACACCGACACAACACCGCGTGGTATTGGTCAAACCCTCACAGCCATGGCACTCACCTGGGACAATGAGCCAGCAGGCTCTGGACTGCGTTTCAATTGTTTACAGGACTCACCCTACCTTTGTCAACCGCCAAACTCTTTTCCATCCAGATCCACAGACCATATTGCACCGGCAGAGAACCTTTCCCTGACAGGACTCAAAGCCAGTCCAGTCTGGTCAGCACCGCTTTGGCTCTCAAACCTGCGCCAGATAATAGGTTTTCGCTTTTCGCCTTCTAAAACTCTGCAAGAACCATATTCATACCACCGGTACACAGCATCGACCGTACCAGCCAACACAAAGTATCAGCAAATCATGCCTCCAAAACAAACCCCAAAAGCGGCGGCAGTCTCCTCTTCATCTACACCACCGGGCTCTGTGTAAGTCAGCTAATATTACAGAGTTGCTTTCCCAATCTACCTGGTGTCAAGCTACTGTTTTGGTACTCTGGCTTTCATATTCCTACTGTTGCTCTAAGCATTCTGCTGTATCCACGTCCAGAACCATCCATCCACGCACTATCTAATATTTTATCTCACCATAGTACATTGACTCGCAAATGTTCCAGAGAGTCTTCGCCGTCTTCACCAACATCCAGAAAGTCTCTGCGTCTTTCTCCTTCAGTTTTGAGATCAGAGCGGGAAGGACGCCGGCCCAAAAGGCAGTCTATCTCTCCACAATCCTCTGGAATTTCTACCCTTTCATCACCCCCGGACTCTGATGAGCTCGATGACCCTTTTGAGGAGAAAACAGTAGAGTCGAGCCGACCAAGCCTAAAAAGAAAAGCTCATGAAGACAACGCGCCGCTCTATGAAACTCCTACTACTAGAGCTGCTGCCAAGTCCCAAGTCCCAGACAAGAAGCGCAAAGTCCACTTCCTAGTAGATGAAGATCAGGACGTCAAGGCCAGTGACCCAGTTGCCCGTGGTCATCGACCCGCATTTCTGCCTGGTCTCGGTATGCCGTTCGAACTTGTTGGGAAATCCATCTTTGCCAAGACCGATGGCTCCGGAGAGCAGAAAGCTTGGAGTCGCAAATATATTTCAGCGCGAGATCGGAGAAGAGAGGTCCTTCAGACTACACAATCAGCACTAGGACCCGAGCTTGGGGGCTCACGTGCCTCAACTCCAGCCTCCTTTGTCTCCAACACTCCTAGCAAGCGTGGTAGAGGCAATGGAAGACGAGGGCGAGGAAGGGGACGCGGTGGCCGAGGACGAGGCGGAGGTCGGACAGGCAGAAACGAAGACTCACCGGAACCACCAAAGAAGAAGATCCTAACCGAGGAGGAGAAGGAGATCTTGGCCAGCCTGAAGGCAAGGCAGAGCGAATTGAAGAAATTCTTCAAAGACGTCGCAGCCCAGCAGAACCAGAGTTTGCATCTTCTGACGACCCGAGACCTAACTAAGATTGCCAAAAAGAGTAAAGCTCACGAAAAAGTACCTGAGTATCAAGTGCTGCTCGACGACTTGGGCGAGAAGAAAAAGGATGCAGAAGACTTCGCTAAGAGGAAATATGAGTATGATCAGCAGCAAGCTAATCTTCTGCTCGAGGCCGAGAAGGAAGTAATCGAGCGGAGATTCAGGGTAAGCTGCGACCGAAGTCTTGACCCCCTCGCTTGCTAATGTCTTCCTCAGACTCGATGTGAAGAAGCCAAATCAGAACATCATGCTGCTGCCCGCGGCGATTGCCTAATAGCGATGGAAGCCATCCAAGCTATGATAGACGACAATCGGACTGAAGCAGGTTCCCCTGACCAAAGCTGCTTTCCACGGTTCCACTCATTGGCCCCACCGGGGATGGTGCGTGGATACTATTCTCAGCACGTCACTGATGAGACTTCTCTTCGTCGTCCTCTATCCAGCTTCGATGATACTATTCGCCGAGCAGTTCTTGATCACGACGTGGTCTCACCTACTCTTTTTGAAGGTCTCGACGTACCACGAGCTCATCAAACTAAGGATATATCACAGCAGGCTCACGATTCTAGCAGCGTATCTTCTCCTCATGAGAGTAAGCAGCATCCAACGCTGAGCTTCCAAGCTCTCGCCGATGAAGCTACACGTCGACTAGAGGAGTCAAAGAACGTCACGACTCCCATCACCCCTCAAGCTACTCACCCACAACCACCTACCGTCCCCAAACCTCCACAACAAGACCCCAATCTAGGCTCCTGGCCTCTGTCCCGACTTGCAGATGCCGCTGAGCACGAATCGACCCGAAGAAACCAACAGGTCACGCAGAACAACCACATCTTTCCACCACCACCACCACCACCACCTCCTCCTTCTCGCATGGTCCCAATAGATCCCTTCCAACCCTGGCTCGGGTTTATGGCAGAAGCCTTACCTCTAGCTCCTCCACATCATCAGCCACGAAATATGCAATGGCCAGCACCACCACCACCAACACCGCAGCAGCAGCAGCAGCAGCAGCGCATTCCCATGACAATGCCACCACTGCCGTCGAATCTACCAAATTACACCATATCTCATCTTTTCAACCACAACCACAACCACAACCACAACCACAACCACAACCACAACCACAACCACAACCACAACCACAACCACAACCACAACCACAACCACAACCACAACCACAACCACAACCACAACCACAACCACAACCACAACCACAACCACAACCACAACCACAACCACAACCACAACCACAACCACAACCACAACCACAACCACAACCACAACCACAACCACAACAGCGGCAACAGCAGCCCCAACAGCTGAATATGCCATCCTACCCAATCCAGCAACAGCCATCTCGAAACAGGCAACCAGTCACCTTCGTCAATCACACCCTCCGCGTCCCCAACCCCATGTCAGCACCAGCAC